TATAAAGAGACGTCTCCCTGGAGCAATGTGAGGTGTTTGGTTTTTGAAAAAAACAACACGTACAGACAAATACCAGTAGCAGTAAGAGCAATCATAGCTGTGGCGTAAGGAAATTGGAAGAGCTTGGCTGCAGCAACAGGGTCAAAGGGAGCCCATATATTCCAGGGTCCTGTTCTCACAGTGGCCCCCCAGATGCCCCCAAGCAGGACCTGGGGGCCGCAGCAACTCTCCCTGCTTGTGATTCAGAGGCTTATTGCATCTGAAAGTGGAGCAGGCAGAACGCAGCCATCATGGCTGTTGCAGAATAATTAAAGGTTGGCTTTTGCTGCCCAGTTCCCCAAGGGACTGAGTCCCCAGAGTCCATGATTGGCCAGAGAAGAATGGATGGAGGTAAAATCCAGCGAAAGCAAGGCAGATCTTTATTTTTCTGTTGCAACAGAGTCCCTCCACCTCCTTGCAAGGAGGTGAGAGACCCAGAACAAAGATGTGTTGGAAGTAAAGACTTTCGGCACTGTCCATCCCCTTAGCCAAAGACCACCCTAAGATACATGCATCACAGAAATGTCTACCACAGACATTTGAGAGGGTGGCTTCTCTCCTGCCTGCCAAGATAAGTGTTTTACTGATTGCATTACCTGGGCAGTCTGGCAATTCTTTTGAGATGGCAATTCTGGGGTAGCCATTTGTCCTCCTTTTCCAGGACATGTCCCCTTTTTCACGGGTATGTAAAACAAGAGTCGGGACGCAGGTGGCGCTGTGGGTTAAACCACAGAGCCTAGGACTTGCTGATCAGAAGGTCAGCGGTTCAAATCCCCGCGACGGGGTGAGCTCCCGTTGCTCAGTCCCTGCTCCTGCCCACCTAGCAGTTCGAAAGCATGTCAAAGTGCAAGTAGATAAATAGGTATCGCTCCGGTGGGAAGGTAAACGGTGTTCCGTGCGCTGCCCTGGCTCGCCAGAAGCGGCTTAGTCATGCTGGCCACATGACCCGGAAGCTGTACCCCGGCTCCCTCGGCCAGTAAAGCAAGATGAGCGCCGCAGCCCCAGAGTCGGCCACGACTGGACCTAATGGTCAGGGGTCCCTTTACCTTTTTAAAACAAGAGTCATCATAGCGATCCATAGTTAAAAGTAGAAGTCAGCAAATGTGTCCTCTTTTTTACTCTTCAAAATATGGCAACCCTAGAAATACCTTAGTTCTTGAATCCAGGTCACCGTCCCACCCTATTCATACCCAAATATGCCTTTTAAACAGAATTTGAAGGATTAGAAAGTGCAAGAACTATTGAGAAAGGTTTCTCTTCTGCAAAGGAAAGATTTAGAGTGATTAGGAGAGCCAGGATGGCTTTTTGGGATTGTTCTGTGTGCTAAAAATAATGTGTAAATTTCTCAGGGAATATTTCCTAAATTTTGAAGGGTTGAAGGGTTGGTTTCCTGTGGAGTGTGTGTTTGCTATGTGTGTGTACCCTAAATATTTATAACAGTGGCTGTGAAGGATAGGGCATAAATGCCCTCTTCAGCCTGTGAGATAAGAAAATAGCAATTTATAGTAATAGTAATAATAATAATAATAATAATAATAATAATAATAATAATAAATTTACTTATACCCCGCCCTTCCCGGTTCAGAAAACTGGGCTCAGGGCGGCTAACAACAAATTTAAAACACTTAGTTGATGCAACAAAAAACAGCATAAAATACAGTATAAAATGTGAATAACAATAAATTCAGAATTCAAAAATCAATTTAGGGGGGAAATCCATCCAATAAACCTCCAATTTATTGTAGAAGGACAAGCAACTGCATCTATCATGGAGCAGCTTTGAAGTGACAAGGATATAAAAAGGATATAAAGGTTTATTCAAAATGTGGCAAGCTTCCCAAATACACAAACATTTAGCCAAGAATATAAAACCTACAGAAGCTAATAGCTAAATTCTAATTACCCATTAATACATACAAAAGAAGCAGAGTTGCCAGGGGGAAGTAAAAATCCAGCCAGATTCAGAGGAGTATAGCGTACCTATATCAGGAGGTCTGACATAATGCCCAGGCACATTGCAGTAATAAATCAAACCGGCACAGGGCTAATTTCACCTGGGCAAGGTAAATTCTTGACTGTGGCTAGTAGCCATTGGCAGGGGACCTCAGATTCCTGTTTGGCTATAGGTGGCCTTGGTCAAGCGATACATCTTGTCTCTGCTGACTCTTGTGCTGCTAAGCCACTGGCTCAGCCACCGAGGGGGTTAACAGTTATGTTGCTGCTAAAGGCAGAAGAGCGGGTGGAGGCCATAAAAGTTGGCAACCCTGAGGCCCATCATTTTAAGTGGCACCCTCTGCTGCATCCCAAAGGACTTGTGCCAGAGGGTGTGACACAACGGCTGGGAACCGCAGCGAGGGAGAGTGATAGCATGTTCGGGTCCTGTTTGCGGGTTTCCTCACAGGCATTTGGTCGGCCGCTGTGAGAACAGGATTCTAGACTAGATGGGTCATTGTCCTGACTGTTTAAGAAAAACTGCTTTTCTTCTATACTTACCTTCGTTGTAAACGATCGTTTACATCTGTATTTTAAACCAATAATGATTTACCATGAAAAAAAATATTTTGGGGAGGGGGGTCAAGTGCTGGTTGAATGACAGGCTGCTGGATAGGAGACCCCCTGTCCATAGGGCAGCAGTTTCTTATTTATTTGCTGCATTTATATCCCACCCTTTTAATATATTGCGCTCAAGGTGATGTACAATAGAATTGTTGTTTAGTCGTGTCCGCCCCTTCGTGACCCCATGGACCAGAGCACGCCGGGCACTCCGGTCTTCCACTGCCACCTGCAGTTTGGTCAAACTCATGCTGGTAGCTTCGAGAACACTGTCCAACCATCTCGTCCTCTGCCGTCCCCTTCTCCTTGTGCCCTCCATCTTTCCCAGCATCAGGGTCTTTTCCCGGAGTCTTCTCTTCTCATGAGGTGGCCAAAGTATTGGAGCCTCAGCTTCACGATCTGTCCTTCCAGTGAGCACTCAGGGCTGATTTCCTTCAGAATGGAGAGGTTTGATCTTCTTGCAGTCCATGGGACTCTCAAAGAGTCCAGCACCATAATTCAAAAGCATCAATTCTTCAGTGATCAGCCTTCTTTATGGTCCAGCTCTCACTTCTATACAGTACTACTGGGAAAACCATAGCTTTAACTATACGGACCTTTGTTGGCAAGGTGATGTCTCTGCTTTTTAAGATGCTGTCTAAGTTTGTCATTGTTCTTCTCCCAAAAAGCAGGTGTCTTTTAATTTCATGGCTGCTGTCTTCATCTGCAGTGATCATGGAGCCCAAGAAAGTAAAATCTCTCACTGCCTCCGTTTCTTCCCCTTCTATTTGCCAGGAGGTGATGGGCCCAGTGGCCATGATCTTCGTTTTTTGATGTTGAGCTTCAGACCATATTTTGCACTCTCTTATATCCCTTATATAGACTTTTGAAATTGCCCACCCTGTAGCCCAAGACCACCACCCCTCAAAACATCATACATACATCACAAGAGGAGGCAGGAATCCTGCCCGCCAGGACACCTGATAATGGTCACTGATTGCATTACCTGGGTAGTCTGGCCATTCTTTTGTGATGGTTAATACTTTAGTTCCTGAGTCCTGATCACAGGCTCACCCTATTTAGACCCAAATTCGCCCTTAAGACAGGATTTGCAAGCAAAAAGACAATGGGAAGGCTTTCTCCCTTACTGCAGAGGAATATTTGAGGTCATTGGGAGAGTCAAAATGGCTTCAGGAATGCTCTCTCTTACTATTTCAGACACATGGTTCATATATTTAGATATGTGTGCGTTTATGAATATTTATTCTATATTTGAGACCTTAATTGTTTTGTAACATGATCCAACAGGTTGTCCTCATCTAATATGAAGAAACAAACCTCCTTCTTAGCTTTCCTGACTGTCTCCAAGCACCCCACCTCTGCACACCCACAGAATATTGCATATATACAGAAGCACCTCTCTCTTAGGCAAGCAACAGAAGCTTAATCTGCCATGTCTGGCTATTGAGAGGGCGGCTTTTTTTGTTTGTTAAGAGGCAGCTGGTGGGCGGAACTGGGGGCGATATGTGTCAGAGGGTTTAGTCTCCCAGCCCCACCGCCCCATTTCCAGAACCCCATTTTTGTCCCTCTCCGTAAGTCCTCTTTATGGGGAGGGCATGGCTGTCTGGCCTTTTAGTAGGTCCGCTCCCACTTAAGAGGTGGAACGCTGCAACATTTTGTTGTTGTTCCCATTTGTTATTGTCATCATCTCATGAAGTGATGCCACATGCAATGCAACATACCATGCTCATTACACGGGCGTTGAATTATCCTGTTCATAACTGATGCAAGAAGGTGAGAAGAATGTAAGGAAGACGGCCTGGATCAGGCCATTGGCCCATCTAGCCCTGAATCCTGGTCTCACGATGGCCAACCAGATGCCATCAGTTGTTATTAATTGTACTTTATTATTATTATTAACAGCTATGATAACACCATTGTAAATATCAATTATAAGAACTCTGTTGGCAACATCAGTAAGATTAATAACAACAGATATTTGAATACTTGGGAAGCCCATGATTCATAAGTACACCTGAATCTGCAAACATACAATTGCGTGAGTCAATTGTATCAATTGCGTGATTTTTACTGGGAAAAGTTACAAAGCATGTGCTTAAATCACCCTACCTTTGGGAAAAAAATGGACTTTAAAAAACCAAACCCTTTTAAAAAAAGTGTTTCCCCCAGCTTGAGCTGAAAGGCACTCTGCCCATGCTCAGAAACGCTGGTGGCTGTCATATATGCATATGTCATATATGCATCTGCATCAAAACATATTAAGGGGCTCAGAAAGTACTCTCGCACCAACGGAAAAGGAAGGCAAGCACTCTGCAATTTCGTATAGCGACCATTAACTTTTTTCTTGATAGTGTTTGACTTGTAAAAAGCTTAAATAAAACGTTTATTTGTTTTTAAAATAAAAAGTACGCACACATTTCCCTCACCGCTCCAAGAATTTCGCGGAGTCTCAAGCGCCCATTGAGAAAAGGAAAACTCCGAGGAATCCCCGCCCCCAGGAGGGAGGGGCCGGAGTGGGCGTGGTCTTGTCGCGCCATCTCGCCCCGCCCTTCCTTCCCCATTGGCTGCTCCCATTCCCCCTCCCTCTACGCGGTCCTCCAGCATCCCAGAATGCCGCCGTTCCCGGAAGTGGCGCGCTTTCCCTCAAGCGAGAAGAGAGAGGAAGAGAGGAGGCGGGTGACTAGTCGAGCGTCGCGGGGCAGGCCGGGATGGAGGAGGACGAGCTGGACTTGGCCGACGAGCTGGAGGCCGCCCTGCAGCTGGCGCCGGAGGTGCAGCTGGCCATCGAGCAGGTGAGGGAGAACCGGGTGGGAGACGGGGAGGAAGAGGGGGCGGCGCTGTGCATGCTAATATGGGGGTTCGTGGTAGGCGGGGCTCCCGTAGTCCCTCAGCGATTGGGCGGAGTGTAAGGAGGCGGGGCTATGTATGCTAATATTGGGTTCCGTGGTGGGAGGAGGCTCCTGTATCTCCAAAGCGATTGGGTGAAGTGTGAGTAAGGGGCGGAGCTTTGTATGCTAATATGGGGGTTCTGTGTGCGGGGAGGGGCTGTAGGGAGTGGGGGGCTGCCTTAAATTGAGGGGGGTCTATTTGGGTGTCTTTGAGGAGAGGGACGTTGTGGGGGTGCTGCTTATTTTGGGGGGGTCGTGATGTTTTTTCTTCTGTATTGAATTTTTCCATACTTACCTTCGTTGTAAGCGATCGTTTACATCTGTATTTTAAACCAATAAAGATTTATCATGAAAAAAAATATTTTGGGGAGGGGGGTCAAGTGCTGGTTGAATGGCAGGCTGCTGGATAGGAGACCCCCTGTCCATAGGGCAGCAGTTTCTTATTTATTTGCTGCATTTATATCCCACCCTTTTTATATATTGTGCTCAAGGTGATGTACAATAGTATTGTTGTTTAGTCGTGTCCGCCCCTTCGTGACCCCCTGGACCAGAGCACGCCAGGCACTCCTGTCTTCCACTGCCACCCGCAGTTTGGTCAAACTGTCCAACCATCTCGTCCTCTGGCGTCCTCTTCTCCTTGTGCCCTCCATCATTCCCAACATCAGGGTCTTTTCCAGGGAGTCTTCTCTTCTCATGAGGTGGCCAAAGTCTTGGAGCCTCAGCTTCAGGATCTGTCCTTCCAGTGAGCACTCAGGGCTGATTTCCTTCAGAACGGAGAGGTTTGATCTTCTTGCAGTCCATGGGACTCTCAAGAGTCTCCTCCAGCACCAGAATTCAAAAGCATCCATTCTTCGGCGATCAGCCTTCTTTATGGTCCAGCTTTCACTTCCATACATCACTACTGGGAAAACCATAGCTCTAACTATATGGACCTTTGTCGGCAAGGTGATGTCTCTGCTTTTTAAGATGCTGTCTAGGTTTGTCATTGTGTACATTAGTATTGTGATTATTTATTAAATTGTGGCTCAGGGAGCAACTGGGTTGTGTGTACAGTGGTACCTCTGTATACGAACGGGATCTGTTCTGGAGCCCCGTTCGCGTCCAGAAGCAAACGTAACTAGCAACGGCACGTCTGCGCACGCGCATGTCGCTTTTCACCACTTCTGCACATGCGCGTGACATCATTTTGAGCATCTGTGCATGGGCAAGCAGTGAAACCCGGAAGTAATGCGCTCCGTTACTTCCGGCTTGCCGCAGAGCACAACTCGAACGCATTCAACCTGAGGTATGACTGTACAGTGGTACCTCGGGTTACAGACACTTTGTATGTGTTTAGAGCAGGGGAGGGGAGAGAGTTTGCCATGGGCATGACATGCATGCATCCAGAGAATTCAGTTTGCAAATGTGCCCCCAAAGGTTGACTTCTCCCCCCCCCACAGTTGACGCAATGTTTGCAGAGTGAAGGATTTAAATGCCAAGGGAGGTCAGTGTGGCCTGGCTGCGTTTACTTGGTCAGATAAAGAGCAGGAATCGGAATGCGTTTAAGGACAGTTCCCCATTAAAACAGACAGAACCTGCTTGGGGTCTTAGTCTGGTGGTAACAGTAGCATATAAATAAGGGGAAACAAGCAAGATGCACCACACAACTCATACCATTCAAAACAAACGCGTAGTGATTCAAGATTAGGGGGACAGGAGGACACTAGGATTGGAAGCAGATAGTGGGAACGTGTTTGCATGATGCGGGAGTCAGTAAGGTGAGGCTGAGCTGGATTGGAGAAGATTTTGCTGGTGAAGCAGAACTTGGGAAGGATGGAGGGAGAGGTAGGGGAGCCTGAAGGAGCCTCTGTGCAGGCCAGGGTGGGATCCTGACCCCTGTCTTCCAGCCTCTCTCCATAACCAAGGAAGGAATGTGATCTGTATCCCACAAACCACTGCACAGCCTCTCTGTTTTTACCATGCTGCTGGACATTTGCTGTTTTTGGCACAGCGTGTGTGTTGCTGTGTTCCTTTTCGTCTTTTCTTTGAATTGTTACGGTTTGAGGTTTTTATTGTTGGTTTTAATGTAAGTCACAAGTCACATTTCATTCATTCATTCATTTATAATCCCACCTTTTTCTCCAAGGAGCTCAAGGTTCTCTCTCCCTCTCTCTTATTTAATCCCCACAAAAAATGCTGTGAGGTAGGTTAGGCTGAGAGGCAGTATGACTTGCCCAGGGTCACCCAGTGAGGCCCACGGCCAAGCGGGAATTTGAACTCCAGTGTCTCCCAGGTCATATTCCAACACTCCATGCCGTACAGGCTCTTTTGTAAGAAAAACAACTAACACATACAATTAATAATAGTCACTTCCGTTCTTTTTCTTGACCCCTAGGTGTTTCCAAGTCAAGATCCATTGGACCGAGCTGACTTCAACGCTGTGGAGTACATCAACACGCTTTTCCCAACCGAGCAAGTGAGTTGCGTCTTCTGCGCATGACAACACAATTGTGAAAAACAGTTTCTTCTTTTACCCTGTTTTTCTGCTGGTAGATTCATAAGAGAGTCACAAAAGAATAGTAAAACGTTGGAGAGTTTCCCTTGCCTCCTAACAGGGGCGATCAAGTTCTGGGGTCCAACGATGGTTTATCCATTGCCTTCTAAATATCTTTATCGAGGGAATTTCTGCAAAAGACAAATAAAAGCTGCTGAAAACACAAAAGCAGCAAATACAGTTAAGGCAAGACTAAAAGACTGCAGCTGCCATCATATCCAGCCAGCTTAGCCTGTGGCAAGGGATGATGGGAGTTGTAGTCCAACAGTATCTGGGAAGCCAGGGTTGACGAATGATGGTCTGAGGGAGAGAGCCTGCTTTTGAGCTCTGTGGCTTGTCTCATTTTGCTGTGTCTTGTATGTCCACTAGAGGCCACCATTCTTCTTCTGTTAAGCAAGATCAGAACCTAGGAGGCTGCCTTATAGTGAGTCTGGGCGGCTTCCACCATATATAAAACATAATAAAACATGAAACATTTAAAAACTTCCATATACAAGGCTGCCTTCTTCTAAAGGTTGTATAGTTGCTTATCTTCTTGACTCAGAGGATGTCCATACCCTCCAACATTTCTCTGATGAAAATAGGGACGTCCTAAGGAAAAGTTAGGTGACGCGGGTGGCACTGTGGGTTAAACCACAAAGCCTAGGACTTGCCGATCAGAAGGTCGGCGGTTCGAATCCCCGTGATGGGGTGAGCTCCCGTTGCTCGGTCCCTGCTCCTACCAACCTAGCAGTTCGAAAGCACGTCAAAATGCAAGTAGATAAATAGGTACCGCTCCGGCGGGAAGTTAAACGGCGTTTCCGTGCACTGCTTTGGTTCGCCAGAAGCGGCTTAGTCATGCTGGCCACATGACCCGGAAGCTGTACGCCGGCTCCCTCGGCCAATAAAGCGAGATGAGCGCCACAACCCCAGAGACAGCCATGACTGGACCTAATGGTCAGGGGTCCCTTTACCTTTAAGGAAAAGTAGGACATTCCGGGGTCAAATCAGATCCCGGCTTCTGTAAATCCGGGACTGTCCCTGGAAAATAGGGACACTTGGAAGAAGAAGAAGAAGAGTTTGGATTTGATATCCCTCTTTATCACTACCCAAAGGAGTCTCAAAGCGGCTAACATTCTCTTTTCCCTTCCTCCCCCACAACAAACACTCTGTGAGGTGAGTGGGGCTGAGAGACTTCAGAGAAGTGTGACTGACCCAAGGTCACCCAGCAGCTGCATGTGGAGGAGCGGAGACGCGAACCCGGTTCACCAGATTACGAGTCCACCGCTCTTAACCACTATACCACACTGCATCTCAGTTGAAGTTGGAGGGTTTGCCAACAGGAAACATGCTCTTCTCGGCATGAGGGCCAAATCCCCATTCTGTTGACATTGCATATACAGCTAAATAACTGACCCCCCCCTTCTCTCCTCTTTCTTTGACAGTCTTTGGCAAACATTGATGATGTGGTGAACAAGATCAAGCTGAAAATAAGGTAAGCAGGGCAATTAAAAAAATTATTATCAATGGGGCTGGGGTGGTAAAAGCTGCTGTTTCTTTAGGGAAGGGGCTCAGCGTCTTTGTCCCAACTTAACCCCCGCCAGCCTGCTGGAGGCTCCATGCCAGCAGTGGCAATAGCACCCTGGGTGCATGCAGACACATTGGAAATGGCACATCTGAAAAACACGGAGAAGATAAAAGGCACACAGCCTCTTGCCTCAGGAAAGGGGAGTGGTTGCTTCCTTCTGACTCGTGGAGTGATTGCTGCGATGACAGAGGAGCTGGCTCCTCCGGAACGCGGCGAGCTTGCTTCAATTCAGAAGTGTAGCTATTTTTTATTTAAACCACTTACTTATTCAAGTAAGCTCTGTGTGAAAATCCGACCTGGAAAACTGCGAAATGGTATAAAAGCTTGTGAATGTAAATTGTGGCCAACTCCTGAAATGCGGGAATTGCAGCGAATGTGGAACTGTCATATTGGAACCCTTCCTGGAACCTTGTCGCAAAGAGTGTCTAAGAAGTCGAATAAATATTATTAATAAGGAATAATAATAATAATAATAAATTTTATTTATATCCCGCCCTCCCCAGCCGAAGCTGGGCTCAGGGCGGCTAACAACAATCAAAATAATCCAACATTCTAAAAACCTTTCATTATAAAAATTAATTAAAATCAAATTGATGGCAACCATTAAGCAAAATTCTGTGCAGATTGCCAGAGGAGGGGGTCAGGCTGCACCCTGACCAAAGGCCTGGTGGAACAGCTCTGTCTTGCAGACCCTGCGGAAAGATGTCAGGTCCCGCAGGGCCCTAGTCTCTTGGGACAGAGCGTTCCACCAGATTGGAGCCGCGGCCGAGAAAGCCGTGGCTCTAGTTGAGGCCAGCCTAACCTCTCTGTGGCCTGGGATCTTCAGGATGTTTTTATTTGCAGACCGGTATTTTATTTGAATACCGAGGTTCCAGTAAATCAGTAATTTAAAAACAGGAATCCAGTAATAACCAGGCTCATTCCTGCTGGCCAGGGAAGTTATTTCCGGGGGGGTGTGTGTGTTCAAGAAACTTTACCCAGAGTAGACCTTTTGAAATCAATGCAATTAACTTAGAAATGTTCGTTAATTTCAATGGATCTGTAACTGCCCTGTGTCTTTTCAAGAACATAGGAAGACTGCCTTGGACTGAGTTAGACTAAGGTTACCAGATTTTTTCCAAAGAATCTGGGGACACTTTTTTTTTTTTGAAAAGAGAAAAAAAAGTTATTTTTAAAAGTTTTTAAAAAATAAATAAAAAAGAAGTAATATCTTTTCTTCTGCGGGCAGTTGGCTACTTGGCTGGGCGCTCTTCCTCTTGGATCAGTGGTTTCCCCCAGTTGACGTGCCAGGCGTCCCTGGTTCCCCCTTGGCAGCAACAGTCTCAGCAGCCCAGAACCAGCCTGGTAGCGCAGTTGGCTCTGGCTGGCATCAGGAGCTGCTTGCTGCTGTGGCGCCCGCCATTTTGCCTCGACGGAAGTCCCCATATGATGTGTCTAGTGCTGTTGAACCGATCATACAACATTCATTCCCTACTAATAATTCTATAACACTTAAAATATACATCCGGGGACGGATTTTGTCCGGGGAGAGATTTGTGAATCCGGGGACTGTCCCCGGGAAATGGGGACACCTGGTAACCATAAGTTAGACCTTTGCTTGGTCCACGCTGCTGGGCAGCAGTGGCTCTCCAGGGTTTCCAGGCAGGGAATATCTCTCCCAGCCCACCTAGATATACTGGTGATTGACCTGGGGACCTTCTGCCTGCTGAGCAGAAGCTCTACCTCTTTTGTTGTCAGTCTGGCTGCCTGCTTGCTTGCTGTCTGCATGTCTGCCTGGGTCTAGCAGTCTCCCCCTTCCCTGCTCCCTGCCTCCGGGAAGTTCTCACGCAGGTCGCGATTGCAGACAGACACCCGGAGGCAAATGCAATCTCCTCCTTTCTGAGATCGCTGTCGGGAAAAGGAGCAAAACTTAAGCAAGGTTTGCATCTTAGAGCCGGTGTGTTGTAGTGGCTGGAGTATCGGACTCGGACATTCCTGGGAGTTGTTGTTTAGTCGTTTAGTTGTGTCCGACTCTTCGTGACCCCCTGGACCAGAGCATGCCAGGCACTCCTGTCTTCCACTGCCTCCTGCAGTTTGGTCTTGTCTTTGTCCATGGAGTTTTCTTGGCAGGGAAACTGGAGTGGCTTGCCGGTTCCTGCTCCAGGTGGATCACGTTTGGTCAAAACTCTCCACTATGACCTGTCCATCTTGGGTGGCCCTGCACGGCATAGCTCATAGCTTCTCTGAGTTATTCAACCCCCTTCGCCACGGCAAGGCAGTGATACATGAAGGGGATTCCTGGGAGACCAGGGTTCAAATCCCCACTCAGTCATTAAGCTCGCTGGGTCACCTTGGGCTACTCGTCATTTCTTGGCCTAACCTACCCCGCAGGGTTGCTGTTTGGATGAGATAAGGTGGCGGAAAACTGTGTGTGCCGCCTTGAGGTGGGATAAAAGTGCAATAAATCAAATTATACAGGAGTGGGGTTTCTTTTAACTCTCCGTGGGACTGGTATACAGTGCTGGAATATTTGTTTTTAGAATATTGAAAGAGCATGGTTTTCCCTTCGCTAAAATGGTCTCTTGAACAAACTGTAAAAAAAGAAAAGAAATCTGATGCTGAACATCAACCTTCGTGCGGTCTCCTTCTTTCTTTCTTCCCCTTTGCAGGCGTTTGGATGATAACATCCGGACTGTGGTGAGAGGTCAGACAAACGTCGGGCAGGATGGCCGCGAGGTACGAGTTTATTAAATTTCTCGCAGCTGAATCTATCCAGGGACCTTTCCGGAGAGATGCAAGGAATGGCATTTAGACAGCAGAACAGTCTCCTTCGGGAGGTGATAGACTCTCCTTCCTTGGAGATTTTTAAACAGAGGGTGGGTGGCCGTCTGTCATGTGTGATCTAGTTGAGATTCCTGCATTGCAGGGGGTTGAACTAGATGACCCCCGGGTTCCCTTCCAACTCTACCATTCCGTGATTCTCTAGGTTCCCCCAGCCCTGTACTGAGGACTAGAAACCTGCAAGGGTTGTTGGCCCCATGTTTCAAGATAATAATAATAATAATAATAATGATATTTTTTATTTATACCCCGCGAGAGCCAGGCTCAGGTTGGCTAACACCAGTAAAATTACAATAAAAACATAATAGGGGAAAGAAACAACAACAAAAAAACAATTTAAAATACAGGTTAAAATGCCATTTAAAATGCAGCCTCATTTTAAAAGTAGCCCATGGATCAAAACCATAAAGGGAGGGAAAACATAAGGGTCAGACTGAGTCCAAACCAAAGGCCAGGCGGAACAGCTTTGTCTTGCAGGCCCTGCGGAAAGATGTCAAGTCCCGCAGGGCTCTAGTCTCTTGTGACAGAGCGTTCCACCAAGTCGGGGCCAGAACTGAAAAGGCCCTGGCCCAGTTGAGACCAATCTAACCACCTTGCGACTTGGGACCTCCAAAGTGTTGTCATTTGTGGACCTTAAGGTCCTCCGCGGGGCATACCAGGAGAGGCGGTCCCGTAGGTACGTGGGTCCTAGGCCGCATAGGGCTTTAAAGGTCAAAACCAGCACCTTATACCTGAGCTCTACCGGGAGCCAGTGCAGTTGGGGTTCAAGGTGGTTTCCAGCTCTTGGCAAGCTGATCTGGGCTGGGTACCCACCTTAACTCTGCGAAGGTTTCCTTATTATAAAAAATAATAGCATGTTGATGTGTGTGTGTCCCGTCCCGTCCCCCCCCCCCCCGAAAATGAGCAAGTGTACCTGAATATGTGGTACCTTTAAGAATTGGGTCTGGATATAAGAGAGAGTGGGGCATACAGGATCATCTATTTCCAGTGATAAAAAAATCCCTTTGTGGGTTCAATCCCCACGTTGGGCCAAAGATTCCTGCGTTGCAGAGGGTTGGACTGGAGGACCCCTGGAATCCCTCCCAATTCCATGATTATATGATTTTTGCCCCTTGTCACTTCTGAGGAGATGGCTGCTGGTTCCTTCGTTGTTAATATTTGGCTGCACTGGAAATGTTTATTGCATCTGACTCTGATTTATATATTTTAGCCAGCTGGTACCACTTGGTGTGTCTTAATTTATTTCAGAACGGAATTAAAATGCTTTAATGTGCGTGCAGTGGTACCTCGGGTTACATACGCTTCAGGTTACAGACGCTTCAGGTTACAGACTCTGCTAACCCAGAAATAGTGCTTCAGGTTAAGAACTTTGCTTCAGGATGAGAACAGAAATCATGCTCCGGCGGCAGGAGCAGGAGGCCCCATTAACTGAAGTGGTGCTTCAGGTTAAGAACAGTTTCAGCTTAAGAATGGACCTCTGGAACGAATTAAGTACTTAACCCGAGGTACCACTGTATTCTGTAGCGTTTCCACTTCTAACTGTGGAGGCAGCGCATAGCCATCATGCCCCATCTGGTGCCCATTCCTGCCTCATGTGGAGGAGAGTTCCACAGATTAACAATGTGCTGCGTGATTAAGTCCTTTTCTGAGATTGTGCCTTGCAGGTTGAAATAGAAAAAGCAAGTGTGAGCGATGCGCGTGGCCACACAATCTCACTTCTGCGATTTTTTCCTGCCACAAAAGCTCCGTTGAACTGGCAGCTGTTTTTGGAACTACAAAGCTGGCAGGAATCTCAGGAATTTCCCGGCTCCAGCAGTTAATAGGTCAGAGCGTAGGGAAAGCAGAGCAGGTCGTATTACACAGGAAAAGCCTCTTGAATGGCATTTTGGTCCGCAGTGGGTTCCCCCCTCCCTTCTTTTTCCTCCCACCCCAAAGAAGCCAGACGAAAAAGGAAAACCCTGGCAAAATAATTTCTCCTCCTGAGCTGCTCTTTCCCCAGGGAGGTGGAAGGAGAGAAGAGATTGTCTGTCTGTGATAATAGCCTAATTAATAATGGCTTGTAGGGCTGAAAGCTCCCCCCTCCCCAAATCATGTTCTGGCCTGCTTTCCTCCCCCTCCCACCCTTTCGAAATGAAGGGAACCTTTGTTCAACACTAAAAATGTATGGCGCTTCAGATTTTTTTTTTTTTAAAAGGAAAAGAGGCTTATGTGTCCTCAACCACACTACTCCTCAGTTCACCCTCTTTTTCAGAATAATAGAATTGCAGAGTTGTTAGGGACCCTGCGGGTCATCTAGTCCAACCCCCTGCAATGCAGGAATCTTGACCCAGTTTGGGGCTCGAACCCACAACCCGGAGATTTAAGAGTCTCATGCTTCACTGACTGAGCCATCCCAGCAGTTGATGCACTGTGATGCTGCTACAGGCTGCACTGATGGCCACCCAATCGGATGGTTCAGTTTCAGGGACTGGGCACATTCACATCCATACTTGCCTCTGCGAACCACACAAGGAGGATTCAAGAGAGGGTCTTTCCATCACTTTTTGAGAAAAATGGACACCCCAATGACAAATCTCAGGATCTTTTCTTTCCATGCAGAGCAGATGTTGTGATTGCTGAGCTACAATCCCCCTTCCAAAATTTGGGATGTGCAATCGGTTTTTGTGTACAAACTGACAGGAAAATAGATATAGATAAATATAAACCGTATCTTTCGCTCTATAAGACGCACCAGACCATAAGACGCACCTAGTTTTTGGAGGAGGAAAACAAGAAAAAAAATATATTCTGAATCCCAGAAGCCAGAACAGCAAGAGGGATCGCTGCGCAGCGAAAGCAGCGATCCCTCTTGCTGTTTTGGCTTCTGGGATAGCTGTGCGGCCTGCATTCGCTCCATAAGATGCACACACATTTCCCGTTACTTTTTAGGAGGGAAAAAGTGAGTCTTATAGAGCAAAAAATACGGTAGATTTAGATATAGATATGCGTGAGAGATATTAGCTTCTCAGGGATGAATTGCAAAGTTGTGCAGAAAAGCTATGTCACATTGTGCCCAAATACAGGTAATTTTGGAATATTCTCTCCCTGCAACAATTTTATGAGATGGTGTTTTAGAACCCTTCCTCTTTTAATGTATTGTTCCTTGCTTATTGGAAGTATTTCTCATCCTGCTTTTCAGCCTAAAAAAGGCTTCCAGAGCAGCTTGCAGATGTCAACAATGAGACGAGACCAGCTTTTTTTTTAATGGCATGAAAGGAAAAGGCATTGGGAGGGAGGAGGAAAAATATAAAATCAGGTGCTAGACTTCGGTTACAGAATTCTCATGACAACCAGCTGGAGAGCAGGAGGAAGTTGCTCCTGGTCTCCCAGCTGAGCCAATTTAGCAGCCCTGCTTCCCATTTTTTCCTGGTGAAGTGACTGCGTGATGGTTGAGGACGGGGCTAGATTTGCAGTGAAGCCAGTGGCATAACCCTGCTTCCCTTCTCTCCTTTGTTGCAGCTGCTCACTTTACAATTAAAACAAAAAGATAGCGAACAGCAACCTTTAACATAGAAACCTTTGAATTAACTTGGGGCAGAAGGTGGGGTTGGGCTAGCAGGAGCTGCAGGTTGTGTCTGGAATACTTATGGATTTTTTATTTTTAATTTTAAAATTGCAAGGCTTCAGGAGCTGCCCTGCACACCCATCTGTAACATTTCTCAAGTTTTCAGCGCGTTCTTTTTCTTTTTAAAAATACGCCGCCCTAGATTTCATTTTTCTCTTAAGTTTGTTGGAAACGCTTAAAATAGCCTCACTTCTTCTGGCCTGCTGGTGGGTGTGCTTCGCTTTTGAAATGGGGCTTTTGTTTTGTCTTGCCCAAAATCTGCAGATGGATTTCTTTTTTTCTTTTTTTAAAAAGCTGCATCACTTAATGAGTCCTTTATGGGGAGGAAACAGCGGGAGCGCATTCCTGGGCAGGGCGTAACACACTCCCCGCCCCCCCCCCCAGCAGTTCCAGACGGCGGCTATTTCTGACTCCTGGGCAGGGGCCCGGGAAAGCAGATCCCACTACTGCTACTGCGGTCGTCTCTCCTTCCAGTGTGAGACGGCATTGCAGATGTTTCCCCCCCTCCTTTCTCTCTCTCTACCCCCCCCCTTTAGGATTTTTCTTCAGTTCTGCCCAGGAACACATGTTGACACAGTTTTGGTTGCCTCGCTTAAAAAGGGATACAGTGGTACCTCAGGTTAAGAACTTAATTCGTTCCGGAGGTCCGTTCTTAACGTGAAACTGTTCTTAACTTGAGGTACCACCTTAGCTAATGAGGCCTCCCTCTGCCGCCGTGCGATTTCTGTTCTCATCCTGAAGCAAAGTTCTTAACGTGAGGTACTATTTCTGGGTTAGTGGAGTCTGTAACCTGAAGCGTATTTAACCCGAGGTACCACTGTATTGTAGAGCAGGGGTAGGCCTGGGGGCCGAATCTGGCCCAATCGCCTTCTCAATCCAGCCCACGGACGGTCCAGAAATCAGCATGTTTTTACATGAGTAGAATGTGTCCTTTGATTTTAAAATGCATCTCTGGGTTATTTGTGGGGCCTGCCTGGTGTTTTTACTTCAGGATTGTAATAATAAACGAAAGAGCCTTGTGGCACCTTAGAGTTCTAGGAACTTTTATTCTAGTCCAAACTTTCGTGGGTCCTCTTTTATCAAAATGCCCTCAGCTGGCAGTTCACACCCTATTTGCCCTCTCTCACCCTTTTTGTTATTTCCGCAAGGGCTCAACACCCTTCTGGGATTTTCCCTGCCCACCAAGAGGACTAGGAGCTTGTTTCTTGCCTAGAGTCCAAGAAGCACTTGATCTCTGCCTAATTCCTCCTGAATTTGGAAACCAAACTTTAGTCTCCCTCTTCCTCCCTCCAGGCACTGGAAGAAGCCCAGAAGGCTATTCAACAACTCTTCGGCAAGATTAAGGACATCAAGGACAAAGCTGAGAAATCTGAGCAGATGGTGAGTGACGAATAATATCTTGTTGCCTGTTATTAATGGTGTCCTCAGCAATCTCCACCCCCCTTTCCTTTTCCTGCTCCATTAGCACAACGTCTTACAGGAACCTTAACTGAGTCAGATCGCTGGTCCATCTGGCTCAATATTGTCTGCTCTGACCGGCAGCACCACTCCTGGATTTCAGGCAGGAGTCTCTCGAGACTCTACCTGCAGATTGAACATGCTTGCAAGGCAGACACTCTGCTCTGTCTGTGGCCCTTCCACAAACCGTGGGCGGCCCCTGAAGCAACTTTACCTGGCCCTTGGTAGTTTGAAAACAAGGAGAATATTTTTCAGAGCTTCTAAGGCCACGAAGAGATGGCTCTTGGGTGTGTTCAGTATGCTGCCAACCCGTCTCTGGGTACAGGTTTTCCTTGCTGCCCTCCCTTCCAAAGCAATGACCTCGCACAGGGTCCAGCATCCCTTGGCCCCACGGACAAAAGCCATTTGACAGCGGAGCCACGTCGCTAGAGGGACACTGGACTCTTCCCTCGGAGATTGTCCTCTTCTGCGGTGTCTACAGGCACAGCCGGGCCTCAGGCTCTCCTCTGGGGACGATGGGGCTCTGAAGTTGCTCCAGCCTGGAGCCGAGCCCTACCATCAGGCGTGGGGAACCTTTGGCCCTCCCAATGTTGCTGAACCACCCATCACCCCTGGCCATTGGCCCTTCTTATTGGGGCTGATGGGAGTTGCAGTTCAGCAAGAACCGGCACTGGGTGTCTGTTTCCAGGCAATGCGACTCAGAGGGCACCTTTTTAAGGTGTTCTCCTAGAGGTTGGGAAACAGCGGCCCGCCTGGGTCTTCCTGGACTGCAGCTCAGTTCATCCCTGACCAAGGGCTTCTGGGAGTTGGAGTCCAGCAACATCCGGAGGACCACCAGTTCCGTATCCCTGCCTCAAAATTTGTGACCGGCGCTGTTTGTTCGCGAGCGGAAAGGGTTGTGGGTGGGGGACCCGTTGGGGTGGATTTTGTGGCTTCTACAGACATGGGTGGGGAGAGGGAGGGGTCTGGAGCGGGTGTCTGGGCAGGTCAGCAAAAACTCCCATAGCGTCTGTGAAGTTAACTCTTTATTCAAAGAAACAAGATTGCTCTGGTGGCAAGGCCTAGTGAGCACAGCAATGCTTCCTAGCAGATCTTGCCCCAATGAGGCATTTGTGGGGAACTGAAGCTGTCTAAGTCTCTCTCTGTGTGTACACAGTTTCTTGAATTCTTCTGTTTATCCTGGGAGCATATTCACCCAGTGCTTTTCCAGCTGCACTGGCTCCCAGTGGAGTACAGGGTCAGATTTAAGGTGCTGGTTTTGACCTTTAAAGCCCTTCACGGCCTAGGACCCTCGTACCTACAGGACCGCTTCTCCCGGTAAGCCCCACGGAGAGCCTCAAGGTCCATAAATAGCAACACCCTAGTGGTCCCGGGCCCTAAGGAAGTCAGATTAGCTTCAACCAGAGCCAGGGCCTTTTCAACACTGGCTCCAGCCTGGTGGAACGCTCTGCCTCATGAGACCAGGGCCCTGTGGGATCTGCTTTCTTTCCGCTGGGCCTGTAAGACAGAGTTGTTCCGCCTGGCCTTTGGCTTGGAGTCAGTTTGATTCCCTCCCCCTCTTTCTTTTTTCTTTTCCTTCTCCTCCTGCGATGAGGTTTCAGTATTTTAATGTTGTATGTTAATTTTGTTTTTAAGTTGTATTCATTCAATTTGTTTTTATTATTGCTTGTTAGCCGCCCTGAGCCCGGCCTTGGCTGGGGAGGGCGAGGTATAAAGAAAAAAATTATTATTATTATTATTATTATTATTATTCACCTGCGACAGGTGAAGGAAATCACCCGCGACATCAAGCAGCTGGACCACGCCAAGCGCCACCTGACCACCTCCATCACGACCCTGAACCACCTCCACATGCTAGCTGGCGGAGTCGACTCCCTGGAGTAAGCAGTGCGCCCTGGAGGGGTGCCATGATAATGTGGGCACACAGAGGGGGCTGAGGGAGGGGGGAACTGCGGCATGGAATTGGGAACGGGATTAGCTTTTGGGCAAACCCAACTTTTTTTTTAAAAAAGAGTAAGCTTCTAGTCCTTAGGGGTTACAAGTCAGAGGAAGCTTACAGTGGGCTGCATTGAAGGCAAGCAAAACTCAGCGGTGGGCGGGGCCAGGGTGACAGTGGGCGGAGCAATAAGGATCGATTTCGCCTGGAGACAGGGAGGACCTCAGGGGCCAGGCAGAGGCCTTGGGGGCCAGATTTGGTCGCAGGACCTGTGGCTCCCCACCCTGAGGAAGCTCCTTGGTCTGACTGGGTATAAGGCAGCTTCCAGTGTTTGATTTCATCCCCGACTTCTCTCTTCTAATTAACCCCCCCCCTTTCTCCTCTCTCTTCCCCCCACTCCCATCTCTAGGGCAATGACGAGGAGGCGGCAGTATGGGGAAGTGGCCAACCTCCTGCAAGGGGTCGTGAACGTGCTGGAGCATTTCAACAAGTACATGGGGATCCCGCAGATTCGCCAGCTTTCTGAGAGGTGAGATGAGGGCGGTGATCTCCCGAGTGCTGGAAGAGGGAAGCCCAGGAACGTAGCAGCCGTTCAGAGTCTCTCTGTGTTAACAGAGGAGCAAATGTTAACTGAGTCCCTGCTCAGACATTCAGTTGCGCCTCTTTGGTCTGCAGAGACAGGGAGGGCATTCCTGCCTTGTTTTTTCACTTTTAATAAAACGACTGCTCTCCGTCCATGGAAGATGTTACCATAAATTTACCCTGACATGCTTTCATGGGATTTGTGTTTTTAATAAAGTCAGGAAACCATACAAAGCGACCCTGTTAGCAGACAGGACTATCAAAACAGTCCCTTGTACTCCGGGGTTCCTTCAACTCGGTTCTTAAATCTTCGTTTTCTCCCTTTAACGAATATTCTGGTTAAAGGGCTGTCACCCTTGCTTCTTGAGTTGTTTCCAGTAAACTAGAGGCCACCGCCTCGTTTGGCTTGGCAGGCGTTTAATTCCCCAACTAGTTTTGCTAGGAACAAAAACTTCCTGCAGAAGCCTGCGTTTGGCTCCCTGAGCCCTAACCCAATTTCCTCATTGGTTCCTGGGCAGGGTGAAGGCTGCCCAGAACGAGCTGGGGCAACAGATCCTGGCAGATTTCGAGGAAGCGTTTCCCTCTCAAGGCACAAAGGTAATGAAATAAAAATAAATCCTGGTCTCTCCCTTGCTTGCAGAAGTGCAAATGAGCTTCCCCTATTTCTCAACAACAAATATGGTGTTTGTAGCCCAGTTTTAGTGCAGCTGGCATGAGAATCATTTGTAGGGGAGGGGAGGTGCTTCGCCCTTTACCTTGCAACACCTCCCCGTGGCTGCTTTTTCTGTTTGACCAGCCAATGTCCCAGATTGAGGAGAAAAGGAGCTGGGGCTGGAGAAAAGGGAAGCACCTCATACCCTCTGCTGTGTCTCCCTATCAGTGGTTCTTCTCCCGGCTCCCTCTTCTTTTTCACTTCTATAACTGCCCATCGCTGCATCTTCTGCATCATCCCAGATGATCTATATTCACTATGACTTTACCGTACTTTGGGGTGTCCTGAATACCACCATTTGGTAGCCAAGCCCAAAACCCCAAGTCTCATTTGGATGCTTTTTGGCTTGCCTGCTGCTGAAAGTGACCACGAGGTGATTGATAATATCATTTATCAGTTTTAGACCCTTAAGTACTAGCAGTTGCCAGGACTTGTCCTGTTCGCTTCTGCGTAGTTCCTTCCTTACCACAGATACAGTCATACCTCATGTTGCGTTAGGTTCATGTTGCGACTTTTTGGCTTGCGAACGCGGCAAACCCGGAAGTATACTTCCGGGTTTTGCTGCGCATGTGTGCGCAGAAGCATTCTGTGCGCTTTGCACATGCGCAGAAGCGCTCTATCGCGCTCCGCACTTGGGCAGAAGCGCTGCTCTAGTTGCAGACTTTTTGGGGTGCGAACGGCACCCTGGAATGGATCATGTCCGCAACTAGAGTTACCACTGTATTATGATATACAGTGGTACCTCGGGTTACATACACTTCAGGTTACATACGCTTTAGGTTACAGACACTGCTAACCCAGAAATAGTGCTTCAGGTTAAGAACTTTGCTTCAGGATGAGAACAGAAATCGTGCTCCGGCGGTGCAGCGGCAGCGGGAGGCCCCATTAGCTAAAGTTGTGATTCAGGTTAAGAACATTTTCAGGTTAAGTACGGACCTCCGGAACGAATTAAGTACTTAACCCGAGGTACCACTGTATCGATATATCGCGATGTTTAGCTGGTGATATATCACAGTGTTGAAAACCAGAACTCGCCCAGCCCTACTTGCATTTAATATATCCCCAAAGTATAGTCACTGGCACCACTGGAAGCGAAAACCCTGAATTCTTTGCCTTTCTCCTCCCTGACAGAGGGCTGGAGGTCCCAGCAACGTCCTGCGGGATGCCTGCCTGGTTGCAAATGTCTTGGACCCCAGAATCAAGCAGGAGATCATCAAGAAATTCATCAAGCAGCACCTCTCGGAATACCTCGTGCTCTTCCAGGAAAACCAAGATGTAAGTCAGGATATTCCCCCTGTGTAGAACTCTTAGCTTTTCGCAGGCTGTTCAGATATCCTCCTTTCTTTCTTTTTTGGCCATAGGAAATGTATGCCAGGAACTTCCTTTGTGCTTGTAAGCTTCTTAGAAGGCACTTTGGCAATTGAGCAGCATAGAAATCAATCAATCAATCAATCAATCAATCAATCAGTTAACAACCTCTGTCTACAGCTGTTCTCATAGCGCCTCCCTCTCTCTCGCCCTCCAGGTTGCCTGGCTGGATAAAATTGACCGGCGTTACGCTTGGATCAAACGCCAGCTGGTGGATTATGAGGAGAAGTACGTCCGCATGTTCCCTGCGGAATGGTGCATGACCGAGAGGATTGCGGTCGACTTCTGCCACATTACCAGGTAGCGGGGCCCAGGGCACTCTGCTTTATTTCTTTGTGGAAGGATTTTATATGCCACAGCCTGGTGTGTAAGGTCAGGGTGGTGGATAGCAGCATAAGAACCCACAGTTAAAAGCAGCGCAGAGTAATCATTAAAATGGCTGGCTGCTTGAGAAAATGTATGGTGTGTTAGGGGTGGGGTAGCACTTCTGGTGGGGGACACATCCTGCTCATTCTGTGGTCGTTGGCTCACTTTGGTCTCCATCATGCACTCAGCTCCTACCTGTGGCTGCTAGAAGCGACAGTGGGCACACCGTGGCCTAGGACCCTCGTGCTTACAGGACCACCTCTCCTGGTCTGCCCCACAGAGGACCTTAATGTCCATGAATAACCATAGTTTAGAGGTCCCGGGCCCTAAGGAAGTCAGACTATCCTCCACCAGGGCCAGGGCCTTCTCAGTGATGGCTCCGACCTGGTGGAATGCTCTGTCCCATGAGACCAGGGCCCTGCAGGATTTAACCTCCTTCCACAGGGCCTATAAGACAGAGCTATTCCGCCTGGCTTTTAATTTGAACCTGGCCTCATCTTTTGTTCCCCTTCCTTCCTTCCTTCACCCTCCCCTTTTGTGAAGATTACTCACACTGGGATCCCACAGCTGGTTCTCCCCTGGTCTCCTCACTGGCCCAAGTGGGACTAATTTAGCCAGCTAGCCCTGGTGATCATTTAATGTTTATTGGATGGATTTCCCCCCTAAATTGACTTTTGATTTTATTGTTATTTACGCTTTATACCGTATTTTATGCTGGTTTTTTTTTTGTAGCGTCAATTAAGTTTTAAATTTGTTGTTAGCCACCCCCTGAGCCCGGTTTCCTGGACCGGGAAGGGCGGGGTATAAATAAAAATGTATTCTTTATTTATTAAATGTCTTCAACTGGCTGGCTCAACCAGGTGAGGGGAGCCGATGGGTTTCAAAGCCTCAGTGAGCTAGGGGCTTCGCCTGCATGCAAAGACAGGCTCTGACGGACTGAGTGGATGAGATCAATAGTGGGTCCAGTGGCCAAGAAGGCGGATTCTGCCCCTGCTGTGGAGGGAAGTGAGGGGCAGATGGGGCTCATCCACCTGTGAAGAGAGCCTATCTAGGAGAAGGGAAACTCTGATCCTAAACCTCTACTGCCTTGCGGGATATCTTTGGGAGAAGAAAAGGCTAAGGAGTAAATCCTCCACAAGTCTGGAGTGGGGTCCCTAAGACGATTGGATGGTGCCTCGTATGCCTCTTTCCAGCAATCCCTGCAGCCAAACTGGCACCCAGCGTCTTGCTCTGCTTTCCTTTGGACCACATCAGCGAGGCTGAGAGGCTGGGCAGCCCAGCACCCCCAGACCCACCGCCCAGACTTGCACCCCAGGGAGGTCACTTCAGTGCTGCTAGCACGGCAATCTGGCTTTACCCCCGAAGGCAGACTCCATTGTCTCTTGAGACAGACGGATGCCAACGACAACCAGAGTATAGGATTATTATTTCCTGTGGTTGCTATGACCATAATGGTCAAGACGACAACAGCAACCTTGGACCACCAGATGGTGTTGGACTACATTTCCCATCATCCCTGACTGTTATAAGAAAAACTGCTCCCTTTCGCTTATGGGGTATTCCAGAGCCCATATAGAGTCCTTAAGTGGGTTCCCTATTGGTAGGAGAAATAATAGAGGCCAACCAGAGTATATTGAGAAGCAAAGCGGCTAGGAAGCCTGATCTTTATTCAAGGAACTGTTGAAACAGCGTCCCCACTCACCACACGCAGGAGGGAGGAGAACCCAGAACAATGGTGTGCAAGCCCTTATAAATATTTTTTAAATTACCCACCCTGTAGCCCAAGACCACCACCCCTCAAAACATCATACATACATCACAGAAGGAGGCAGTCTGGAAGGTAGGCTTGCACCCTGGGGAAGTCACTTCGTTGCTACTAACGCAGAGGTTTGACTTCGCCCCCAGAGGTGTGATCCACTGCCTCCCAAGACAGACAGATCCCAACGACAGCAGTGTAAGAACCAGTGGTTCAAAACAGCACACAGAGCCATCGTTAAAATGGCTAGCTGCTCGAGAAAAATGTAAACAACCTGCAGGCCAAGCAGATTTGGTCTGGAGTGTCTCTTGGGAATGTGTCTCCCCCCCCCCGCCTGAAACCCTGGAGAGCTGCTGCCGTTCAGGGTAGGCAGCACTGAGCTAGGTAAAGGGTAAAGGGACCCCTGACCATTAGGTCCAGTCATGGCCGACTCTGGGGTTGTGGCGCTCATCTCGCTTTATTGGCCGAGGGAGCCGGTGTACAGCTTCCGGGTCATGTGGCCAGCAGGACTAAGCCGCTTCTGGCGAACCAGAGCAGCGCACGGAAACGCCGTTCACCTTCCTGCCGGAGTGGTACCTATTTATCTACTTGCACTTTGACGTGCTTTTGAACTGCTAGGTTGGCAGGAGCAGGGACAGAGCAACGGGAGCTCACCCCGTCGCAGGGATTCGAACCGCCGACCTTCTGATCAGCAAGTCCTAGGCTCTGTGGTTTAACCCACAGCGCCACCTGCGTCCCATCTAGCACAGAGCTAGATGGACCCAAATGTCTGACTTTCTATAAGGCAGCTTTCTACATCAGGGCAGGTGCGAGGCAAGGACCTGCCTTAGGTTCTCTCCCCCCTCCCCCGCAGGACAGAGCTTGCAAAGATCATGCGGACGCGGGCGAAGGAGATCGAGGTGAAGCTCCTTCTCTTTGCCATCCAGAGGACCACCAACTTTGAAGGGCTGCTGGCAAAACGCTTCTCGGGTTGCACCCTCTCCGACACAGTGCCGGTGAGTCAGGTCTCCCCAGCTGCTCTGGGCAGCTCCCAACAGAATATTAAAAACCACGATCAAACATTAAAAAATTCCCTAAACAGGGCTGCCTTCAGATGTCTTCTAAAAGTCAGGTAGTCGTTTATTTCCTTGACATCTGATGGCAGGGCGTTCCACAGGGAGGGGGCCACCACCGAGAAGGCCCTCTGCCTGGTTCCCTGTAACTTGGCTTCTCGCATTGAGGGAACTGCCAGAAGGCCCTCGGCGCTGGACCTCAGTGTCCAGGATGAATGATGGGAGTGGAGACGCTCCTTCAGGTATACAGGACCGAGGCCGTTTGAAAGGGTCCGAATGTTACAAGCGAAGCAGGAACAGCTTTCCCCTGTCTGCTTTCTCCCTGCCTAATTTCCTTCTGCTTTGTCGTGTCGCCCTTCCCTACCTCATCGCAGAAGAAGGCTGAGCCTCCGCCTCCCAACACCAACCCCTTCCTGGAAGACGAAGCCATCCTGGAGTCGGACGAAGCCACGTTAGAAAAGGCCGACATTGACAGGGTAAGTCTCTTAGCCTCTCGAGGCTTTCGTGGGTGCCGCCCATGTGTTTTCAAGCCCTTCTTCCTGCCCAGAACGGCTGGGCACTTAATTCCCTCCTTTAATAAAAATAAAAATGGAGGTTCTCAGATAATAATAATAATAAATAATAATAATAATAAAAAATTTTATTTATATCCCGCCCTCCCCAGCCGAAGCCGGGCTCAGATGGAGGAAGGATTGGTCCCGCCAACTCCTTTCTGACCTGCAGGTCCCCAAGCTCCCCTGTGTAAGATTTTGCACTGGACTACAGTCAGAAACATAGGAAGGTGCTTTGTGTTGTGTCAGAGCTTTGGGCCATAGAACGTCAGAGAGGAACCCAAGGGCCATCTAGTCCAGCCCCCTGCAATGCATCTAGCTCAGTGTTGCCTACTCTGGCTGGCAGTAGCTATCCAGCCCCATCTGGAGATGCCTTTGGGGGTGGAACCTGAGACCTTCTTCATGTAGAGCAGAAACTCTTGCCCAGGGGCCAGCAAACTTTTTCAGCAGGGGGCTGGTCCACTGTCCCTCAGACTTTATGGGGGGGGTGAACGAATTCCTATGCCCCACAAATAACCCAGAGATGCATTTTAAATAAAAGGACACATTCTACATATGTAAAAACATGCTGATTCCTGGACCGTCCACAGGCCAGATTTAGAAGGCGATTGGGCCGGATCCGGCCCCCGGGCCTTAGTTTGCCTACCCCTGCTCTTGCCTCTGAGCTTGCAGCCCTTCTCCTAAAAACACAGTAAGCTTCAAGTCTTCATGGTTTAAGAGTTCACAAAGGTTCAGAGAAAAATATTTCCCATCCATTTTCTCTATGCCAAGTTTATTGCAACCCCTCCAACTATCATGTAGGGGATTTTCCTCTTCCGTTTGCTGTTTTATGTTTTTGGGAATACTGACCCGGCGGAGGGGAGCATTGCAAATGGAAAAGGAGACGTTTTCCTGAGGGTTGAAGAGTCTGAATTGAGTAATTAAAAAATAACAACAATCAACATTTATCTCTTTAAAAAAGTTCCTCCCAACTTTGTTTTCCAGCCCAAAAAGCCGAAAGTTCCAGACAATCCTTTTCATGGCATCGTCTCCAAGTGCTTTGAGCCTCATCTCTACGTCTACATTGAATCCCAGGACAAGTGAGTAAAGGAAGTTTTTGGAAGGAAGGAAAAAGACGAGAAATAAGAATGTATTGATGCTCTTTTCCCACCCTCACCCAAACTTTTGGGCCTGATCCATTGGGAACATCCTTTTTACGTTAGCATTGGTACGGGGCCGTGAGCAACTCCCTTTTTAATTTCTGCAATTTCTCGTGTGGGAACAGACCCCTTTGTCCAGACCTTCAGGACGACAGAAGGGCCACAGATTTGCACAGCCCTGAGAATCTCAGTTTTTGCTTTAAAAGTCAAGTTTCTAGCCCTCGTGGCTGGGGTGGTAGGCTCGGGAGCACGTACATAGCGCAGCTTGGCTTCGATTCCCTCTGGTAGATCTGTGCCTCAGTGGGCAGAACAAGAATGAGTGAGGCAACCCAAAACCAGTCTAAATCCTTTTGCCTGACAGCCTGCATGTTTGTCTTTGCTTCTCTTCTGCCTCCAGAAACCTCAGCGAGCTGATTGACCGCTTTGTGGGGGATTTCAAAGCCCAAGGGCCCCCCAAGCCGAACGTGGACGAGGGCGGGGCGGTCCTGCCCAGCTGCGCTGACCTCTTTGTGTACTACAAGAAATGCATGGTGCAGTGTTCCCAGCTGAGCACCGGGGAGCCCATGATTGCCCTCACCACCATCTTCCAGAAATACCTCCGGGAATACGCCTGGAAGATCCTCTCGGGAAATCTGCCCAAGTGAGATTTTAGCACCGTCAGATCTCTGGCCTTGCTAGCTCTGGCCTTGCTAGCTAGTAATATAATAATAATAATAATAATAATAATAATAATAATAATTTATTATTTGTACCCCGCCCCATCTGGCTGGGTTTCCCCAGCCACTCTGAGCGGCTTCCAACAAAGATGAAAGATACACTAAAATGTCACATATTAAAAACTTCCCTGAACAGGGCTGCCTTCAGATGTCTTCTGAATGTCAGGTAGATGTTTATCGCTTTGACATCTGATGGGAGGGCGTTCCACAGGGCAGGCGCCACTACCGAGAAGGCCCTCTGCCTGGTTCCCTGTAGGGGTGATGGGAGTTGCAGTCCAACAACATCTGGGCACCCACAGGTTGAGAAAGGCTGGTCTTGATTGTCGTTGAAGCAAGAGGGGGGTGTCTTATACACAGAAAAATACGGCATTTTAATTTTACTACACAACCTGCACAAGAAAAACAAAAGAAGAAGTTAAAAACCCACCAGAAACAGCCGGTGTATTTAAAATAATTTAAAACAACACAGGCATTCACGGCTGGCGCACGCCTGGCTGCTTTTTGGGCTGTCAAGCCCCCCTCTGTGTTTAATTGCCGTGTTCTTTTCCCCCTTGCAGGACGACCAGCAGCAGTGGGGGGCTGACTATCAGCAGCCTGCTGAAGGAGAAAGAGGGTTCAGAGGTGGCCAAGTTCACCTTGGAAGAGCTCTGTTTGATCTGCAGCATCCTCAGCACGGCCGAGTACTGCTTGGCGACCACCCAACAGGTAAAGCCTGCGGGCGGCTGGGGGGCCAGGGAGCGCCGGGGAATCCTGCAGGGATGCAATCTTCAGCCAAAAACAACATGGCTGCCTACCTTAAAACGAAACCCAAGTTTCTAGTCCTTATGAGCTTAGGGTACAGAGGCTGGGGGGATTGTTGGGAGATGGATTTCAACAATGACTGTGGATGCAACGCGCAGGTTGTCTCCTCCCACTTGCTCTCTCGAGGAAGCATAGCACATGGGGAGGCAAACTAAGGCCCGGGGGGTCGGATCCGGCCCAATCGCCTTCTAAATCTGGCCCGTGGATGGTCCGGGAATCAGCATGTTTTTACATGAGTAGCATGTGTGCTTTTATTTAAAACGCATCTCTGGGTTATTTGTGGGGCATAGGAATTCGTTCATTTCCCCCCTTCAAAATATAGTCTGGCCCCCCGCAAGGTCAGAAGGACAGTGGACCGGCCCCCTGCTGAAAAAGTTTGCTGACCCCGGCATAGCACACCTGAAAACATCCTGCCGTTTCTGGCAGAATTCTAGAAATGTGGGAACAGGGGTCCCCAGTTATTAGGGGTGTGGGGTGTACATATCTCTCCCTGGGTGCCTCACACGGGCTGTTTTTAATTTTATACTTAAGGCATGGTTAAGCGGGTGGTTAGACAAAAGATTTGACGTTTCGGGATCAGCCAGACTTTCACGGAGAAAGCCCCTCTCTCTCTGTCTCACACCCCAAACTTCTTCAACAGCTTGAAGAGAAGCTCAAAGAGAAAGTCGACGCCAGTCTGGTGGAGCGGATCAACCTGATGGGGGAGATGGATACCTTTAGCATGTATGTATGCCGCTGGCGCAACCCCCCCCCCCGAATGTGAGGATCTGGGGTCCTGGGCTGGCTGGGACTGCTGGAGAGTCATAGCCCAAAAACTCAGATTGCCAAAGACATTTGCTTGTCTGGATGGAGGAGAGAGAGGTGTACATGTACAGAAACTAGTCTACCATCCAAAAGTTAAGATTTGCACCCACTGCCCTGCCTCCTTTTGCTGTTAGCTCTGACATGCGGCCCCCAGAAGGTTGCTCAGATGGGAACACGGCCCCCCCGGCTGCAAACCACCCTTGCAACAAGGCCTTTAAACAGGCAGAGGCAAACTTGGCCCTCCAGATGTTTTGGGACTACAACTCCCATCATCCCTGACCACTGGTCCTGTTACCTAGGGATGATGGGAGTTGTAGTCCCAAAACATCTGGAGGGCCGAGTTTGCCTTTGCCTGCCTTTCAAGATTAAACATTCTTTAAGTTGGCTTTCCCATTTTTGCAGGTTCCCGTTTTTTTAAGCATCTGCTCAGCTCCTCCAAGGACCACTGGGGGGCCTGCAAGCCCCTCTCCCTCCCCGCCACTGCGGCCACCTTGGCAGCCATATTGGCAGCCACAGCTCCCCACAATGCCTGTTTTTTCCAGGCCTTTTTTTCCTGACAGGCCTGTCAGCTGAGGTGACGTTTCCCTCACGCTCAAAGAAAATTGAAGTAGACGAGAGCTGATATTTCTATTAACGGGTGGCTGTTTTTATGCGCCGTTAACAACTGCATGTGTGAGCCCTGACAGGCTGCGAGTTTTGTCGCGCCTTTTTTTTTTAATTTCCCGGCACGAGTGGAAATGTTAAGAAGAGGTGGTGGGGCGAGTTCTTGTGTCGTGACGGGCGGCTTCAGCGTTGACGGCTCTGTCAGGAAGTTATTTTGGCCGTTCCTGAGGGAAGATTGACAGCTTTAATTTACTAAGAGTAGATTACGCCTGGGAAGGCATCATTTGTGTCTCCCAAATTTGGCAGCTAAGTGGAGCGCCCAGCTTGTTTCTCTAATAGAGCTGTTCAGCACTATTCAAATTGTGTTAACATTTGTTTCCCCCCCTGTGTTTCGTTGTTGAACTTCTTAGCCTCTCATTACATAGAAATGTCTTCTCACTGGCGTGATTGCAAATTGTTTGGCGCATTGCAGCTTTCCCCAACCTAGATTTTGTTGGACTACAAGTCCCATCGTCACTTGCCTTCCTGGCTAAGGATAATGGGAGTTGTAGTCCAATGACATCTGGAGGTGGGAAAGGCTGGTGTGGTAAATAGAGTGCCAGACTGGGACGAGGGAGATGGGGACTTGGATCCCCACCTGGGCATGAAGTTTGCCAATGAACACTGGGCCAGTCACTGCCTCTCAGCCCAAACTACCTGACAGGGTTGTCGTGAGGGATAAAACAGGGAGGAGATCTGTGTATCCCACCTCGAGCCCTCCTCCTGGTCCTCCTTTCCTACCGAAGGGAGCCCAGGACCAAAAAGTTAAAATAATGCCATTTAAAATGAAAAACATATTTAAAACAGTATAAAACTCAAATGCGTTTAAAACATTTAGAACATCTGGAAGTCATGTAGAAGTAATGAGGAAGTGAAAAATGCATTCTGCTCAAAACACATTTGCACAAAAGCACTTGCAATTCATAAAAGAGCTGCAATTCCCAGAGCTGTTTAACCATCAGTCCGTCTGCCCAGGGAACTCTGGGGATTGTGGCTCTGGGAGGGGAATGGGGGTGTCCCAACAGCTCTTACTACCCACCACAAACTACAGCTCCCAGAATTCTTTGGAGGAAGAAGCCATGACTGTTTAAAGTGGTTTATTTATTTATTTATTTATTTATTTATACATACCCTGCCCATCTGGCTGGGCTTCCCCAGCCACTGTGGGTGGCTTTCAAAAAAATATTAAAATATTGTAATAAATCAAAAATTAAAAGCTTCCCTAACCAGGGCTGCCTTCAGATGTCTTCTAAAAGTCTGGTAGTTGTTGTTCTCTTTGACATCTGGTGGGAGGGAATTCCACAGGGAGGGCGCCACTACCAAGAAGGCCCTCTGCCTGGTTCCCTGTAACTTGGCTTCTCGCAGCGAGGGAACTGCCAGAAGGCCCTGGGTGCTGGACCTCAGCATCCGGGCAGAATGATGGGGGTGGAGACACTCCTTCAGATATACTGGGCCAAGGCCGTTTAGGGCTTTAAAGGTATAAAAGTATAAAACTGCTTTAAAAGTACAGGGCAAGTGGGGCCTAAATGTAGAAAAGTAGGTTGTCAGGGTGCTTTCCCCTGAACTTGCTAGTTTTCTGCAGGCAGGGAATTTTAAAGAAGATTTTGCCGGGAGGCAATCCTGAATCCCTCCCTTTTCCAGCCTCAGGTTGCGTCTCTAGAATAGAGTGTGCAAGCAGAGAAATTCAGGGACTTCCCCCTTGACCTGAGCTCACCCAGCTGGCCTTTGCCTCAGTCGTTTCATCTCGCTTTTATTATTTTCCAAGTGTCTCTGTATAGTTTAAAAAAGGAAATTCAGAAAGTTGTCAGATGAGTGAGTAACAACAACCTTCTAGGGCATCACAGCTAGCGGGGCCTTCTTTGTGTTGGCTCCCACAGCAATAAAGGTAAAATGAAACCGTCTTGTTCCCTTTACAGAGTGATTTCTAACAGCATCCAGCTTCTGGTGCAGGACTTGGACGCTGCCTGTGACCCAGCTCTCACGGCCATGAGCAAGGTAGGAGTCTCAAACCTTTAAAAGCTAAAGTTGCAAGGAATTCTGGAGGACATCTATTCCAACCCCGAGAAGCTTACCAAACTATGAGTGCTGTTCGCATTTTATACCGTATTTTATGCTGTTTTTTGTAGCATCAATTAAGTGTTTTAAATTTGTTGTCAGCCGCCCTGAGCCCGGTTTTCTGAACCGGAAAGGGCAGGGTATAAATAAAAAATTATTATTATTATTATTGTAAAACAAATTTTGAAGATGTATACAAAACGTGAGAATACAACAGTGATGGGGAACCTCAGGCCAGGGGGTTCAGATGTGGTCCATGGGACTCTCCCCAGGCCACACCCCCTCTCTGAAGGCCACGCCCCTCCCAGCCCTGCATTGCACCTTCCTTGAGTGTTTTGGTCTGGCTGGAAATGTGCCCTTGGTCATGATGCCTCTTTGCTTCTCTGGATGGAGGCGGAAGAGGGATAATAATAATAATTTTTATTTATACCCCGCCCTCCCCAGCCAAGGCCGGGCTCAGGGTGGCCAACAAGCAATAATAAAAATAAGTTGAATGAATACAACTTAAAAACAAAATTAAAATACAACATTAAAATATTAAAATGCAGCCTCATCGCAGGAGGAGAAAGGAAAAAGAAAAAAGAAAGAGGGGGAGGGAATCAAATTGGCTCCAGGCCAAAGGCCAGGCGGAACAACTCTGTCTTACAGGCCCTGCGGAAAGAAATCAGATCCCACAGGGCCCTGGTCTCATGAGGCAGAGCGTTCCACCAGCCGGAGCCAGAGTTGAAAAGGCCCTGGCTCTGGTTGAGGCTAATCGTAACTTCCTTAGGGCCTGGGACCTCCAAAGTGTTGTCATTTGTGGACCTTAAGTTCCTCAGTGGGGCATATCGGGAGAGGCGGTCCCGTAGGTACAAGGGTCCTAGGCCGTGAAGGGCTTTAAAGGTCAAAAGCAGCACCTTAAATCTGACCCTGTACTCCACCGGGAGCCAGTGCAGCTGGAAAAGCACTGGGTGAACATGCTCCCATGGCAGAGACCCTGTGAGGAGCCTCGCTGCAGCATTCTGCACCCGCTGGAGTTTCTGGGACAGCTTCAAGGGCAGCCCCGCGTAGAGCGAATTACAGTAGTCAAGCCTGGAGGAGACCGTCGCATGGATGAGCAAGTGTGCATAGAAGCTGGCCTACTGCACAGAAGCAAAAATTGGCATTGGTTGCTCCGCCCACTTTTACCTCTGGCCCCGCCCACTGCGGCACACGGCCCCCAGGAAGTTGTCCAGAAGGGAATGGGGCCCTCAGACTCAAAAAGGTTTCCCACCCCCAGCTGTATACAAAAACCAAGCTGTGTTAGGGGGTCGGCTGCTGCTGGTAGCACAAAAGGAAAGCTAAAAAGTTGAGACTTTAAGCCCAGGGGTCAAATAAATCCCCGCCGCCCCCAAATTTGATCTTCTGACCCACTCTGATCTCCCGCCACCATTGCACTCGGCAGCCTTGAACTACCTAACAGGAGCGTTGTGATACAAACAGGGTTGGAGGGAGAGAATGACGTAGGAGATTTCTAAACGCCTTGGAGGAAAGACGGGATTAAAATACCGTATTTTCCGGCGTATAAGACGACTGGGCGTATAAGACAACCCCCAACTTTTCCAGTTAAAATATAGAGTCTGGGATATACTCGCCGTATAAGACTACCCCTCTTCCAACGCACACCAAATAAAAATTTAAAAAACCAGCCTCCAGTCCGGCTCGGAAATCCGCTTCACTTCCCAGTGGCCGGGGGCTTCTGGGGCCAATTTTCAAGCGTATTTCTGCTTCATCTAGAGAGCTCGGCGTCCTCTGATTTAATTTGCTGTCGTTTTATCCTTTGGTGGGGAGTTGCTACAGGAGCTGCTGCTGTAGCCGGCGTATAAGACGACCCCCGACTTTTGAGAAGATTTTCCTGGGTTAAAAAGTAGCCTTATATGCCAGAAAATACAGTAATCACACGGGCACGAAAATCTTGGGCAGCATCACTGTCGGTCTCTGGTTTGTGTTGCATTCGGGCCTCGGAAGCTGGGTCTCGTTCCGCTGCTACTTAAAAACCTTCCGTCTCCTTGCAGATGCAGTGGCAGAATGTGGAGCACGTGGGCGACCAGAGTCCCTATGTCACGTCGGTGATCTTGCACATCAAGCAGAATGTCCCCATCATCCGAGACAACCTGGCCTCCACCCGCAAGTACTTCACGCAGTTCTGCATCAAGTTCGCCAAGTGAGTTCCTCCTGCTGCTCTGCTTGCATCATAATAATAATAATAATAATAATAATAATTTATTTATTCCCCTGCCCATCTGGCTGAGTTTCCCCAGCCACTCTGGGCGGCTCCCAATCAAGTGTTAAAAACAGTACAGCGTTAAATATTAAAAACTTCCCTGAACAGGGAATTATGTAATGAGGAATTATGATGCTGATTTATAAAAAAGAAGGTGATTTCTCAAGGTTTGTAGATGATAGAGAAGTGATCATGAGAATACAATACATATGTTAAATGTCATGGGGATGTCAGAGAGAAAGACGGAAAGAAGTCAAAGCTCATTTTGAGCAAATAATATAAGTTGTGAATATGTGTATGGAATTAAAATGAAATACAGAAAAAATCAATAAAAATTAGGTTAAAAAAAAAACTTCCCTGAACAGGGCTGCCTTCAGATGTCTTTTAAAGATAGGATAGCTGCTTATTTCCTTCACATCTGAAGGGAGGGTGTTCCACAGGGAGGGCGCCACCACCGAGAAGGCCCTCTGTCTGGTTCCCTGTAACTTCACTTCTCGCAGGGAGGGAACCGCCAGAAGGCCCTCGGCACTGGACCTCAGTGTCCGGGCTGAACGATGGGGGTGGAGACGCTCCTGGCCATTTAGGTATGCATGGCCTTCTGGGACCTCAGGCCCTCCAGGCTTCTCTGTTCAGCCCGCCAGGACTCTCTTGCCAGTCCACGCTGCCTCACCGGCCCTGCTCCACACCCCAGCTGGTTTTCGCCATCCGTGAAGTCTGGCAATGCCTCTTGCTTGACCGGGTGGTGGGCAGAGAGGGTTGGATGCGAGTGTGGCCGCTGCTCAGAACTGGAATTTGCATCCATTGCCCCGCCCACTGTGGCTCCTTGCCCCGCCCACCATCGATAAGATTCCCCAACCATGTGCTGAAACTTCTTCGTCTTCTTTTAATCTTTTTTATTAAGTTTTACATTTCAAATTTAAATTCAAACGCTGAACATCATCATTATTTAAGATTCCCTGAATCCTTTGACTCCCCTCCATGGTTACCATTTCCAGTCTTTTCCCACTGCTTCACTTATTTCCTCTATTTTTCTTAAATAATCCATTTTTACCTTAGTTTTTAGTCCATTACGTTACTCAAATCCTGCCAAAGTTTTTAGTTGTTTACAGTGTTCTCTTAAATACATTGCAAAGTTCCCCCTTTAAGTTCCTCTCTTCCTGGTTTCTGATTTTCCCGGTCCCTTTCGCCATTTCGGCATAGTCCATCATTTTCACCAGTCATTCGTCTCTGGTGGGGACTTTATCTTCTTTCCATCTCTGGGCCAGTAGTATCCATGCTGCTGTCGCCGCGTACATAAATAATTGTTTCTGCTCCTTTGGTATCTCTGCACCTAAGATTCCTAGCAAAAAAGCCTCTGTTTCCCCCCACAAATGTTATTTTAAACATTTTTTTCAACTCATTGTATATCATTTCCCAGAATGCTTTTGTTATCTTGCATGCCCACCACATGTGGTAGAACATACCTGTGCTAAAACCTCTTAGGCTGAAATCCTCCTGCTTAGCAAAAACCCCCACGGAACAGAACTTTACTTCTGAGCTGAAAAGCTTGTACCGTGATAGCCTTGAAACCTCAATGCGGTTTGACATGGGGACCAGCCTACACCAAAGGGATGGTTGTAGTCTTAGGCAGAGGATGGCTGAACAAGCCGTCCCAGAGGAGAAGTGGAAGAACAATGACTACGTACGCATACATACATAATTTTATTTGTATGACGCCTTTCCACAGTTAAAACCAAGCTCAAGGCGGCTTACAACAGGAAAAAATACAGTAATTATAAACATAAAAATAGGCATGAACAAACAAACATAACATCAAAAAGTACACATCCAAATTAAAACCATTTCCATGTGAGTCGTAACGCCATCTAAAATAAAGGTACAACAAAATTAAAATCGGTAACAGCAACAAAAAACCGGCCAAACAGTACCCCAGTCCAAGAGTCTGCTTGCAGCTGGAGTCAGTCCGGACCCCGCCTTCCCAGTCCAGGTGGAAAATGCCTGCAAGACAGGGAGCAGGTCTTCCAGGACTCACAGCCCAGATGGGCTTGGTGGCATCAGCTGGTTAAGTTTCAGGAAGCAGAGAGGAACCAGTTCTCCAAATGGAGAGAAGTAGAACATGGGGTCCTCCAATCCATGGATTGATTCGGGACATAAAAGTCAGAGGCCCCGCAATTTTTCCTTGCCTTGTGAGAAGGCAGCCATTACCGTTCCTCCTCAGACTCTGATACAGCTAAGGTAGACTTCTTTGGAGCAGAGATGTTCCATTCAGTTGCTGTCTGGCTCTGTGTGTTTCTCTGAAGCTTTCCCCCCTTTAAACCCCTCTTTTCATGTTGTTTTTGTTGAGAAATATGCAGGCGGATCTCTCGGACTGCTTTGCACAAGCATTTTGGGGCTCTCTGTGTCCCTTTCCCCCTCTCTGGGAGCGTTTAGTTTCACCTTCAGGGGCCTTCTCCTGATAAATCATCAGATGTTGGCGGGCTTTCTAAAGTGCTGCCTCTGCGGAAAATTTACGGCGCTTCAGGCTCCAACAGAAACTGTGCCTGAAGTTTTTATAGTATCGCTTAGCGGGGCGATAAATCCATTTATAGATTAAATACACAGACTTCTGCCATTTTTGCCGGGCAGGCTTTTAATAGCTTGGCTCTGCTTGCCTGGCTCTTTATAATTTCAATTTTTTTATATATAAAAAAAGACTTCACTGATTAGCCCACATCATGGAGGGAAACTTTGCCCGACTCTTGCATCTGGAACGAGTTTGGATGGAGAGGGGAAGGGAACGTTACTTTAAATATCGCTGCGTTTGTGGAAGCCTGCGAGGGTGTCTCCTTTGCCCCAGCAGCTGTGGGCTGAAAGGCCTAGAGATCAGCTTCTTGGGAACTGAACGTCCCCCCTCCAGTCACTTTTATTCCATTTTAAAAGCTGGTAGTCCTCATGGCCACAGGAGTACGCTTAAAAATGTGTGGGCAATACCTGGTTGGAATCTCAAGGTGCCTCTGGAACATAGGTAGCTGCCTTGAAACCAGGTCAGACCATTGGCATCCATTGAGCTCAGCTCTGCCCACACTGGTTGGCAGCAGCAGTTCTCCAGGGTTTCAGGCAGAGAGTATTTCCCAGCCTTATCTGAAGATACTGGATGTGCATGTGGAAGAAACAGAAGAGCCTGGGTCAAAGGGGGACTATCTAGCTTAGTGTCCTGTTCCCACAGTGGCGCCCAAGATGCCCTCATGGGAGTTCCATAGTTTAGATCTGTGCTGTGTGAAGGAGGACTTTATTTTATCTCCCCAAAATCTCCCAATGTTCAGCTTCACTGCATGTCCGCAAGTTAAGTGAGAAGGAGAAAAAATTTCTCTGTGCATAATTTTATAAGATTCTATCATGTTGCCTCTTGTCTGCCATTCTCGGCAGTGGCGCCCGCCCTGTGGAACGCCCTCCCTTCAGATGTCAAAGAATTCAACAACTACCTGGCTTTTAGAAGACATCTGAAGGCAGCTCTGGTTAGGGAAGTTTTTAATGTTGGATGTTTTGTCGTGTTTTTAATATTCTGTTGGGAGCCGCCCAGAACGGCTGGGGAAACCCGGCCAGATGGGTGGGGTATAAATAATAAATTATTATTATATTATTATTTCTCCCAAATGCCGCAACCTTTCCTCAGAGGGGAGTCGCTCCATCCCCCTTGATATTTTTTGTTTGTTTCATTTACATTTTTGTTGTTTAAAAAAAGACTGTTTTTCCCCCCTTCCTTTTATTTGTTTGTTAAATTGTTAAAAAGGAGGCGAGGGGAAATTACTCTTGTGTTTTTTATTTTATTTAAGTGGGGGGGGGGATAAAATGTGGAGTGTGTGATTTCTTCGATTCTTTCCCCGCAGCTCCTTCATCCCCAAATTTATCAACCACCTCTTCAAGTGCAAGCCGATCAGCATGGTGGGGGCAGAACAGGTGAGAGTCAAGGACTGAAAGGGATCAGGTGAGGCAGGGGCCTGCAGGCGGAGCAGTGTGGAGAAGGGAGAACATTGCGTTTTGAATTTTGAAGTATTTTTAAAATATAAATATTGCATTGGGGTGGCTAACGTACCACAGTTTGGAAGTAAATCCCATGTTGGCTGCAGAATGTATTTCTGAATGGCATTTTCCTTCATCCAGCAAAAAGAAGCCCGAGCAGAGGCAACCCAGCAAGGAAGCCCCGCTGAGCTGCCATTGAAAATCCTGGGCATGAGGCCGAGAGGAAACTGGAAGCTTCCATTTCCGCTCTTAAATAAACCACAGTTCCTAGTGATTTCTGAACTCGGGGAACTGTGGTTTGTTTAAACTTGAGTGAGTTTTATTGCCTGGGTTTGCCTGGGCTTAAGCAAGCCGCGGTTCCCTGTGTTTCTATTTCTTAGCATATGCCAGAAGATGTTTTTGTGCAGGGTAGCCAACGTGATCTCTTCCAAACGTTGCCGACCTGCAACTTCCATCATCTCTGAGCACTGGCCGTTCTGGTTGGGGATGATGGGACTTGGTGTGGTCCGAAATATCCAGAGGGAAGACTGATTTGGGGTGTCGGAAAGCACTAGGATTTCATTCCCCGCCCTCTGGAATAGCCACATCTCGTGCGTGGAGCTTTCCCACTGGGCAACATGAGTCGGGGGGCTCCTTTGACCGACTGAAGCTTAACCCCCACCTTTAAATCTGATGCAGCTGCTTTTGGATACTCACTCTCTGAAGATGGTTCTTCTGGACCTGCCGTCTATTGGGTCCCAGGTGGTGAGAAAGGCACCTGCCAGCTACACCAAGATTGTGGTGAAAGGCATGACCCGTGCCGAAATGATTCTCAAGGTAACTTCGGGGCTCTTTCTTTCTTTCGTGGTTAAGAGTGGTGGACTCGTCGTCCGGTGAACTGGGTTTACTTCCTCGCTCCTCCACATGCAGCTGCTGGGTGACCTTGGGCCAGTCACACTTCTTTGAAGTCTCTCAGCCCCACTCACCTCACAGAGTGTTTGTGGTGGGGGAGGAAGGGAAAGGAGAATGTTAGCCACTTTGAGACTCCTTCGGGTAGTGATAAAGAGGGATATCAAATCCAAACTCCTCCTCCTCCTCCTCTTCTTCTTCTTCTTCTTCTTCTTCTTCTATCAACTGTCAGCCTGTTTAGTTGCCTATCGGAAGGGGCGGCATTGTCACGGGAACCTTGCCGGTCCGTAATCCCACAGTTAGCTCTTTCTTATCAAAAGATGGAGTTAGCTCTTTATTATCAAAAACGCAATCGCCACAGACTTGGTTGAGTGCCAGACCTAATGAGCAGAGCATCTCATTCCCAGGGGTGTCCCTCCAGGAAAATCAGTTGCTGAAAGTCCTCGTCTCCTCACAGCTATCGAAGTTCCTTCCTCTCCAGGGCGTTTTCCAAGCAATCGGAGACTGTGCCTTTGTGCAGCCAACCTCTCCTTTGCCCTTTTCATGCCTCTTCTGGTTCTGGGAGACAGGGCGGGAGGGGGTGACACCTGTGACTCTTCACCAGCCTGACTCAGCTCTGCTTTTTTGGCCTCCATCCTCCCTCTCTCTTGCTTCCAACTCTGCTTCTGCACTTCTCTCTGCACCGACTCTCCCAGCTCACTAAGCCCTGTTCCCTCTTCCCAGTCTGCTCCCTCTTCCCCTCATTGCCGCCCCACCACCAATCCCCGGTTTCTGAGCCATCGTCCCTTGGAGAGGTTCCCCAACTGGTCCCTCCCACCATTTCTCTGCGTCCAACCAGTTCGTGACAGGCTCCTCAGTGGTCGACTTTGCCTGCTCAATCCCCGAAAGCATCACCAGGTTCAAAAAGCGACTGGGTGGCCAGTGACCTTTCTCTCTCTGGAGAGCCACTGCCAGATGAGTATGCAGTATTGAGCTTAAATGCACAATAAGCCCATACGTTGCAACCAGTGATGGTAACTCAGAGGTAGAACACCCGCTTTCCATGAAGAAGGTCCTGAGTTCGATTCACGGCATCCCCAGTTGAAAGAGGCAGCGGGTAGGCCGGACTTTGCCCAGAGAGCGACTGCCAGTCAGAGCAGGCACTGCTGGCCCAGGTGGAGAAATGGCACGGCCTGTTCTGAGACAGAACGCTGGAATGTCAGTGGCTTTTAATAAGTAAATATCCTAGCCTGCCGGACTCAGATTCTTGGTGCGTGTGTCATTTTTGTGGGGGGGGGGAATGTGTCTCATTGACACCTCACAAACAGAGGCCTCCCCCCACACGCCTGGCCCCAAATGCTGGTGGTTTGGTGAATCATCTCTCCTTTGCTTCTGTGGGCCTTGCCTTCCCACACCTCGTAGTAGCCGTGATATATACATATAAGGCAAAACCAAACCCCACCAGCCTAACTTTGGTTTCTTCTGTGGATTCTCTTCCCCGCTCCCTCGAGCCGTCAAGTTTTCTGCACAGACGCAGTGGCTGGTTGCTTGGCTTTCGTAGATAACCACAAGAACTTCCCACAAGACTATTATAGATCTCTCTCTCTCTCTCTCTCTCTCTTTCTCTCTCTCTCGTTCCCCGAATGCTGTCCCAGGGCTATGGAGGGGAGGTTTTGGGTTCTCCTCGGGGTGGCGTTCCTCCGGCGTTCCCGATGAGATCATCGCAGAGGGTTGCCAGCGGTTGCTTGTGTGCTTGTGGGGCTGCGATTCTGTCAGGATGGGGGTGGCCTTGCCACTAGAAGCATCCATTTGCTCTGAGCGGCACAGGCTTTTTAGATCGTTTTTGCATTTATATCCCATGCTGCTCCTCATTTAATCCCCATTCAGTATGGAGGAATGATGGCGGGAACAAATTAAACGGCTTTGGCCCTATATGCCTGACCCCCATTGTCCAGCCAGGACACTGAGGTCCACCTCCGAGGGCCTTCTGGCGGTTCCCTTGCTCCAAGAAACGAAGGGACGGGGAACCAGGAAGAGGGCCTTCTTGGTGGTGGCACCCGCCCTGTGGGCGGCTTTGAAAAAGGACTGGACCAATCCACAGAAGGGGGGAGGGCTTTTGAGCTTGGGTCCTGCTTATGGGCTTCACACTGGCACCTGGTTGGCCGCCGTGAGCCCAGGATGCTGGATTAGATGGGCCACCAGCCTGATCCAGCACAGCTCTTCTTCAGTTCCTAGGATAGGTTCTTGGTGGCTACCAGTCGTCAGGACTGTGTGCTGCCTCCCTCTGAATGCCAGTCTCTGGAAAATGCTTCGCACGGCAACATTTTGATGCCTTACTTCCTTCGCCTTCCTTTAACACGTTGACATCCCTTGACTCGCTGTAGTTTTTGTAGTCCGTAGTTGCTATGGTCACGATAACTTCCTTGTGGGATCCTCTTTAGAGCAGCCTCTAAATCACCCATTCTCAACCTGTGGGTCCCCAGATGTTGAACTACAACTCCCATCACCCCTAGCTAGCAAGACATCTGGGGGCCCACAGGTTGAGAACCGCTGCAAATGAACCGGCGGGAGGGCTGGTGTAAGCATGGTGGCTAGAGCGCTGTGCTAGAACCCGCGAGACCCGAGTTCGAATCACCCCCTCAGCCGTGAAGCTCTCTCAGTGGGGGCTTCTCTCAGCCAACCCCGCTCCGCAGGGTGGTTTTGAGGACAAAACAGAGGAGAGGGAGAGAGCTGAGCCTGACGCCTTGAGGAAGAGATGCGAACGTGATAAAGAACAATGAAATAAACCCCCACTGGTGGCTTGTGTGTCACCTCTATGGGGTTCCTCAAGGTTTTAAGGGGGATATCGCAGCCCATCTCCTTAAAGTTGAAGGTGGCCGTCCCGATCAGGCCGAAGGGCCTTTCCTCAGCCGCCCTCTGCCTGGACGACCCTCCCTTCTGACGGTTTTGCTCCCCGCCTCTCCCTGCAGGTCGTGATGGCCCCCCACGAGCCGCCCGTGGTGTTTGTGGACAACTACATCAAACTCCTTGCCGACTGCAGCACGGACACCTTCCAGAAGATTCTGGACATGAAGGTGAGGGGAGCCCTGTGGGCTCCGCCAGCGCTGGTGGCCTCCGCCCCCAATTCCAGGGTTTTGAGGTCAGCACTGCAACTTCCCTGCGGCTCCCATTCATTTATAGAAGCCTAGAGTTGGAAGAGACACCAGAGGGTCATTTAGTCCATCCCGCTACAACGCAGGAAGTTCTGGTCACACAGGAGACCGTCCCAATGGGCACTCTGGTGGGAAGTGGGCACGTTGACGCTCTCTTGGGCCGATTTATTTCTGCATTGATTCGTGTGGCTTTTGCCCTCCTATGTTTGTGACATCATACTGGGTTCATAGGGAAAGGGTTAACTGATTGTAAAATGACTAACCAATGGGAACCCAGGGGGCAGAGTTAACGGTGTATAAGATTTAAGCACAGAGGTTTTTTGTGAGTTAGAGTTGTTGAGAAGACAGTCTGGAGTTAGGAGAGACAGAGAAGAGAAGTCTGTGGGTTGGGCTAGTCTGGTGTAAGAGAGGGAGAGAATTAGTTAAGAGGAGTCAGTCAAACAGGTGAGATCATCAGTCAGAAGGTATTAGGAAGGTAAAGGTAAAGGGACCCCTGACCGTTAGGTCCAGTCGTGGTTGACTCTGGGGTTGCGGCGCTCATCTCGCTTTATTGGCCGAGGGAGCCGGCGTACAGCTTCCGGGTCATGTGGCCGGCATGACTAAGCCGCTTCTGGCGAACCAGAGCAGCGCACGGAACACCGTTTACCTTCCCGCCAGAGCGGTACCTATTTATCTACTTGCACTTTGACATGCTTTCGAACTGCTAGGTTGGCAGGAGCAGGGACCGAGCAACGGGAGCTCACCCCGTCGCGGGGATTTGTACCGCCGACCTTCTGATCAGCAAGCCCTAGGCTCTGTGGTTTAACCCACAGCGCCACCCGCTAAAGTTAAAATACTGGCAGGAATATTATCTGAGAAACCATAAACTTGTTAATGTTTGTAAAATAAACTTGTTTTATTTGGTTCACTTTTAACAACTGACTGGACTCGGTGTTTTACCAGAGAGTAACGGGTTGGTGGCAGCGGGGAAGCGAGCACAGTGGTGGCACAGGGATCAATAGACGTCTGGGGACCCTGTGTGATTGCCACGATTCGCCTACACGTGTCATTTTCCTTGCCCCGCAGGGTCTGAAGAGGAGTGAGCAGAGCAGCATGCTGGACTTGTTCCGCCAGAGGCTCCCAGCTCCTCCCTCCGGAGGCGACAACGCCGCCTCCATCTCCCTGGCAGCCCCTACGCCTGAGCAGGAATCCTCGCGCATCCGCAAGCTGGAGAAACTCATCAAGAAGAGGCTCTAGGGGGCTGCTGCTTCTTCTTCTTCCCCTCCACGCCCTGCTCTCTCTTTCTCCAAGATGAGCCGTGCCAGTTCTGGAACCCCCCTTGACATGGCTTCTTACTCGTGCTGCTGAGAATGAGCCTCCCCTTCGCCCGCTCCTGGTACTCCAGATTCAAATTCCTCGTCGCTCGCTTTTGGAAGATCCTTGGCACTAAGACTGTACCAGCCGGAAGAGTCACACAAGGGGGCTTTTCGGCTATCCTGTACCACTTCAGACTCCAGCGAGGAACGTCTCCTGAGCCACCTTCAAAAATATAAAGGAATCGCCCCACATATTTCACTTTTTCGTCGTCACATGCTTGCTTCGCTATGAGTATGGGTTGTTTGTTTAGGGCGGAGGATATTCAGACGTGCAGTTCCACCCCGCAGTCTGAAATGGTGCAGGCCAGCAAGTCCTCAACATGGGAGTCTCCTAATGGGATCAGTTCTGCGCTTTCCCCTCCATAGGAATCCCCTGAGCTTCTCCACTTGAGCTGCTTCATCTCCCTGCCATTGCCTTCCCTGTGTTCACTTCCATACAGTCCCCGCAGCACAGCGGTCCTCAGTGAGGCTGAGTGCTGCTTTGTCCTCTGCGTGGCAATGGCTGCTATGGTCCTGCGAATGAATGTGCTTTTAATGTAAGAAAACACGGAAGCCAGGTGCAGGGAATGTTGATGGTCCTGGAACCCGCAGGATATGACAGGTCCCTATTCACTCCCACCCCACCCCCAAGTGACTTTCCTGCAGGGTCCCTTTAGTTGTGGCTCCTAAAAACACCCTGGCAGCTTGGTTTCGAAACAATATTTTGCATTGTTTTCTGGAGGCAGGGCTGAGCTAAGGCCTCGGGGCCACTAGCTGCCGACCCTCCTTGACTGGAGTCGGCTGCCGCCCTGCTGCTTGACTCGGTTGGCCCTTTGTCCCATTTGGCTTCTTCGAGGCGTGCGTGGTGTTGACTCTCGCTACGGATCCGCTTGCGAAAGGAAGCCTAATCAAGGCGGGCGTGGCTTCTCCCTCCCAGGCTATATGGATGTCCTTGCGTTAAGGGCAAACAAAACCCGGGCCATAAATTCCAAAGGTGATAAAGATCAGGAAGCTGAAAAAATATTCATAGCTGGGTTTGTCCACCCAACCCTGCCTTTGCAGGTATGTAGACAAAAGGTTGACCGTTAAAATGGAGGTATACTTTTTGCTGTTGCCAGTTTTTGCCACTTTGGCGTGAAGCTTTTAAAAAACTTTTATTTTTTATCATCTTGATTTGAAACTACCCTCTTTCCTTATTTATCAGGTGATTTTGGATGGTTAGATTCCCTTTCAGTTGTATATTTTCTGTTCTGTATAGCTCTCCTTTAAGTTGTACATTTTCTGTTAATAAAGAGGATTCGTTCTGTGAGGTTTTTCTTTTTCTTTTTGTTAAGTTCTGCCTTCCTGTCAGATTTTTTTTCCTTTTGCTGTTTCTTGCAGAGTGAAGTTTAAGTGAAGTAAATGGGCAGCCTCTTTTCATGTCGTCGTCTGTGTTTGTACATGTTTTCAGTGATATCTATTAAACAAAGTCGGAACCGTTTTTGCCAAAGGGAGTGTGTGTGAGCAAGCCCAGAACTCATTAAACACACTTTACTCTTACTCCCTGCACCCCAACGGTTTAATTTTAGAGGAGCCGGTTCCTTTGATTTGAGCATGAATTGCTTCTTTGGCCAGGACTCGTGCAAGGACTCATGGGCAAGCTCCAGAACAGTCATTCAGGCAGAGACACAATGGATATCCTCCTTGGAGGGGCAGTTGGTCTCCCACATCTTGGTGGAACTGCCTTGCCTTGAACGGATGCTGATTGGACTGAGCTCTAAGGGCAGAATAGTGCGTCATACAGAGATGCGGTGGGCAGGCTCCTCAGAGGACAGGCAGCTTTTCTGCAACTCTGTTGGAAAGAACTGAATGATGTAGTCACATGCAATCCATAGTTGTGGTAGAATTACTTGCCACTAAAAGGAGCCCACTAAGAAAGAAACAAGGCTGAGGCACTGGATTCATGCAGAGAGGCAGCAGACATTTCCTCTGTGAAAGAATTATTTGACATTCGTAGGAGCCTTTACATTTATCTCTTGTGCCTGAAAGCCTGGAGAGCCCCTGCCAGTCAGTGCAGGTAGTACTGAGCTAGAGGGACCGATTGGTCTGACTCTGTATAAGGCAGTTTCTTGTTTAAATCCGCTCTTTATTTCGAACCATGAGGACTAGACTCTTAGTTTGTTTTTTAGGGGATGGGCTGTATATAATGCAGCACCCTACGATCTACCATTTGGGAATTCCCAATCTTGCCAGCATGGAATGGTGGAAGCTGGATCTTGTGCACACATGATTAAAAAAATACAGCTTTATTTCATTATGTTTTATATTTATAACTTTTTAAAAAATATGCTTGTAACTACTCCACAAAAGTTGCACGTCTCTCGGTGGGGGTCTCTGCATGTGGCGTTTGCCAGGCTTTGTCCCTTGTTTCTAACAAGCGGGAGTTCCCTCTTTCGCCCTCTAAACTTTTGCAGGAGTGACCTTTTCGCGGACAGAGTTGGTATTCAGAGCCAGTGAGAATTCTCTGCTCCAAAGCCTCCAGAAGGAGCAAATTGGGCGGGGGGAGTTTCATAACCCCTTCTCTTCCATCCCAATGGCTTTGCCTTTCTCGAGTTTAACCAGGAGGGCCCCTCGTTACAAGGACACTCTTCTGTGCCCAGGGAACACGGTGTGCTTTCCTGATCCCTCTCTGCTTTTAACCTCTGAGACGAAGGAGTCAGTAAAAGATGCCCTACAAAGGGACCTCTGCATGTTTGCTTGGCAGTAGATCTCACTGTGTTTGATGCAGATTTCTCCCTAGTAAAGTCTGGTTTTTGGGAGGGGTTGGGATTGCAGTGTCAGACATATTTAGAGTGGTACTGGACCAGTTCACAGAAGAGAGCTGTCAGAGGATATCGGTCCGGCCATCTAAATTATTATTCATTGTTGGCATTCTTGTGTGTGTTTTTATTATTATTTAGCACATTTGTACCCCACTGTTCAGCCAGAAAGGTTCCCAGCGTGGCTAACGTACAATTGAAACAAGACAGCCCTTTCCCAGAGGCTTGCAAACACGTCACACAAGGGAAATGTCTCATCTTCTTCTACACTGGTGCGCACCTGCTTAAAGGTCTCAAATATGAAACACCCCTGGACCTAAGAAACTTGGTGTGGGCTTCTGGCATTTGTGAGAGGCGTCAATGAAAAGCAACTCTTTAAAAGAAAAGAAAAGGAAGGGTTTCAATAGATAATTGACCCAGTTAATCCCGGTTAGTAAGGCACCCTTTTTTAAAACATCACCGTTGTAGAAACGGCGGCAGCTGTAATGCAACTTCTGCGTCGAGTGCTGGGCCTCCGAAGTGCTTAGGGCTTCATCCGTGACCAGAGAGTGCCTCTGAATACTTTTGCTGAGATTGATGCCTCCAAGTGAACCCCAGCAGTGCCAGCGCAGCTGGGATGGAGAGAGTTAAAGAGCTTCCCGTTTAGGTGAGGCAGAGAAGCCTCTTCAGGGCAGGTCTGCTGCACTTTGAGAATCTCACGGAGGAAATCCCTCTCCGCCTCATCTGCTTCTTGAAACCCTGCTCCAATTGGCACCAATTTCCCCAGGATCCGGTTTCGGCAGAGACCAGCAGCCTGTGTCCCTCACCCCACCAGGCTGAGGCTGCGGCCTTCCTTCAGGAAGCCCTTGGCCCCGGGACGTGCATAGCTCGAAGCCACAGACGCCGGTGGCGGCTGGCTCCCTCCTGCGCCTCGTTCCAGGAGGGCCATGAAGGAATTTGTCTGAAAGGGGCTTGGGCTTGCACTCGGGCCCAGACGTTGGCCGTGTGTTTGCTTTGGCCCCCAGGCCTGCTTTGAGCTCCCCCGCCACCCCCAGGAGTCCTTCCCCGGCGATGACGCAGAGATCTAGGAGGCTTCCAAAGGTTGTTCTGCACACACTTCTATATATTGTTGCGGGGGGGCGCGAGTCCACAGCTCATCTGGGAGGCAGACGAGTGTCACTGCAGGCCTCTGGGTTTGAGGCACGCATGCCATCCCATAATCGGAGGCCGGCTCATGATGACAAATGGGGCTGTGCCTCACTGACCCACATGCAGCTGCAAACACTGGGCTCTTTCCTCTGGCTCCCTCCACTGCCGTCGAATGCATCCCCTCCAACAGTTCTCTGATGGAAATAGGGACGCTGTGGGTGAAACCACAGACTTGCTGATCAGAAGGTCGCCGGTTTGAATCCCCGTGACGGGGTGAGCTCCCGTTGCTCGGTCCCAGCTCCTGCCCACCTATTATTTCGAAAGCACCTCAAAGTGCAAGTAGATAAACAGGTACCGCTCTGGCAGGAAGGTAAACGGTGTTCCATGCGCTGCTCTGGTTCACCAGAAGCGGTTTAGTCATGCTGGCCACATGACCCGGAAGCTGTACGCCGGCTCCCTCGGCCAATAAAGCGAGATGAGCGCTGCAACCCCAGAGTTGGCCACAACTGGACCTAATGGTCAGGGGTCCCCTTTACCTTTTAAGGAAAAGTGGGACATTCCGGGATCTGATCAGAACCCGGGATGGCTTCTGTAAATCCAGGACTGTCCCCGGGAAATAGGGACACTTAGAGGGTCTGTGAAGGCGACGTTAGTCGTGATGTATACATCGCCCTGTACTTCCTTGAGAAATATTGCTCCGTTGCTTTTCTCTTCCATCTCGGCTGCTGTCTGATTTGAAAACAGGAGCTGCTGTTAAGCCGAGGTGTGTTCTCCTGGGCATGTGCAGATGGCAGCTTCCCTGGAGTTTTGGAGGAGGGTCAACGTAAGGGCCCTGCCAGATCAGGCCAGGGGCCCATCTGGTCCAGCGTCTGGTTCTTGTGGTGGCCAACCAGATGCCCATTATGGGAAACCAGCAAGCCACATCTGAGAGCAACAGCACACTCCCCTTCGGTGATTGGCAGCCAGTCGCTCCCTCTTGGCCTAACCCGCCTCACAGGGCTGTTGTGAGGAGAACGAGAAAGGGCCAGAAACCATGCACACGCCACCTTGGGCTCCTCAGAGGGAAGGGTGGGGTAGAAATAAATGCAACATCGGTGCAGCCAAGCTCTTGGAGCCTCCTTCCAGCTCTCCTTCCAAGCCGCAAATAGCCCATGAGAGACCAAATGTGGCTTTCAGTGAGCAGGGCTAAAGGGTGCAGGAGAAAATGGATGCGTGCCTGAAAAAAGCACACTCTGTTTCGTGCTTGGCGGGGACCCGCCTCTGCTTTTTATCACCCCAGGAATGGCTCAGCTATTAATACAGCCATCACACTGCGCAGAAGGGCACACCTTTATTGACTAGAGACCATTGGCGACAGAGGGCGAAAGAAGGATTCAAAGTCATATTGATTGTTGGTGTCACTGCATAATCTTTTAATGGAAGCTGTAACTAACAATTTGTTTAGGGTGGGGGAGATTCCTTCCTTTGGTGGAATATGGCATGTGTGTGTGAGACGCATGCTCCCTCAGAGGTGGTTGGCAGATCCTGACGTTCTGCCCTGTCCTTTATAGCTACATACAATTTGCATTAATTCCTGGGCGGGGGGAAACCCAACTATGAGTAAAATGGGGAACGGCATTTGCAAACCGGCGGTGCCGAACGTTTCATGGACATTCCAGTTCATTGAAGAGGTCTTGCTAACATGCGCTGTGGACCTTACTCTGGTTCAACTGTTTACCTGCTGTGGGGTTTGAGAGACCCGCAACAAAATGTTGCAGTGTGGAGTGCTTAGAGGTGGGTGTGTGCGCGCGAAAACTTTTAAAAACATAATAAATATGTTTTAAGTATCAAGTGACATAAGAAATAAAAGAAAGGGGGAAAACAAGAAGCAATAAATATCCCATGTGGCTAAATCAACATAAATACACCACCACCTTACATTTTCAGGTGTCAAATACAAAACAGTCTCTAAATAATAGCTTTCAAATATCTGATGGGAAAAGTCCAGCTTTCAGCTTTCCAGCCAGCCAGGCCCTTTCCAGGAAACTCCATTCCATCCGCCCTCCTTTCCAGTTTCGCTCCGTGCCTACTGCGCATGCTCAGTCTTTGGTTTTGATTCCCACCCTGCCCTTTCTTACATAAGTTTTTGGGTGTTGATGCTGCTGTCTTGGCTAAGTAAGGACTGGCACTCCGATAACTGAGATTGGCATTGGTATATGGGCTGGATTTGCTGCATCCAGTGAAGGAAGTCCACCTGAACCCTGTTTCCTGTCTCTGGTAGTGGACAGCCAGATCCTTCTGGAAAGCCTGCAGTCAGGCAACAGAATGGTCCTCCACTGTTTTCCACCTCCAGCATCTCGTATGCAACAGTAAAGTGCCTCTGAATATGAATTTTGTTGCCTTGCCTATTAGTGGTTGTTGGTAGATCCAACCCACCCCCAAATAATGGTCTGATCCTTTTCAAAAGGCTATTCTACTACAGTACAGAGTGTCATCCTCCTCCTCTAATCATCCCTTGGCTATGGTGCCTTGGGGCTAATGGGCGTTCAGCGACACCTAAAGCCACAGGTTTCCCATCCCTGAATTAAAACATGCTTCACCACAGAGTTATGGCCCACTCTGAGACAAAATTTCTCTCTCTCTTCATCTTCCAAAGCTGAGGTCTGGGGCAGCCACTTCACCACCCTGATGCCCTCCTGATTATTTCGGACCACAACTGCCACAACCACTAGGGATGGCTACCTCTGAAGTGTAGTTCGGGGCTGCGTTGGCAAAAGCCTCCCTCCTCCAGATCTACAAATAGCTCTCCTCAGGGAAACTGGATCAAAGCCGAAAGGGGGGCCTTTTCTTCTGAGTTCACGGAAACCTCGATGAATCCACATCAGGTTTTTTTTTATATATATATCAAAAAAATAAAAATAAAAGTGTGGTTTGACCTTTTAAAAACGCCTTTTCCATACTGATCTGCTGAGTCGCAGGTTCTGTGATTCACCGAAAAAGTGCGAATTCCCAGTGGCTCCCAGCCGGCTGGCTTGCGAAGGCCTGGTTTTGATTTGGGTTATTTATGCTCGCAGACGGAGGTGGGAGTGGAAAGAGGGCAGCCTTTCTCAAGGTCTTAAAAAAAAAAGTTTCAGAGCAAGCGGAGAGGAAGGGGGAGAGTTGAAGGAGGGATAATAACATTGCAGTGTGGGCTCAAGGGCAGTGGAACTGCGAAGAGGACTAAGTCAGTTCACCTGTCCATCTAGCTCAATATTGTCTGCAATGACTGGCAGCAGCTATCCAACGAGGCGTCTTTTCCAGTCTGCCTGGGATCAAACACAGGACCTTCTGCGTGCAAAGCAGGTGCTCTGCCACTGAACTACGGCCCTTCCCCTAAAATAAGTTTTCAGTCCTCATTATTCTGAATTACGAGGGCTGATTTAAACAGGAACACAGGAAGCTGCCTGGTCCATCGAGCCCAGTGACTGGCAGCACCTCTGCAGGATTGCAGGCAGTGTTCGCATATCAAGAGACTCTATGGAATTGCCAGTGCTCAGAGGAGGCTACCTGTTGCATCTCTGTAAGAGTTGCTGCTCTGCTGATCTGTCTTTACTTTTGCTCCATCTTTGCACTGGATGTGATTACCTAATTCAAGTGATACAGGGAAGCCACAGAAAGAGAGACTCAAGAGATGTTGCCTATTGCATCTCTGCCGGAGTCATTGCCTCTTTCCAGTCAACCTCTCTTTAAAGGGAAAGGTAAAGGGACCCCTGACCATTAGGTCCAGTCGTGGCCGACTCTGGGGTTGCGGTGCTCATCTCGCTTTATTGGCCGAGGGAGCCGGCGTACAGCTTCCGGGTCATGTGGCCAGCATGACTAAGCCGCTTCTGGCGAACCAGAGCAGCGCACGGAAACGCTGTTCACCTTCCTGCCAGAGTGGTACCTATTTATCTACTTGCACTTTGACGTGCTTTTGAACTGCTAGGTTGGCAGGAGCAGGGACCGAGCAACGGGAGCTCACCCCGTCGTGGGGATTCGAACTGCCGACCTTCTGATCGGCAAGTCCTAGGCTCTGTGATTTAACCCACACAAATCGGCCATATCTCAGCATCCAGGTGTGCTGCATTCGTCCAGATGGAACTTTCTGGGGAGGCTGTCTCTGCTGCGCGATTCCCATCAGGAAGCCCCTCAAAATCACTGCTCCCCTCCAGGAGCTACAATTCTCAAGACTGTGGTTTACATTTAAAGGCAACCCTACCCGCAGTCGTGCCAGACATTTAAAGGGGTATCAAGCCACTTTCAGCAGTCACGGCTTCCCCCCAAAGTATCCTGGGAGTTGTAGTTTGTGAAGGGTGCTGGGAGCAATTGCTCAGCACCTGAGTTACAGTTCTCCGAGTGGTTTGACAGTCAACTCCTCCTCGCAGGGAAGTTTGTGAATCGCTCCTCCGGGAGGAGCAGGGATCTCCTACCAATTCTCAGCGCCCTTTGCAAACTTAGTTCCCAGGATTCTTTGGAGACGTCAAGGCTCTTGCAAGCGCCGTAGGACTGCAATAAATGGACGGTGCGCACGGAAGTGGAAGATCCGGCTAGCCAGATAGCAGGCCCCTTCAAGCAGCATAAGTTTGGTGGAGCCCCGGGCGAGGGAGCCGCGGCCCTTTCCCCTCGGATCGTGTCGCCAGGCTGCTCCCCTCTCGGCAGCCCCGGGGAGGCGGGTCTCTCTCCGGCCTCCGCCCCTCGCCCGAGGCGGCCGCCTGCGCGTCCCTCTCGCCAGTGCGCTCCGGGCGCGCGGAGGAAGAAGGAGGCGCGATGGTGGGGCGGCTCAGCCTGCCGGACGTCCCGGAGCTGCCGGACTCGAAGCGCCGGGCCGAGCGGGGCCTCGACAGCCCCGACTCCGGGCTGCCCCCCAGCCCCAGCCCCGGCAGCTGGCTGCTCTCGGGCGGCGGATCGGAGCGGGGAGGAGTCGCCAATGCGCTGCCGGAGACCGAGAGACCGGAGACCAAGCCGCTTCCCAAGGTGAGTGCAGGAAAGCAGGCGCCTGCGTCTGTCCCGGCGTGGGACCGGAGTGAATCCGGGTTAACGGGGTATGCGTGCACGGCGATGCAGGTCCAAACGCTAGCAAGGGAGCGTCGAGCGGGGGATGCAATCCGAATTAGCGGCGCGGCTCAAGCGGGATTAGGGGAGGCTGTGGACGAGTGCGCAAAGCGGAGTGTGGAATTGGAGAGCTAATCCGGAGTATGCGAGTCCATGTAGTGCGGGCTCAAGGCGCTCTTGACGGTGCAATCCCGAACATGTTTTATCTGACGCTAAGGTTCAGGGGGATGGACTGTCTAAACTACTCAAGCGAGTTTTTTTAAATACTGTATATATATACTATTGCAGTGTGAACTGGATCATACTCGGTGCAACATAAAATCCAGCGCGCTCGCATTTTGTTTTGCAACGCAAATAAAACGCAAAGCAGCCTCTGCAGATCCGGGCGAGGTCAGTTTGAGATGCCAAACTAGCAACAAATTCCTTGCCCTCCTTCTGCCTCCCTTGACGTGGTGCTTTCTGAGACCCTTCGGGGACTAGGCAGGTGCATTTGTAACCCCCACTTCCTGCCTAGCTGTGGCTCCAGTTTCCCTAACTGGTGCAAACTGGAGAACCCCTCTTCCCCCATTGTAGTATTTTCCTTCTGGAGACGACCTGTTCCAGCTCCCCGAGGGAGCAATCGAGGGTTTTCACTTGGGGGACTTCATCATCTGGAGATCCTTCGCATCATGGTAGTAGAGTTAGGCCATCATGATCACTGTGCCCATTTTGCAGACTGGATGCCGCAGGCAGTGTGGTGACTCGTGTTGGGATTGTCCAAATCTCAAGGGTGCCATCCTGTGCCCAACCTGCTGCACTAGAATTTAGTGGAATCGGCTTGCCATGATGAGAGGGGCGTATGCAACAACCCCGCTAAATGTTTTCAGTCAGATGCCACTGCATATCGCAAGCTAGTGTGTTGATGATTTCTTGTGCCTCTCAAGAGTCTCCGAGTGCATGGTGGGCGGGAATAGTAGGGGGTTATGAGCAGGGGTGGGGGGCTGCTAGGATCCCCAAGGGCTCTGTGGGTGGGCTATTACTGTATGTTGTACATATGAATTTCCCAAATTCACTTGTGGGATTATGGGGCCCCGGCAATTGTCATGGGACCTCCTAACGTTTCGTTTCTTTATTATTATTATTATGACATTTATATGAAGAGCTCAGGGTGGCATACATGACCCATAAGACTGGACATATATTTATATGAATTCCCTGAATCTTTGTTTCATTTGCTGATGTTTTTATGCTGCTCAAGTTTGTATTTTTCCTTTTTTAGCTGGGTTCACTTTTCATATTGCACATAGTTTGGAGGTTTTTGAACTATTCGGCTGTTTGGAAAGGCTTTGAAATAAATACATGGTTCTCCCCACCCTCCCTGTTTTTAACCTCCTAACAACAACCCTGTGAGGTCGGTCTGGCTGAGATGACCCCTGGTGAGCTTCCTCGCTGATTCCAGGATTTGAACCCTGGTCCAACCAGTATACCAAACAGGCTTCCAAAAAGGATTCTCTCCCCCACCCACCCCCTGTACAATGTGATTCCCACCTCCAGCACGGTGACAGACCATTTGTGTCCTGTTAATAATTTCTCTTCCAGGCAGCTGCTACGGAATGTAAACCAACATTTGGTGCGCAGCTGCTGTGTCCCCCCAACATGCTGCAACAGGATTCGGAGACAGGTGGGATCAGGAGAGGGAGAGCGTTATCTGGGGTCTGTGGCTTTCTCCGCTGAATATTACTGCCCCACATACAGATAGTTGTGGGGAGGTGGAGGCAGTTACCCCAGCTCAGCCACGGAGTTGTCAGTATAAATGTACCTTGTCCACTTCCTCTTCTGCTCCCTTTTGCCTATGAGATTGCCTTGCCACATATACTCAACCGCTTTGATTGGTGGAACTGGTGCTCTTACAGGTGCCACATAATACCTGTTCCACATCTGTTAAGACCTCCGTCTTTTATTGTCTTTGGAACTCCCTGCCTGTTGATGCCAGCCCAGGCGCCTTCACTGTACTCTTTTCGGCTCCTGTCAAAATCACTTTTGTTTAGACAAGCCTGCCCAGATGCTCAGAAAGTTGGTGAGTGTTATAATCTGTTTTTAGACTCTAGTTCATGGGTAGGCAAACTAAGGCCCGGGGCCCGGATCCAGCCCAATCGCCTTCTAAATCCGGCCTGTGGACGGTCTGGGAATCAGCATGTTTTTACATGAGTAGAATGTGTCCTTTTATTTAAAATGCATCTCTGGGTTATTTGTGGGGCCTGCCTGGTGTTTTTACATGAGCAGAATACCGGTATGTGCTTTTATTTAAAAGGCATCTCTGGGTTATTTGTAGGGCATAGGAATTCATTCATTTCCCCTCCCAAAATATAGTCTGGCCCCCCACAAGGTCTGAGGGACAGTGGACCGGCTTCCTCCTGAAAAAGTTTGCTGACCCCTGCAGTTTAAATCTTTTGAGAGTTTTAAACTATTATTGTTAATTTTTTCCTATTGATTTGTTGTTTTATTTTAATTTTTGTATCTTTTTGAGGTTTCTTTGTAAAAACAAGCAGCGTGCAAATTTTATGAAGCTAATAATTTTGTCACTTTGGGCTAGCTAGCATACACAAAAGATAACAGGTTTTTAAACGATAGACTGGCTGCGGTAGTTTGAAGCCCATACAGCCTCTTGGTTCTGACTTTGCAACCACTAGGGTGGATTGGAATCCCCTGCACCCGTTAAGACTGCATGTGATGAAGGCACTTAGGTGTAGTGATTAGAGTGTCATACTAGGACCAGGGTTCAAATCCTCGCATAGCTATGAAGCTCACTGGGCAACCTTGAGCCAGTTACTGCCTCTTAGCCTAACCTACCTCACGGGGTTGTTGTGATGATTACACGAGGAGGGGGAGAACCATATTTGCCGCCTTGAGCTCCTTGGAGGAAAAAAAATGGGATGTAAATGCAATAAAGAAATAAATGTTGAAAATGTAGGGGAACTGGGTAGTGGTTAGAGGGTGTGAAGGGAGTAGCTAAATAATATTTTAGCCTGGCTACGAATGACACCCCCCTTCCCCAATTTGCAGGAATTAATTCCCTGAAGTGTATCTCCTCCCCTTTATTTGCAGACTTCTCTGGAGACAAAATACAAGCAAAGAATAAAATTGGTTTTTTTTGCTTTCTTATGTTGGAGGGAGGAAAGGAGGAGGAATTTTGGTTTGATTCTCCTGAAATGTAGGTACTAGGAAACAGCTGTGACTCTTTGGTGTGGCTTCTTTGAAGCAAGAACTCAGAGCCTGACCCCAAGTTGAAATGGAAGTCAACGAGGGGATGTTGAGTGGGGCAACCCGGCCAGATGGGCAGGGTATAAATAAAATAAAATTATTTTATTTATTTATTTATTTGTACCCCCCAAGTCGGGGACAGGGCACTGGGGTGGATGAGTGGGTGTTCATCCACTAGCCACTGAATTTACACTAAGTATCTTGGTTACTTGGGGCATTTCAAGCCTGTTTTTTTGGGTTGGGTTTGATTGTGTATCGGCAAACTCAGGTTTTGCTGTTATAGTTGGTTAGGAGATCTTGCGCAACAAGCTTGCTTCCCCAAACAGGCTCCTTTTTTTTGCGATGGGCAAATGCACTTTGGAAAGTGTGGGGGTAAGGCTCGCATCTAACCTCTGTCCAAAGGAATCAGAGCGGAATGGGCCTTAAGCAGAGCAGGCGACAGATCAGGATTGGAGGCTTGTTAAATAACCCACGTTATCTAATCTCCCTGGGAAAGAAAGAGATGAATGTTCCAGAAATGGGTTGTCTGGAAGCCTTGTAGGGCGGCACGTTTTTTTCATGGCTTGGTTTTAGACAGAGGTGTTGGAAGAGAAGGAACTGTTTTTCCAAGAGGTGTAGCTGCCGGGGCTGAAATGGTTTCAGCGCTGTTTAAGGACTGGATCGAGTTAAGGGCCAGGAGAGGTGTGAGAAATGTGTTCCACCTCTTCCGCCTTGCCAGGACAGTAGCAGCGCCTGCAGCGTCTGCGTGGGAATTGTCTCTGTCCAAAACGCTAAGGACTTGAGTTCATAACTTGCAGTGCTGGGCGGTTTTCTTTCCTTTTCTTTTTGCTTCTTTGTTTTTGGCTGAGCTGATGTTGCTCAACCTCACTTTTCCATCTTTAAAAGAGGAAAAGAAGAGGAGGAGGAATTATTGTGGCCAAATATGCAGGCTGAACTTTTTATAGGACTGCAAAGAACACTGTAGGCTGAGGCTGTTAAAAAGAAAAAGGAAAAAAGTAAGAGCTGCTGAAATCGGAATGTGTTGGATCTTTTTAAGGGAAAAAACAAAACCTTGAAAATGTAAAAGTGTGACCTGTGTCAGATTTGTGTTCGCTGATACAGTATGTGTGATGACAAGATTCTTTAACCAGGAAGGGCTGTAGCTCAGGAAGGAAGTATATGCTGGCATGGAGACGGCTCCGGGTTCAATCCACAATGGCATCTCCAGGTGGGGCTGGCAGAGACTCCCTCCTGGAACTCAGGAGGTCTGCTGCTGCCAGTCAGTGTAGACAAGACTGAGCTAGTCTGACTTGGTAGAAGGCAGCTTCCTTTCCTGTGCTCCTAACAGCGGCATTGCTACTGTGAATCGCCGTCCAGGGCAAGGAAGGTTTTCCAGGACAGGGGCCATGCTCCTTTTGGGGCCACATGCCAGTGGTGGGCGGGGCCAGGGGCAAAAGTGGGTGGAGCAACAAATGCAAATTTTCAGTCCGTTTTTCTTTTTTTTAAAACACTTCCTGACATGACCTCTATCTATCCTCCACCTTCACAAGCCAGAGACATTGCCAGAGTGCAAGGACACATTTCCAGCCATGCAAAAACGCACAAGGAGGGCTCAGGTGAGGGGTGTGGCTTTCAGAGAGGGGGTGTGGCCTAGAGAGGGTCTCACGTTTGGGCCCTGGAAATGAGGTTCTGTGCTCTGGCTTTGTAAGATTGGCATATATTTTTGGATATAAAATATCCACGCCTTCTGTTGTCTTTCATGCCTTCTGCCGTTTGATAGTGTCACTGTTCAGTGTTTTGCCTGCCAACTTCCCATGCCTTTCATTTTGCAGGAGACCTCGTCTTCTCCCAGCCCGTTGCTCCCTGGCTGCTCCTCTCGCTTATGCCCTCTGTCCTTTGGGGAAGGAGTGGCGTTTGATCCGTTGCCGCCCAAGGATATAAGGTACGCTGAAAGTTGTAAAAGGAGGATAGCAAAGATGACCAGCAGGATTTGTCAAAGCCCATCGCTGGGTGGAGAAGCGAGATGGCCTTGTGTGGACCTGCAGAGTCAAGTGCATTCCTGGGCATTGGAGACTGGGGGCAGCCTGCCGCATTTCACAAAGAGGAAAATAGCGCTTTGCGTATTGGAGCACAATTCCCTGAGGCTTGGGCTCAAAGAGCTGTTTTAGGCACAAACAGAGGCCTGCTTTCTGTTATCGGCTGACCCACATGCAGTATCGCAGACTGATTTTGGAAGCCCCCTCAAAAGTGGTTTGTCAGGCAGGCTTCTGCTCGGATAAACTATTATTTATTAGATTTATATCCGTCATCGTAAGATCTCAGGGCAGTCCACAGAGTTTAGGCATTACCAAACAATTCTGCCAGGCTTATGCAAGCAATTAAGAGTTCACAATGGTTTGTTGATACTTGTTTTTCATTTTTTTACTGTTAAATTGCTTTAAAATGCTTTTCTTGTATGTTTTTGATCTTTTTAATGTTGTAAACTGCTTTGCTATGTTTTTAAGCAGCATATAATTTAAAAATAAACCTATAAAATCTGCAGCCTTTTTAGCTAAAGTGTTCTGGCAAGTGTAACGATGCTAACTGTTCTGTCCTGTCTGTTTTCTCCCTCTGCTCCGCCCCGCGTCAATAGGTACACCTCTTCGGTGAAATACGACTCTGAGAAGCACTTCATCAACAATATTTCTATGCCGATGGGGCTGGGATTGTCCTCTTGCAGCCAGACGGTCATCTGCGTCCCCGACAACACTTGGCGCAGCTACAAAGCGGAGGTGCACCTCGAACCGCGCCCCCGGCCCAGGAGTTTCTCGAGCACCACAATCGTCTACCCCAAGCACACCAAGACTGTGTACACCACCACACTGGATTACAACTGCCGAAAGTTCATGCGGAAGTTCCTGTCCAGCGTGGAGCTGGAATCGACTGGGAGTGATAACAACCCTGATGGTTGCTGACTACAATTTCTCTCTCTGTCTCTTTCCCTCCCTCTCTCTCTGCTGTTGCAACATGATGGGTTTCCGTCGCATCGTAAGCTCTCCACCCGATGGAAATGGATGAAACCCTGAATTAGCTTTGCCTCCCGAACGAATTTCCTCTTGTAGCTACCTCTCCTCCACGGCACGTCTTCAGCCTTAAGGATCCTGTGGGCCTGCACTTAATTTATGTCTACAGGAACGCAAAAACAATTTTCTCCGAGGTCACTTTTTCTCCTTTCTTTTGCTGTCTTTTCCTTGTGTGGGGTGAAAATGAGCGGACCTTTCTGTTCCAAGAAGTAACTTGTTCGTGGAGAAGAGAAGGAGCTTAGGACAAAGGCTTTCAAGCGAAAACAATTCCTGAACTGGCAATTGGAAACCATCCTAGTTGCTCCTGTGTCAAGTAACTTTATATATAAAAAAGAACTCTTTCCCACCTAAAAACCATAACTTATTTTCGATAGTCTCATTTATTACGTTAATGTATTAAAACAGATTTTTTGCCAGGGAGGGCTGGCTGGTGGTCAAATCACAGTTATAGATTGTCACTCTATAAACCTTACCGATCACACTCTTTATGTGTTATGCCTGCGTCTTTTAAGGAAGCCCCAAAATCAGGCCAGTTGTGGTTTGGCATAAAAACACAATAATTACTAGGTTATCGGTTTCCCAGATATGCATTATATAGCATGTTTTATTTAATTCATTGCGGACTTGTCCAACAGTTCACTTTGGTTAAATTTGGTTGAAGTTGCTCCTGCAGGGCTTGTAGCGAGTATAAAGCTAATATTTACCTTGGGATCATCATCATTTAACGCATCGTTGCTTTAAAAGATGCAACATTTTGCAAATGCCACAATTCACGAGTGCTTTGGAAAGCTGAGGATAATGGTGGCACAACCTTAGGCAATCTCTTTTGGATAATGACTTTCAGATTTCTATGATGAAAGTAGTAATTCTGTGGCCCAGCAGCATGCTAAGCTACTGTTAATGGGAGATTCAGAGCCACTTCCTTTGTCCTGGCTGCCTAAAATGTGTGTGTTGTGAACAGATCATTTGAGTAATTCTTCACAGGCACAAAAGGAAGATCTGACTTGACCCCTCTGTGTACTGGGGCAGATACTTTGGTCCATCTAGCTTAGAATAATTGACACTGACCAGCAGGAAGTCTCCAGGGTTTCAGGAGGGAGTCACCCTATCTGCAGATGCCAGGGATTGAACCTGGGATCTTCTGCATGCAGTGCAGATATTCTATTACTACGCCACAACACTTGCCCCAAGGGTCTTAGGAAGATTTGCAGTAGTGTGTCAAAACAGTTTTGGTAAATTTGGACAACTGTTTCACTACAAAGGCAGAGTGAGAATTCTGGATACATACACCCCTAGAAATCGGTCCTAAATATTGAGCAGCATAGAGGCATCTGAGAATTTTATTCTGTCTCCATAGCAGTGCCTCCGTTTGTGGTCGGAGACTTCCTGGTTGTGAGGGGTAGATTAAACCTCCTGCAATAATCGGGACTAGAGGTGTGACCCAGTTGGCCAGCTCTGATTCAGAGGTCAGCTTTCTCCAGGGGAAAGCGGCAGGCCAGGGCAGTCTGGATGAGCCCTATGTTGTGTCGAGAGCTTCCCCTTCCCCACCAACTTTTTCTTTGAAAGCCTTGTTCTGTTTTTAGTCTGAAAAACAATTTACATTGCCTGTTGTAACAGCCATTCCCTGTCAACAAATCTCAGTAAATTTCAGGAAGGCTGTGAGATGGCTGGGGTTTTGTGTTTGTGTTTTGCCAGTGGTTCCCTCTACAAAAATAAACAGCTGAGAATCTTGAGGCACCTGAAAGGCTGATGGGTTTATAATGGCACTGCCAAACAGCGCAAACAAGATTTCACTTTCTTTCCGCCAACAGTTCCCCGGCAGGGTCTCTTGTTGAAGTTTTATTGTTATGCTTTTGCAAGCACTTTGACCAAAGGAAACATTCCCTTTTATAAAAAAAATGTATCCCCCCCCCTAAATGTTGCTGAAATATAGAGCAGATGAAGCATGGGAGAAGTTCCTTAGACTGGTTGGAACAGAAGTTGTTTTGTGGGGGGGTGTAAGTCTGTTTCACTCATAAGAAGTTATGATCTCTACACCTTAAAGGTGTGCAGGAGAGATTCAGTTTGGGCAAGAACAAGTTTAGTTTTTGTCAGGAATCCAGAATGGAGCAGAAAGTCCAGTCAGTTGAGTTTGTTCTTGCAAGTGTGATTAATGGTAAGTGTAAGGTATTTTGTGGTGTTCCATGTGTGAAGGCAGGGTTGCTTCATGGTAAGAAGGGGAAATTGTTTTTGAGTTATTAATTTGATTATAATTGATGGTTCCTTTGCTGTGAAGGGAACTAGAATCTAGGGAATCTTTTGCAAATGTTGCACACTTTTAAAGAAAACTTTGGGGATGCTACTGCCCCCCTCCTCCACCCCACCATGCCATGGCCAAACCAAAGCTAAGTTTTCAAAAGCCAGGAACTCTGTATGCAAACAAAATGCTGTAATCTCTGGTGCAGGATGCAAACAACATGCTATCATTTCCGGTGCAGGGTGCAAACAAATTACTCTGTTACTGCATAGTCATAGAGAAACACTGAATTTGTTGTTTTTTTGTTGAGTTCTGCAGAAGGAGCAATAACATTATTTGAAGTAGCAGAAAAACCTTTATGAAAGGAGCAAGGTGTAGGAGTCATTCCTCACTTAATTTTGCATTGCTGTTGCAAAAGCAGCTGAATGTACGGTATATAAAAAAAGGACATGTAATTTTCCTACTGGGTAGGGTTACCAAGTAGCGTTTAAGGGGGAAACGACTGAGGACTTAGACATTCCTTGAGGAGTGACTGTTTTGTTAGTAATGACCAAGTACTCATTGTCATTGCTGCATACCTAGCAGTGTGAAGAAGTGATCTAAGAACTTGTAGGGAAAGAAAAAGGAAAAATATATGAAAATAACAACAAGAGATGTGGAAAAATAATAAGAAAGGACTGGATAGTACTGTGAACATCATAAGGTTAGATTTGTGGACATTAAAACAGCAGTAAGAAGCAAGAAGTTGATTGGATCCCTTCGGAACTTGAAATATGGGTACCCCCCAAAAAATTTAAAATTCGGCTGTGTAATTTGGAATTTATGTAATTTGGTTTGATTTGATGTGATTGGTCGGTTGATAAAAAATTATTCTTAAAAAAAAAACTTGTAGGGCTGCCTATGGGAAGATGTCCTCTTAACTTTTGAATCTGTGAGCTCTCTGGGAATACTAGCAAGTTGTTTTTGTTTTAAAAACACATGCACACAAGTTTCTAGTTCTTGTGGTAAAATGAACATGGAAAGATGGGCAGGTCTCTTTGCTGAATTCTTTGCATAGATGGCAGCTGACGGAGTAACAAGTGCAAATTTACCCCTAGAGCCTTTCTGCGTACTAGCCCCAAATCGTCTAGCAGTGATATTTTAACTGGGCAAACAGAATTTGGGGAGAGGCATCCCACATGGGATGAGAGATGGGATTTGAAAAAGGATGGGCTATCGAGTCCCTAGTGCTGCAAATGCACGTGGTTCAAAAATACTGAAAAAAGAGAGCCCAGCATTGGCAGCGCATTATTGTGGATTTTTTTGAATGGGCTACAAGAATGTGTGGTATTGCAAATAAGGTTTCTCTTTTTTAAAATAATAAAAAAGGTACAAAAATGTTTTGGGAATAGGAAAAGCATCCAGTGTGGACCCAATAGGGAGATGAGATGTTTGCAACTCTTTGCTCACAAGTCACTTATTCACATTGTCATTCCCTCAGTTAAGCATCCTCCATAGCAGCCCTAAAAACCAGCTCTGTGGAGCTGATTTATGTGCAAAATGTCTCAGATTCAATCCCTGGCATCTCCATGAAAGACTGGCAAGGATTCTTGTAATAATAATAATAATAATAATAATACCGTATTTTTCGCCCTATAGGACGTACATTTCCCCTCCAAAAATGAAGGGGAAATGTGTGTGCGTCCTATGGGGCGAATACAGGCTTTCGCTGAAGCCTGGCGAGCGATAGGAGTTGGTGCGCACCGACCCCTCTCGCTCTCCAGGCTTCAGGAAGCTCTGCGCAACCCTCGAGGGTTGCGCAGTGCTGCCTGCGCTCCCCAGCTCCGCGCAACCCTCCGGAGCCTGGCGCGAAGCCGTGCCCGGCTCCCGAGGGTTGCGCAGAGCTGCCTGCGCTCCCGGGCTCGGCACAGCTCCACGCAACTCTCCGGAGCCCGGCGCGGCTCTGGCACCACTCTGGGACCCGTTGTGGGGGCTGGGGTTGGGGGAAGCTCGGGCTTCCCCCGCCCCAGCCCCGCGCCTGTGGGGGGGAGACAAATTCCCCCCCTTTATTCCCCCCCCCAAATCTAGGTGCGTCCTATGGGCCGGAGCGTCCAATAGGGCGAAAAATACGGTGATTTTATTATTTATACCCCGCCCACCTGGCTGGGTTTCCCTACCTACTCTGGGTGGCTTACAGTACATATAAAAACAAGCTGCTGCCAGCCAGTGTAGAGGGAGCAGTAGGGAAACTATGGCCCTCCAGATGTTGTTTGGCTCCAGCTCCTGTTATCCCCAACGGCCACAGCCTCTGGACAGGGACGATCTGGGCAACTCTAGGCTCCCCATCCTTCGGGTAGTGACATTACTGGACCCAATGGTCTAGCTCAGTATGAAGCCACTTCCTAAGTTCCTACAATTGCCAACGTGTACCTACTACTAGACAAAGGAGTTTGGCTTCCTTCATTTAGCTCTTATCTCTCAGCCTTCTCCCTCCTAATCTTTTAGGATGAAAAGCCTGTGGAAGGCAGTGATGGCAGATTTTACTCCTTTTTCCAGCAGCCTTAAGATCAGGATGGTAGAGCGCTCATAATATTTTTATTCCTATGGCAGTGAATAAATCTGTGCCACTCCTAGAGGTATATTTTGGGGCTATAGTTGCTAACTTGAAAATATTAAACTGCTCTTGCCTGCTACCTCCAGGATATTTTTGTCTGCAGGAATCAAATAGGGAACTGACTAAAGGGGCTTCCTGGAGGTTATTTGGTTGAAGGGGCTTAGGCCGATGCAGCGAAGTAACTCTTGGGGTTCATCAGACATGTCACAGTGGCTACTAGCCTACTTCTTGGTTAAGAAATCAAAGGGCTTCTCTTTTTGTTTAGTAACATGGCATTTGAAGAAGCCCCTAGAATTTGGGTGGTGGTGGGTGGGAGTATGCAGATATTTCTCAAGGTCGATGTGCTCTGGCGCTCTCCAAGTTTTGCTTTTTCAATGAGTTAATTAATAAACTAAGCCTTGTATCATCCTCATCCTTGCCTGTGTTGTTTTTTTTTAAATAACATGATCAGTCTTCGATATCTACCTATATGTGTTTTTATGTTTTAAAAAAGAGGCGGGTTGTTGTTTTTTTAAGTGTCATTACATGATTTAAAAGTTAACTTGTGTTGCTGCATTCTTGCGAAGTCCTGGATATCACTGTGCAATGTCAATGACATGATTCCTCTCCTTCTCTCTATGACTGTTCTTAATTTGCTTTGGATTTCCCCCCATTTTAACTAGTAATAAATTATCTGAAGAACATAATCCCAGAGAAGTGTGTTGTGTTTAAGTGTATTGTGTTTATTGACACTCATCGCAGATGAGGCTTGCCACTACCACCATACTTTCTGTATGTGTGAATGATTACTGAATCTGAAAAACTGACAAATGAAAACATAAGGAATTGGAGGTTATATTTGCTTTTCTTTAAAATAAATATTTTCATAGGCACTTGATCTCATTTTATCCATACCACCAGGCTCTCAGGCAAACCATTTTAAATAGGTAAAAAAAACAACAAAACACATATGTGGAGTTCCTAGGTTTAAGTTTTTCTTTAGGATAATTTAGCTTGCAGTTCTATATTCACTTACTTGGGAGTAAGCCCTATTGAAGTCTCATTTAACTATTTCCAATCCAGTACCAATGCAATTAGGAGGAAGGGCAGGGTATAAATTAAATGAATAAATAAAAACCAAAAGCTCCAATGATAGTTCTTAGCAGCCCAGTAAAACCTCAGATCCAAGGGTCAAATGTGGCCCCTGAAGCCTCTTTACCTGGCCCTCAGGACTATCCCTAGGCCACACCACCTCAGCCATGCCCCTCAAGAGCCCTGCTTCCTTGAGTGTTTTTTCTTGTCTTCAAACTCTGCTTGTGTGCCTGGATGGAGGCTATAAAAGGGTGTGTGTGTGTAAACTTGCCTACTGTACAAACATAAAATGTACACTTGCTGCTCCAACCACTTTTGCCTCTGGCCTTGTGCATCACTGGCATGTGGGACCTGAAATATTGCCCAGAAAGGAATGCAGCCCTCACCTGAAAAAGGTTCCCTACTGTGCAGTAAAAGGGAGTTCAGGTGAAGTTCAGAGAAGATACCTTTATTGTGTCGTTATTCTTCCCCTACCACAAAGGGAGCATACGCCATGTTCTCTCCACCAACTGCAAAGGAAGACGACACTGATTGGTTTTGTACACAGCAGAGTGAGAAGCAATGGTTTAATTCTGACAAAACTGAAAGTCATTCCCGTGGATTCCCCAATCCCTTCCTCCATCTATGGAAGGTTAGTTGGATGCCAGTAAATCATTATCTACCCATCAGCACAGAATTTTATCAAACTTAAATTTGCAGTGTGCAGACAGCTGTTGGTTAACTTGATTAAAAGATGAATAATCTCATTAGTTTCAAATAAAACCATCTAGGGTTACCTCTTCAAGATCTTCACGCCTTTGCTTAAACAAAGCAAAACAGAAGCGTCGGGAAGATTTCTTTACACTATTTCCTGAGAAACGCTTGGCATCAGGGCTGACTGCCTTCCACTTTGGTCTGTCTTGGGCGCTGAAGTAGTAGTGGAGGACATGCTCTTTCGTAGCAACTGTTCCTTGCCCTGAGGAGGAGCCACATAATGTTGTGGCAAGTGCTTAAAAGCGAACGATTGCTCTGGTGGTAGGTTTTTCTGGATGTACTCCCCATAGCGCTTCCTTCTGTTCAGCCTGTAGATCCACAGCCTCTCCTCTTCTGCTATGGGATCATCCAGGACCCCATCCCAGCGAAGGCTCTCGTTGGAAAGCACAGAGTCGTTTTGGGTCAAGAACGAAATGCTGGCAGAGAGAGGTTTGCCTGGAGTCGCCTTTGGGGCGGCACCTTGGGGCGTCGTTCCAGGGCCAGTTTGGTGTTGAAGTAGTTCAAGGGGTGATGTCACAAGGACAGAGGACTTCTTGCTTTTGCCTTCAGGTTTTCCTGCTTCAAAAGAACGGCATCAGAGAGGAAGTCTGAGCACCTTTCAAAGCACATCACAAGAATGTACAATGCCTTAGGCCAAGTCAGACTATTGTTCCCTGTAGAACTGGTAACACTGACTGGTAACAACTCTCCAGGGTTTCGGGAAAAAAATCTTTACCACTCCCACCAGGGCATGTTGGGGATTGAGCATGGGACCTTCTGCATACAAAGCAGAAGATCTCTCAATGGCTTGTCCCCCGTATCAGCATATTAAAATACCTGTGTTGGGAAAGACACGCACAAAGGAGCGGCCTTATTTATAAACTGTGTGTTGACAGACAGGACAGCACCTGCTCTTCACCATCACTTTTTTGTAATTACTTTAGCTACAAAATGGTTTAATTGTATTATTCAGCCACTTCTGTTCCTAAAGGCAGAATGTTTCAACGTCCTCCTGTTGAAATCGAGTGGCGATTGATGAATATCTCCCGCCCTCTACTGCTTAAACTAGAGAAGAGCAGCTGCTTGAAACTTGCTCTGGAAAACACCCAACTCTTCCTACTTGTAGATCCAATTTCTAGAACAAGTGTTTGCTTCTCCAAGAAAGCAGACAGCCACCAGCTCTGTTCCTTCCCTTCTTGTGCAGATTGCTACCTAGCATGAAAGACTACTTGAATAAACCAGACATGTTGGTCTAAAGAATGCAAGTTTAGGTAGGTTCTTATGCACAAAATTCACAACCAGCCCTGTAACGGCTGCACTAAAATGACATTTGGCAGCCACAGCGTGGGGGGAACCTGTGGCCTTCTGAATATTATTGGACACCAGCTACCAAAATCAGGACTGAGAGTTGGTTGGCCATGCTGGCTGTGGTGGACGTAGATCAGCTGAAGAGCCACCAAGTTCCCCATGGCTGCTTCAAAGGCTAGCCTCTCTTGCAAGTACCATCAGGCCACTCATACAGAGCCAGTGCGGTACAATGGTTAGAGGGCTGGCCATGGAGCTCACTGGCTGACCTTGGCCCAGTCACTGCCTCTTGGCCTAGCCACAGCTGTCAACCTTCCCTTCTTTTGTGGGAAATTCCCTTATTTCAGCGCCATTTCCCGTTGCTTCCCCAGATTGTTAGATGTCCCGTATACTGTCTCCGGGACAGGTGAGGCTGCTGATCCCTTATTTTCAAATCCGAAAGTTGACAGCTATGCCTAGCCTACTTCACAGAGTTGTGGTGGGGATTAAATTAGGAGCAGAAGAACCATGCACACTACCTTGAGCTCAAGAGAGAAAAGCAGGTGGGATATAAACGCAAGAAATAAAATACCCTTCACACACAAACACCCAGTTCTGGCTGGGTGAGTACATGCAAACCACCATTTTGATTTCCCACAATGCCCAGTTTTCAATTTCCAGTGCAGGGAAAACTGTGGTCAATTTTAAAATGGCAGCTTGCAGGCACTGCTGCCAAGGAGCCCACCATCACAGAAGGGAGATTATTGGCCTTGGGGGTGCCCACCATTATCTTGTGCTGCCTTCTTTTTCTTCTTTCTTGCTTTCTTCTTGGTCTGAGGGGTGTGTGGGCGTTCCTTTGCAAGTGGCTTTTTGGTCTTGGCCCCCTCCCCCTCAGAGAGGGGGTCTTGCTGACACACCTCCATCTTTCTGGGTATCTCTTGCTCCTTTGGGTGCTGCTGCTGAGCCTAAGAGAGACAGGAGCAGACAAGGAGTGTTGGACTGGGTCGTGGGTTCAAATCCTCCCTCAGCCATGAAGCTCTCCCGGTGGCCTCAGGCCAGTTGCTGTCTCTCAGCCTAACCTACCTCACAAGGTTGTTGTGAAGATAAAATGGAAGTGGGGGGGGGAGAGAAAAATGCAAACCACCTGGAGCCCCTTGGAGGAAAAGGTGGAATATAAATGTAAACAATAATAAATGCATCTTCAATTCCAATCTAGTATCTGTTTAGAGGTCAAGGCGTTGTCTGCATGAATCTTGGGAATTGAATTTTGGAGAGGATACCGACTGATCTCCATTTCTGACTCTAATCCGCTCTCTCCACTCCCCTGGAATTAATAATTCCTCAATATATCATTCAAGAGATTTAATATTCTGCTTCTCAAGGCAAATCCTTGAGAACCGTCCACGCATCTTTCTGTTTAGTGGGTTTCCTGCGATGTTCACAGCCTGGAGGGGCCCCTTTGGCCTGCAGCAGAGAGGGTAAAGGAAGCCCATCCAGGGGAACATTTGCAGTACGAAGAAAGTTACAGGAGTTCAAGACGTGTTACAAGACGTGTGCAGATTGGAAATGGAGTGGGGCTCCCCCAAAACATCGGCAGGCACAAGCAATAAGTGGGATAGTGGATAACCACCCCAACGCTCCTCAGTAAACCCCCTTCCCCCCTTTCTACTCAGAAAACCCCAACTTTTCACTATCCCCCATAAATTGACCACTTTCTCCTCAGCACGCCCCAACTTTTCATTATTCCCACATTAATTGACCATTTTCTCCTCAGAAAACCCCAATTTTTCATTACCCCCCCATTAACTGACCACTTTCTCCTCAGAAAACCCCAACTTTTCATTATCTCCCCATAAACTGATCACTTTTTCCTCAGAAAACCCCAACTTTTTTATTACTCTTGCTTCTCCACCCCCACCCCCATTAATTGACCACTTTTCTCCTTGAAAACCACCTCATTAGCCCCCCCCCCATCATAGCTGTCAACGTTTTCCTTTTTTTAAGGGAAATTCCCTTATTCCGAATAGGATGCCTCGCAAGAAAAGGGAAAAGTTGACAGCTATGCCCCCAATTAATTGTGTCCCCCCCCCCGAATTACAGGCATGCTGAGGTGGGGGAGGGGTCCTCCCCTCCCCCCGCACTCCCTCCGCTTTAGCAGTTGCCCCCGTCCTGGGACCGAACCTTTCCGCCAGCTCCGGTGCTCCGCCCCCTCTCTCGCTCCGCCGACGCGTCTCCAAGGCAACAGCGCAGGAGCCTCCAGGCTCCATCCGCGCAGAGCCGAGATGGGAGAAAAATAGTTCCCAGCCCACATTTGGCCTGACTGACACTCCCTAGCTACCGCCCCACGGCTTCAAAATAGCGCGGGGTGGAAAGACTACATATTAATTTATGCCAGTGCTGTAAATCGTACTAGTCGTCATCACCACCGCCATCACTGTGGGTTGGATCCAGCGAGCTTCTGCTCGGAATAGTCCCATTGGGATTAATGGACCAAAAGTTAATGGTCTCCATTAATATCAATGGGCTTAACATTGAATACAACTTTGTGTGTGTGCAAAACATTGTATTGGTTCTATCTCTCTGCCTGCTTACATGCACAAACAACTATATATGTTTGAGATATTTATATGCCACCTTTATAGAGTAAAACTTTATCAAGGTAGCTTCCATTTTTTAAAAAAATCCCACAGCCCCTCTTAAGTGTTTATAAAAACAGCACAAACTGTGGATATATGCGTGTTGTAGAACTGAGTTTTTAACATCATTCTTATCATATATGGATATTTTAAATGGTATATTGCTTCAATTTTTTCTTCTAATCTAATGCAATTTTCATGATTTTTAAAAAATATAGCATACAATTTTATTTATTTTGTAGGATCTATATGCTGCTTGATTGTAAACAAACAAATAAAACCCTTACAGCAGTTTATAAAAAGGAGAAAACAATAAAACTATTAGTTAAAACATTTTAAAACATTTTTCTAGGGTTACCATCTTTCAAGAAGTGAAAATCCGGACACAAACAAATTGTTGACCCTTATTTTATTTTTTTAGAGGAACAACCCAAGGTTTCTGCTGCGATTTTGACCATTATGTTGCTGAAAATCCAGGATGAACCCCTGAAATCCCAGACGTATGGCAACCCTATTTAAACATTCAAAAATTAATGAGCATGAATGATAGGTGAAAGCTAGATTGAAAAATGCGTGCAGTCATTCTTCATGCCTGGGCAGGCTTGCCTAAGTATAAATGTTTTTAGTGGGTGCTGCAAAGAGTAAAGTGCTGACATGTCGTCAAGGGGCAGGGAGTTCCAAAGTGCAGGTCTAAAAGACTTATTTCTTACAAATGCAGAATTGAGTTTTAGGGGACACTTGTAACAGGCTGATGGTAAGGCCAAAGTCTAGGCAGGCTTGGGCAAAACAGCCAGTCTCCGTAATGCTTCCTCGGTGTGCGCTGTCAAGGCTGTATCATCTGCACATCACATCCTGACACACTTTTGTCTTGGCATGGAGACGTTTCAGGTTGAACAGACCCCCCCACCATCACTCATTGAATGGATACACACACTGTCTTCAGTCGAGCTGAAGGCATAGGAGAACAGCAGGACATCTGAACTGCTCAACAACGTCAGGGAAGCTGAGCTATCTTCCAGCCCTTGCAATGACCCTGTAAGGTAGGCCTGCGTTTATGTTAAGTTGTGGGTGAACATATCAGACGACACAGCGATTCTTCAAACAGCTCTTGTTTATTCACAGGCCAGAACAGAACTGGGCTGAAGGGTTCAGCCAACCTGCTTATATAGAGCTCAACTACAAAGCAACAGTAACAACTCTCTGTAACTATCCAATCACTGAACGTCACTTTCAATTCCTTATTTGCATATGTGGACCTGAGTGAAAACTATCTACAGTATCCCCCTGCTGGCCCAGGGTGAGAACTTCAGTACATAACACCTTATTAATTCCATACTGCAGCCAGGCAAGAGTTTGCCTCTTGTCGTTCTGCCACGATGTTTTCACCCCTCCCTAGATGACCCTTGGGGTCCGTTCCAGCTCTACAATTCTGTGATATTTCACATTTCTTTTGCACTCAGGTTTTTGCTGTTTCATCTTGACTTACGATTCTGCCTCTTATCCTTGGGTTGTCTCGCAACACTGACTGATTATCCTGATTTAACAGCAAACACATAACCCTCCCAAAAGATGCCCTAATTCTTCATCATGCTAATTATTGCTACCAACTGTCATAGTGATTGGTGGCGGTTGTTTTTCCCGCTGGAACAAAATGCTTAAACAAGATCAGCCCTTTGTTCCTAAGCAAAGCTTTTCCAAGACAAGTTTTCGCCGTTAGCGTGATAAATGGGAAATATGTACAATTATTGTATTATTATTGTTTTCTGTAAAAGAATATTGCAGCCTCCTCCTCACTCTGACGATGCCATAATTATAATTCCATAGTAGACTAGTGTAAGGCGGCTGAAACTAAAAGCCAAAAGATCACATCTGTGTGGTTATATATTGCCTTTATGGTGGGTAGATTTTTAAAAAAATAAAAATATTGTGTTTCAATGTTGTAATCCACCCTGGAACCTAAGGGTGAAGGGTGGGTAATTATTAGTAGTAATTCTTATTTTAAAAGTTTTGTGAGAATCAGACGATATGCCCCCTTCGTTTTGACATTGTAGCCCTTATAGATCAGGAGTTACCCCCACTGAGTTAAGAGAGACTTACTCCCAGGTAAGGTAAATTTCCATAGGTAGTGGAGATAGGTCCACAGACCTGTCTCCCTCGGGAAGTTGTGGACTCTCCTTCCTTGCAGGTTTTTAAGCAGTTGGATGGCCCTCTGCCATGGATGCTTTAGCCGAGATTCCTGCATCAAAGGGGGTTGGACTAGATGACCCCCGGGTTCCCTTCCAATTTTACGATTCCATGTTGCTATGACAATGTGTACACATTGTCTTCTCTCATAACACTAGGACTCGCAGACATTCGATGAAGCTGGAAGATTCAGGACAGATAAAAGAATGGACTTCCTCGTGCAGTGCAGAGCTAGAACTGTGGAACTCTCTGCTGCAGGAGGCAGTGATGTGTCCACCAACTTGGATAATAATATAATAATAATAATTTATTATTTATACCCCGCCCATCTGGCTGGGTGTCCCCAGCCACTCTGGGCGGCTTCCAACCGAATATTAAAAACAACACAGCATCAGACATTAAAAACTTCCCTAAACAGGGCTGCCTTCAGGTGTCTTCTAAAAGTCAGATAGTTGTTTATTTCCTTGACATCTGATGGGAGGGTGTTCCACAGGGCGGGTGCCACCACCGAGAAGGCCCTCTGCTTGGTTCCCTGTAACCTCAGTTCTCGCAGAGAGGGAACCACCAGAAGGCCCTTGGAGCTGAATAGCTTTTAAAGAAGATTGGACAAATTCGTAGAGAAGGCTACTAGCCACAATGGCTATCCTCTGCCTCCACTGTTGCAGGCAGTTCTGCTTCCGGATCCCAGTTGCTGGAAACGATAAGAGGGGAGAGGGTTCTTGCGCTCGGATCCTGCTTGCGGGATTCCCATAGGGGCGCCTGGTTGGCCACTGTGAGAACACCAGCCTGATCCCTTTTTAATGGATGACTGAAACATACACACCTCTGCTTAACCACGGCTGACATTTGGGATGGAAGCTGCTTTGCAGGGGAACACACCAGACAGTGGTATTTCCCAATAAACGCTACAGGATTGATCTGGGTTGTGGCTAACAGGCCCAGCTACACTATGGTTACCAGACGTCCCCATTTCCCGGGGACAGTCCCTGGATTTACAAATCTGTCCCCAGACAAAATCCGTCCCCGGAATGTTCCCGGATTTCATTTAATGTCCCCAGATTTATATTTTAAATGTTGCAGATTTATTAGTTGGGAATGAACTTTGCGTGATTGGTTCAACGGCACAAGACACATCATATGGGGAGTTCCGGTGAGGCAAAATGGCGGGCGCCACGGCAGCAAGCAACTCCTGAAGCCAGCCAGAGGCAACTGCGCTACCAGGCTGGCTCTGGGCTGCTGAGACTGCCGCTGCCACCGCCACCACCGAGGGGGGACCAGGGATGCCTGGCGCATCAACTGGGGGAACCGCTGACACCCCCCCGTGACCCAAATCGAGCCGGGTGCGAGAGCAGCTGGCTGGCTGCCCAGCGGCACTTGTAGCCTGCTCCACGGCGACTAGCGCTCCAAGAGAGCAGGCCGGGGCCCAGAGGAAGGCAGCGCGACAGAGGAGACCACAGAAGAGAAGATATTACTTCTAATTTTTTTTAAAAATAACTTTTTAAATACGGTAACTTTTCCCCCTCTTTTTTTTTTTTTTTAAGTGTCCCCGGATTATTTGAAAAAAATCTGGTAACCTTAAGCTCCACCATACATTTAAAGCACTCTTAGATCACTTTAACAGTCACGGCTTCTCCTAAAGGATATTGGGAACTGTAGCACGCTGACATTACAGAGCTATAATTCCTAGCATCCTTAGCAAACTGGAGTTCCCAGGTTTCTCCACAGCTGTCAAAGGGGTAAACAAGAGTTCCAAAACTAGCAGTGGGAGCACACTGGAGCCAGAGTAAATGGTCTTATATGCACAGACAAGAGTTGGTTGTGCTTATCTCCCACCCTACAAGTCTCAATGGGTACCAGCCTCCATTGGACTAGCACCTTAAACACAGACCACTGCACTTAGGAAACTTCACATAACAGCAGTGATTGGTTGCATTGCATTTGCTGGTAGAGGGCAGCGGAGAGTTGCGAGAAAAGGTCATAGTGAAGCAGATAATCAGGTTATGTTCCTAAGAAGTGTGAGTGTGAGATTGTTATTGCTCATCGCACCCAGCAATTTATCATTCAGCAATCAGTGCGGTTGCAGGTTCAACATGACAGGTTAAAAACGTGTGGATATGCATCCGGAGAGAAATAGCGAAGGGTATTTTATTCCGAACCTACGGTACTTTGCAATGTTGAAGTGAGGATGAAATTGGGTGGCGTGGCATAAGAAAGACCGTGTCTGCCTCCTGGTTTTTTGTTTTTTTATTCTGTAAAATATATATCCTGCTTAATTGTAAAAAACACACACACCCTCAGAGCAGTTTACAAAAAAAATAGTAAAATCAAGAGAAAATCACAACAATAACAAAATTAAAGTTAAAATACTAAAACAGATTAAAATTACCTCAACTTTCTAAGCATGTGGGTAGGCTTGTCTAAGCAATAATGTTTTTATCAGGGGCCGGAAAGTGTACAGTAAAGGTGGCTGCTTGATCTCAATAGGCAGGGAGTTCCAAAGGGCAGGTGCTCTCAAATTTCGGCAGTGCCCTGTGCCGACCTAAAATTTAGCGCACCCACCTCTTGTGATCTATTGTACATCATTGTTATGATGCCTCCTGCAACACAGGGCTGGGTGACCACTGTCTCTCTGAGCCTAGCCTACCTCACAAGGTCGTTGGGGGGATTAAAGGAGGAGGGGGAAAACCTTGTATGCTGCCTTGAGCCTCCTTGGAAAAAAAGGGCGGGCTATAAATGGACGCGGGTGGCGCTGTGGGTTAAACCACAGAACCTAGGACTTGTTGATCAGAAGGTCGGCGGTTCGAATCCCCGTGACGGGGTGATCTCCTGTTGCTTGGTCTCTGCTCCTGCCAACCTGGCGGGAAGGTAAACGGCGTTTCCGTGCGCTGCTCTGGTTTGCCAGAAGCGGCTTAGTCCTGCTGGCCACGTGACCTGGAAGCTGTACACCGGCTCCCTTGACCAGTAAAGCGAGATGAGAGCCACAACCCCAGAGTTGGCCACAACTGGACCTAATGGTCAAGGGTCCCTTTACCTTTACCTTTATAAATGCAAACAATGGAAATAGATATTATTATTTGGGGTGGGAAAGAGAGGAAAAGTTCTCTAACCTCCTTCCTCACAAATTATGTTGGAATTTTTTATTTTCCCTGGTTGATAGCTCTGTTCTGCTGGTTCCCCTGCTGTGGTCTTGAGTGATACACTCTGAGCAGGATTTTACCACTTCAATTAGGACTTAGTTGCAGATGAGGGCTGCTTTCAAGCCCTGATTAAGAGTTTAACCATTTACATAAATTGCCCCTCCATGCCTTACGAGATATACGGAAACATTTGTCAGAAATGTAATGTTTTAAGGAGAGAAACATCTCCCCGCCACGCCTTTCTCTCCAGCAGGCTGCAATAAAGCCATAAAACGCTTTTTAGAAAAACAAAATGGCCAATTACCCTAACTGCCTCGTCTCAGCAGGGAAATGCCACAGTGAGCTGCGGCATTGTCTTAAAACATCCCTTTCCATAACTCTGACAGGCGGTGAGGGATGGGGAGATGTGGGGCTGCCATGGCAACCAGCGGTCTCGGCCTGCAGCGAAACAGGCCTGACACCTGTAAACATGGGAAAGCCTTGTTCCGCCAGCCTTTTTCCCCCGATTCCTTGATGAAATTACCCCCTCCCTCCTGCTGGCGTGTGGGATGCTGTCGAGAAATGTTAAAACCAGTCATTCAGCAAAGAGGCAATCTACTTTCCAGAGGAAGTGAATTACTGATAGCTTGGATGGAGCTGCTGCCAGTCAGAGTATGCTCTGCTGAGCTAGATGGGTAAATGCATAAGAACTCTGAGAGAAGGGAGTGACCACACTGGTTCTTGCAATGTAATCAACAGACAGACAAATTTCAAACAGTGCCAGGGGGCTTCGGTGAAATTTCTGCAAGCTGGATGTTGGATAGGTAAAGGTAAAGGGACCCCTGACCATTAGGTCCAGTCGTGGCCGACTCTGGGGTTGTGGCGCTCATCTCGCTTTATTGGCCGAGGGAGCCGGCGTACAGCTTCCGGGTCATGTGGCCAGCAGGACTAAGCCGCTTCTGGCAAACCAGAGCAGCGCATGGAAACGGCGTTTACCTTCCCACCGGAGCGGTACCTATTTATCTACTTGCACTTTTATGTGCTTTCGAACTGCTAGGTGGGCAGGAGCAGGAACCGAGCAACGGGAGCTCACCCTGTTGCGGGGATTCGAACCGCCAACCTTCTGATCGGCAAGTCCTAGGCTCTGTGGTTTAACCCACAGCGCCACCCGCGTGCCTCTTCTTTTAAAACAGAAAGTCGCATTTAAATCCAGTTTAAAATGTGACAGAGACTATTTCAAGAGGGCAACAGCTGATGTAACGTGGCAGCTGTTTTGGTAAGGAAGTGAGCAGATATTGGAAATCAGAGGCAGATTTTTGGAGCAAAAGAGGAGATGAGAGCAGCTGATATGGGGGGAGCAATGGGGAGCAGAGAGGCCTGAGGATGGAGGGAGGAAGCTGGTGAGGAAAATGGCACAGGAAAATCTCTTCCCCACCCCTGCTGCTTCCTGCTCTCCAACCTCAGCTTCCAAGGCCCCTCTCTGCCATTGATTCACATGCCTTCCTCCCACATCCTGGAGGACAGGCAGCATTTTCAAAACTGGTGGCCCCTGAAAATATGGTAAATATGTGTTATGTACTGAGTTGAATAGGATCCAAAATGCAGCAGTCTGATTGGTCCTAGAACAATGCAGCATTATGATTGGTCTGCAGGAGCCACCCAATCCAGCTCCAGGTGGAAGTGACTCCACAACCTGATTGGCCTACAGGAGAATCACGGAATTAGCCAATCACGTGCAGCCCATTGTGTAAATAATGTGTAAATAATGTGGGGGAACTTCTATTCCTCCTCACCACTACGAGCTGAATAAAGAGCATGAAATCCACTCTCGACTCCGAGTATATTTCAATATGTGAATACACTGTTTTAAGAAATCATCAGTTTGAACAATTAATTAAACCACAGCCCTTCCTTATGGAGAAAGTGGAAAGAGAAAAGTTTCCCTGCCTCTCTCGTAATGATAGAACTTGGAGATATCCAATGAAACTGAAGATTGGCAGATTCTCATTTACGGTATTTTTTGCACCATAACACTCACTTTTTTCCTCCTAGAAAGTAAGGGGAAATGTCTGTGCGTGTTATGGAGCGAATGCCTGTGGGTGGCGGGGGGGATCTGCTGCAGTCGTGAGCAGAGGATCCATGGTTCCGCTTCCTTCCCTCCTCCGTGGTTACAAAGCATGGATCCACATGGATCCTCAGGATTTTTGCATTGGGCTACTCCAAACTCACTGTCAGATCACATGTCTGTGGCCACAGCATGAACCACAAAAATCATATATCCACTATTTCATTTAGAATATTTTTTTCTTGTTTTCCTCCTCTGAAAACTATGTGCGTGTTATGTTCTGGTGCGTGTTATAGAGCGAAAAATACGGTATTTGACCTGATCCTTTCAAAGTTTCCTTGGATATCCTCCTTTTCCTTTAGCCGCCTTGCATAGGCATAGCCGGCCGGGGTGGGGGGAATGGGGCAGCTGCTTCCCCTAAGCCAAGTAAATAAATAAATAAAAGCACTTAACTAAAAGTAAGTTTTAGTTTTTATAAGTTGCAAGATTTCTACAATTCTATGATCTACGACTCAGAAGCTGAACCATGGTACACCATGTGGAAGAAGAAACTCAGCAAAGATCAGATAAAAGAGCTGAACATAGCAGACCTATTAAAAGAGGTGGAAATCTTTTACCCCACCACAAAAAAGGCTCTGCTTGCAGATACTTAATTGGCAGCTTAGGATTTTATGTAAGTTGGGGAATTAATATGTTTAATTTCAAACTGAAAAGATCTAAGGATGTTAATGTTCAAGTTAAATTTTATAAGAACTGTGATTTGGAAAACCGTTAAAAGGATATGCATTGAAATTCAACCAAGGGGAAGCGAGGAAGTCACTTAACAATGTTAATAAGTGTAATTTTTAATAAGGTTATGATTTATGTTTGTTTGTTTATAATTTTGTGGAAATCAATTTAAAAAAATTGGGGGAAAAAAGGTATTTGGAAAAATTATTGGAAAAAACCCAATGCCCATCAACTTGGGCATTTTCGGGGGGGGGGTCGTATGCCCCCCCCAACTCTGCTCGTGTCTCGCCCCCTCGCTCCGCAGCCTCTCCGGCTTCCTCCCTCCACCGCCCCCTCCCCGGCTTCTCCCGGAAGCCCAGCCGCCTCCGGGATTCCAGGCCGGGCTTTCCCTCCCTCCCTCCCTCCGCACGCTCCGCTGCCTGCCGGCGCCTTATTTATTTAAGGTCTGTGTAAGAGCCGCGGTGGGGAGCGCGCTTCTGGCCGGGCCGCCGACGGGGTCCCGATCTGCCGGCTCCGAGCAGCTTCTGCCGCCTGCAGACCGGAATGGGCGCGGTGAGTGTGACCCGATTTGCGTTTACACGATTACTTTGCAATCCGGTTCTAAACTTTCCCCTAGTGTCCTCCTCCTTGTGCCTTTCCCTCGAAAGATAAAGAAAATCCAATGGCTCCTCGCCAGAATCTCTTGAAAACCCAAAAGCATTTCTTGCAAACTGGGCAGATGCATTTTTTCCCTTTTTTTTAAAAAAATGCAATTATTTTTTCCAGTTCCTTGGGAACGGAAATCCCTGGGAACGGAAACTCATTGTAAAGCTGCGGCGGCTTCCTGGCAGAAGCGGTGCGCGGGGTGCTGTGTTGCGCAGGCGCGCGCCGTGGAGTCCGAAGAACTTTGTTTCTGGGGAAAGGGAGGAGGCGGCGGCGGCGGCGGCGGCTTGTTAAACGGCGGAACTCACTGCGACAAGAGGCAGCGATGGCCACCGACGGGAGGGGGGCGGCTTTCAAAGAGGATGGGACAGATGCATGGGAGAGGAGAAGGCCATCGGTCGGAGGCAGGGATGCCTCTCAAAATCCAGTTTTTGGAGGACACAGGAGGGCATCGATCTCCTTTATTGGCATAAAAAAGTGCATCGTATACATCATGGGTAGGCAAACTAAGGCCCGGGGGCCAGATCCGGCTCAATCGCCTTCTAAATCCGGCCCATGGACGGTCCGGGAATCAGCGTCTTTTTACATGAGTAGAATGTGTCCTTTTATGTAAAATGCATCTCTGGGTTATTTGTGGGGCCTGCCTGGTGTTTTTACATGAGTAGAATGTGTGCTTTTATTTAAAATGCATCTCTGGGTTATTTATGGGGCATAGGAATTTGTTCTCCCCCCCCCCTCATAAAGTCCAGCCCCCCACAAGGTCTGAGGGACAGTGGACCGGCCCCCTGCTGAAAAAGTTTGCTGACCCCTGATATACATGGATCAGAACACAACACAGTTAACGAAATATAGTCAGAGATGCTTTAGGATAAAACTGTCCAGGCATCTTGAGGTACGAAGATGGCTCTTAGGACCTAGGTAAAGGTAAAGGGACCCCTGACCATTAGGTCCAGCCATGACCAACTCTGGGGCTGCGGCGCTCATTTCGCTTTATTGGCCGAGGGAGCCGGCATACAGCTTCTGGGTCATGTGGCCAGCATGACTGATCCGCTTCTGGCGAACCAGAGCAGTGCATGGAAACGCCGTTTACCTTCCCGCCAGAGAGGTACCTATTTATCTACTTGCACTTTGACGTGCTTTTGAACTGCCAGGGTGGCAGGAGCAGGGACCGAGCAATGGGAGCTCACCCAGTCGCGGGGATTCGAACCGCCGACCTTCTGATCGGCAAGTCCTAGGCTCTGTGGTTTAACCCACAGCTACAGTGATGTAATTTCATAGTGTTACTCAAAAAACTTCTCCCCAACGTCATTACTGCAATTGTTCAGCAGATAAGACACCCTGGAAGAGTCAGTGCGATAAATCCCTTCCTTCAATAAGGGGGCCAAATACTTATCAAATATTTTTGCATAAAATTCGCATTAAAAAACCCCTGTGTGTGATAGATTCGACCTGTTTTGTGCCACAAGGGCAGTGTCTTTCCGAGAATGGGATTTTCAAGAATCTACCTTGCAAAACCGCAGATGGTAAGATGCTAAATCTTGCGAGGGAAAGAGCTCTGTGTAGGTGGGGATTGCAAAGCTGTAAATATAAATATGTGTAAATATGGAGTGTCCTGGCTAAACCAGGGTGGGATTCCCAACCCCAAGGGGGAACAGGTTTTCTTGGCTGCACTGCAAAGGGGTTTGAATTCAGTCTCTAGGATTCTGCACTTGATTTTCTGGAATGCTTCCAACTGTGGGAGCATAATCAGTGACTCGAGTGATAGGCCACAGGTTCTGATTTTGCTCTCAACGCAAGATAGCCATTCGGAGTGGTGGGATTCTGCCAGCATGTGGAAAGTTAAAGAAGACCGATCGGACATGAAATGTAGGCGGAGCCAGAATTTTATAATGGTGAGCAGCGCTTTGGTTTCCGGCAGCCTTTGTCCAGTTTCCAGCCACAGGGCACACAATTTGGCAGCCCTGGGATTTTGCGCAGAAATTTGGATTGGATGCGTTCCAATGGTTGGTTAGCTGCACCGATCCATAATGGAACACCATACAGGAGTTTGGGGGCTACAGTGGTACCTCAGGTTACATACGCTTCAGGTTACAGACGCTTCAGGTTACAGACTCCGCTAACCCAGAAATAGTACCTCGGGTTAAGAACTTTGCTTCAGGATGAGAACAGAAATCGTGCTCTGGCGGCGCGGCAGCAGCAGGAGGCCCCATTAGCTAAAGTGGTGCTTCAGGTTAAGAACAGTTTCAGGTTAAGAACGGACCTCCGGAACGAATTAAGTACTAAACCCAAGGTACCACTGTACTTGGGCGTTAAAGCTGAGATGAACTGATTTCCTCTGTTAAAGAAGAAACAGGAGATGGCCGGAGCCTAGAGTATCCGCTCTGTTAAGTGTGAGCTTACAATGGTCCCGTATTTCCAAGAAGCGTTATATTGGAAGTGGATGCCTAGGTATTTAAAGTTTTCAACCTGTTCCAACGGGGTTCCACTGATCTCCCACCCACGAGGCTGCCAAGATCTTGAGAAAACAAGCACTTTAGATTTTGCGAAGTTCAGTTCCAGTCTGTTGGCTGTACAATATTCCTGGCAACGGCTTCAAGCCATTGTGCGAGACAAGATGACTGCGTCATCGGCATATAGTAAGATGGGAGCGTGGATGGAGCTGAGCTTCAGGCAATGGCCACCCACCCTGTGAAAACAGGGTGCAAGGTCGTTTAAGGTTGAATAAATACGGAGCTAAGACGAAACCCTGCTTTACCCCTTTGTTGGCAATGATTTTGGGGGTTAGCCTGCCCAATTGGGTGTATCTCACTTGGCAACACGTGGCGGTGTAGTTTCCTGATGAGAAAGAGTAACCTTTCAAAGATGTTCAGTATGGACAGTTTGTTCCAGAGCAGCTCTCTCAGGACTGAGTCAAAGGCTCCTCTCAGGTCCAGAAACGCTGTATACCGTTTTTGATGAAGAGTACTAGAGTATGTATTCAGTTGGTGATACAATGATCCAAGGTAGCTTTACCCTGGCAAAACCTGCTTGGGGCCTGCAAATTGGGATATCCACTGGGTAAGCTTTCTCAGAAGATGCGTAAAGGTAAAGGGACCCCTGACCATTAGGTCCAGTCGTGGCCGGCTCTGGGGTTGCGGCGCTCATCTTGCTTTATTGGCTGAGGGAGCCGGCGTACTAAGCCGCTTCTGGCAAACCAGAGCAGCGCACGGAAACGCCGTTTACCTTCCTGCCAGAGCGGTACCTATTTATCTACTTGCACTTTGACATGCTTTTGAACTGCTAGGTTGGCAGGAGCAGGGACTGAGCAACGGGAGCTCACCCCCGTCGCAAGGATTCGAACCGCCAACCTTCTGATCGGCAAGCCCTAGGCTCTGTGGTTTGACCCACAGCGCCACCCGCGTCCCTAGAAGATGCTTAGCATAGAGCTTTTCCACTATGGAGGAAGGGGGGTTAAGGATTTGCCCCCCAGCAGTGTAACTTCTGATGGCTAAAGTTTTGGAAGACATTGGGTTGCCCAAGGATTTCGCCTGTTCAGGGTCGTATCAGAGTCTGAAGGGACCCTTGGAATGGCACCCTTTTGTGGAACTCCCTTCAGTGCCCCCCCATTATACAGTGGTACCTCAGTTTACAAACTTAATCCGTTCCGGAAGTCTGCTCTTAAACCAAAACCGTTCTTAAACCGAGATGCGCTTTCCCTAATGAGGCCTCCCGCCGCCAGTGCCCTTCCACCGTTCGGATTCCGTTCTTAGACCGAGGTAAAGTTCTCAAACCAGGACAGTATTTCCGGTTTTACGGAGTTTGTGAACCAAGTCGTTCTTAAACTGAGGTACCACTGTATGTTATTTGGTGGGAGTACTGCAGTCGGAGAATGGTGGACTCACAGAATTGTAGAGCTGGAAGATTCCACTACACCACATTTTTATGTATGCCTCCCTTCTCCACCATTAAATGCATTTTTGTATATATCATTTGGTGGGAGGTCTGCATCACAAAATCCGGAGAAGTACACATCCTGGTTTAGGAAGCACGAATGAGATAGTTTTTCATCAAAAAGCAAATAAAATTGAAATGCTCCTCCATGCCTCAAGTACCAGGTTATGACCAGGGAACTGTGGGAAATTAAAAATGGCACCTGTAGCATCTCATCACTCTCTTTGGGAACCCCTGCTCTAACCACTACACCACATTGCCCTTCCCCAGTAATGCATTTTTGGACACTTGGCTCTCCCCTCTCATTGGGGAACTGCATTTTGCATCATGTATTGTTTCTGGGAACTGCAAAGTAGGTAAACTCAGATTAAAATGCAAATGGATGCAAATTCCACCTCCATCAGCCCCTCCCATCCAGGAACTCTCTCATTAACCGACTTTCCCCTTCAAAAACCATTGATGGGGCCCCTTCTCTGCTTTTGCCCTTCTCTTTCTGGGGATGCGGCAAAGATCACCCCGCCTGCCCCTTTTATCTTTCCTCCTCCGCACTTGTTGCTGCCTTTGCCATGGCAACGGAGGGGGCTGTTTGTGCAGGTTGCCAGGGTTTCTCTTCCTGCATAATCAGACTTGGCAGTGAGCAAAGGTAATTGACACTGAAAACCGGTCCAGTTGGAAAGAAAACCAGGCCCGGAGTCTTGCTCTGTCTGGCCTGGAGCGGAGACCCTCCTGTCAATGATTTAGCAGCCAACATCCTGCTTCCTTCAGTGGCCAATCGGATGCCTCCAAATAGCCCATAAGCAGGGTACCAATGCAGCTACCCTGTTTTGCCTCTGTGGGAGTCACTGCTCTCATCTTCAGCCAAACGGCTGTTCTCAATAATAGATTATTGTATTTTAATATTCCGTTGGAAGCTGCCCAGAGTGGCTGGGGAAACCCAGCCAGATGGGCAGGGTATAAATATATTATTATTATTATTATTATTATTAATATCTGATTCTCAAGCCCAACAGCAGCCTCCCCTCCTGTGGTTTCCAACATCTGGGATTCACAATCACAGCCGTCGTGGCCTCCTCCATGGATTTTTCTGACCCTCTTTCAAAGCTATCCAGGTTGGTTGTCATCTCTGCCTCCTGCAGCAGTAAAAGTCTAAAATCTTCCAACATTCAGCTTTTCTGGATAACCCCGCTTAGTTCCTGTGCTCTGAGATTTAAATTGGCACCGGGAGTAAGTTCCTTTTCTCTGGCGCTCAAGCCCCACTCACACCTGCTTGCCGGCATCTCAGCCTCAGTTTTCCCCATCTGGTAAATGGGAACAAAGCAAGTGATAAATAGGCTGTCAGGCATTCTGCTGCTGTGGGAATCTGCCTTTCCCACTGCCCCACTTCCCTTTCCTTCTTCCCTTCCCCTGCAAACGTTTGGGTCATGGGACCTGCCGGATGAGAAGCCGCCAAGTTTGGAAGCCAAGCCCCACCAACAATGTCAAGTTCAGCAGGTTAAGGAAACACAGTGATGTCACCTGACCCTGTTTGTTCAGAGCTGCCTTGAAACAGCTGGGCGAAGGATGGTGGCTGGGTTGGGACACGCAGCCAAGTGAATGAATTCCAGTTTCACTTCTTCATTTTTGGATTTCCATTGAGAGTTGATTTTTGCGACAATAATAGTTCATTACCAACTGAATTTACACCCTGTCCTTCCTTTCCAAGGAGACCACGGTGGCAGGCAGATAGAGAATTTAGAAAAAGAATGAAAGCAAAGCAAAAACAGATCAAAACATTATCGGTTAAAAGCAGTTTTGGTTAAAAAAAACATTGTAAGAGCAATGACAAATAGAAACCTTCTTCCGCCCTGTGATCAAGGAATTTTCCAGTGCCGGAAAAATCTTCAGCCACTGAATGCCTGGGTAGAGAGGAATACTGTGCGCAGTTCTGGTTGCCTCGCCTCAGAAAGGATATTGTAGAGCCGGGAAAAGGTTCAGAAAAGGGCAACCGTCATGCTCAAGGGAGATGGAGCGAGTCGAGCGGCTCTTCTTCTCCTCGCGGCACATCGTTAACCTTTGGAACTCACTGCCACAGGAGGCAGGGATGGCCTCCGAGTTGGATGGCTTTAAAAGATGATTAGACAAGTTGATGGAGGACTAATGAAAAACCTAGACAGCATCTTAATAAGCAGAGACATCACCTTGCCAACAAAGGTCCGTATAGTTAAAGCTATGGTTTTCCCAGTAGTGATGTATGGAAGTGAGAGCTGGACCATAAAGAAGGCTGATCGCCGAAGAATGGATGCTTTTGAATTCTGGTGCTAGAGGAGACTCTTGAGAGTCCCATGGTCTGTAAGAAGATCAAACCAACCCATTCTGAAGGAAATCAGCCCTGAGTGCTCACTGGAAGGACAGATCCTAAAGCTGAGGCTCCAAGACTTTGGCCACCTCATGAGAAGAGAAGACTCCCTGGAAAAGACCCTGATGTTGGGAAAGATGGAGGGCACAAGGAGAAGGGGACGACAGAGGATGAGATGGTTGGACAGTGTTCTCGAAGCTACCAGCATGAGTTTGACCAAACTGCGGGAGGCAGTGGAAGACAGGAGTGCCTGGCGTGCTGTGGTCCAGGGGGTCACAAAGAGGCGGACACGACTAAACGACTAAACAACAACATGTTCAGGAGCCAAGGTCTTTGAGGTCCAAGGTATGACTGTAGCGCAATATGTCTTCCATCTGTGGTTGCCCACAGAGTCTGTCTCCGTACAGCACCTGTTGTACCGTCCTCCCGGGACGGCGGAAGGCATAGGTTGAAAATGTAGCTCGATAAAAGCAAATCGTAGTTAGAGGCTAGCCGGAGATTTGACAGGCTCTAAAATGGACCGTCACTTATCCCCAGTATATGCTTTTAAAATTACTGCGTGCACACACACAAAATTGCATATATCTAAACCCTTGGGGCCGTCCCACAGCTACGAGCAGGTAAGGGAAAGAGAGAAAGAAATCCCAACACTCGTGCTCAGAGTGGGCCCCTATCCAGGAAGCAAGGTGGAGTGCTTAAAACACTCATAGGCAAACTTGACCCTCCAGATGTTTTGGGACTACAACTCCCATCATCCCTAGCTAACAGGACCAGTGGTCAGGAATGATGGGAACTGTTGCCTCAAAACATCTGGAGGGCCGAGTGTGCCTATGCCTGGCTTAAAAGCTCTTTACCTACTGGGTTACCCAAACCGACCCAATGCGAAAATGGACTTTAAATTCTCCCTCTTGCTCTGGAGCTTGGATGGCCATGTGAGATCTCATGAGGGCGTCCCAGAGCTGGAACGCTGAGCAGGCCCTCCCAAGCCTTAGAAACGATTTCTGCCATGGGAAACCCTAAGCACACCTGGTGTAAAAAGAGCTTTCGAGCTCTCCACTTTGCTTGGATTGAATTTGCGCAGTTTTGAGGAGCCTGCCTTCAGTCGCGTATACAGTTGAAATCCCTGCGAGTTAAACGTGCGTCAGGTGCGATTGTACTTTATGCGCTCCAGGTCCAGAACCGGCAGCTGGGTTTTCGTTTGTTTGTTTTGTTTCTGTGTGTTTTTGCCATGCGCTGCCTCTTCCCTCTGGGAATGCAGCAGACGGGCAAATATGCTTCTGTGCGATATGGAGCCAAGGCCAAGCCACCTGTGCCGTCGCCATCGATCTCTGGCGGGAGCCTCGTGGGCAAAAAGAGACAGCTGGGGGTGGGCTGGCTCTGCATTTGGGATCCCGGGGCCTCGAGGAATCAATATTTACGGAAACTGATCCCAAGTGTTGTGTCTTTCCTGGCTCAGTTTGGAGGACAGGAAATTTTTCTTTCCAAGGGATGATTTTGATGCCTGAGCCTTAGATTCTTTTTCTGCCATATAAACACACACACACACACACACACACACACACACACACAGTGGTACCTCGGGTTACATACGCTTCAGGTTACAGACTCCGCTAACCCAGAAGTATTACCTTGGGTTAAGAACTTTGCTTCAGGTTAAGAACAGAAATCGTGCTCCGGAGGCGCAGCAGCAGCGGGAGGCCCCATTAGCTAAAGTGGTGCTTCAGGTTAAGAACAGTTTCAGGTTAAGAACGGATCTCCGGAACTAAGTAAGTACCTAACCAGAGGTACCACTGTGTGTGTATGTGTGTGTGTGTGTGTGTGTGTGTGTGTGTGTGTATCAGATCTGCAAATCTCTCTATCTATACCCTGCTTGCAAATTCTCTCCCCCCCTTGTTATTGAAGTATGTCAATTCAAATAACAGAAGCACAAAAAGAAAAAAGCAGTGCAATATATCTGGAAGAGACTTGAATCAGGTAAGCAGGGTAGAGTGGTACCTCGGGTTACAGACGCTTCAGGTTACAGACGCTTCAGGTTACAGACTCTGCTAACCCAGAAATAATACCTTGGGTTAAGAACTTTGCTTCAGGATGAGAACAGAAATCGTGCAGTGGCAGTGCAGCGGCAGTGGGAGGCCCCATTAGCTAAAGTGGTGCTTCAGGTTAAGAACAGTTTCAGGTTAAGAACGGACCTCCAGAACGAATTAAGTTCTTAACCCGAGGTACCACTGTACTTAGGAACTTCAGAAAAGCCAAATTTAATGCTGCGGTGTAGAGAAGGAGTTCCGTGTGTCTGTGTTTGTTGTGTAAAGGATAAAATCCCCCCCAAAAGCACAGAATTTTTCCGGATCCTCTAAGCCTTTGGCAACACATAATTTATATGTTGCTTTATCAGCTAGTGCTAAACTTCTTTTCAAGGGATGATTCCGACGCCTGGGGCTTGGATTCTCTGTCGGCCTCTTTTATTTTTAAAGAGCGGATCTGCAAATCTCTCTTTCTATAGTCTGCTTGCAAGTGTCACCCTCAACAAAGTCAAATATTGAATGTATGCACCTTCCTAACTGTTGAATGGGGACATATTATGTTGACGGCTCTGGCCTGCCTGCTGTTTTTAGGGGGGGTGTCAAAGCGGGTGCTCATTTGTTTCTCTGCATCTGTCCTTTTGCTGGGTTTTCTAGTTAAAAGATGCCAGGGGGTTTTAAAAAAGGGAATCAGGATGCTGTTGGAAAAGCTGTCCAGTGGTTCTGCCATTGGCAAAACTAGCCAGTCGGAAGCAGGGCGGAAGGGCAACAGCCAATTCCTGTTTTGCCCCATTATCTGGTATTTTAATATCATTTTTAATTGACTTTACATATAAGCCTCCTCCTGAAAAGAAACCATACACAGGAAAAACAAGCCTGCGCTCAGAATTCAGGACTGTCATTTCACATCCAAAGCACCATTACTCACTGGGTAGCCCAAAGGTGGAAAGAGGAAGCAGTCCCAACCAGAGAAGATTGGCAAACTGTTAATGGACTATGCTGAAATGGCTAAATGAACTGGAAAGCTCAGAAATGAAGATGACAAGAAATTTGAAAAGGAATGGGAAATGTTTATTATGCATTTACAAAAGTATTGTAAACAGGTTCATACACTGGCAGGATTTAAAGAACACTTGTAATTGTAGAAATAGTATAAATAATTTGGAGTAGAAATGATATGCAGTTGAAGAAGAAAACTAAGGAACCGGGGAGAGGGGAGTCACAGGATTTGGAGAATCCCATTTTATGGATCTGATATTGCTTTTGTGTATAATTTGTTGTTGTTTGTTTGCTTGTTTTTTATTTTCACTATCTTTGTTGAAATAATAATAATAATAATATAATATGAAAGCAAAGCACCATTACTCATTGGAACTGGCATGGTTATGGGTGCTACATAATACTCATTCCAGTAAGAAATTGGTCTTTTAGCTCTTTGGAACTCCCTGCCAATGGACTTCAGGCAGGTGCCTTCACTGTACTCTTTTCGGCGCTTGCTAAAAACATTTTTGTTCAGACAAGCCTACCCAGATATCTAGAATGCTGGTGTGTTCTATAGTTTATTGCTGGTTTTAGTGTTTTAACTGTTTCCTTTTTAAATTTCATTTTATATATTTCACACACCGCTGTTTTCCTCCAGGTTTGATGTTGCCGTCTGCCCTGCGTGGTTTGTCGCCATGGCCGATACAATCTTTGGCAACGGGAACGACCAGTGGGTCTGCCCCAATGACCGGCAGCTAGCATTGCGGGCCAAGTATGTCTCTCTCTTTTTGACCCCACGCTGGGGCAATTTCCTACTGGGGGGGATATCCTTTGTACACTGATACTGTGATAACCCTTTTTTAAAAAAAACAAATAAATAGAACTGCCTGCCAATATTAGCTGCTGATTCCCAATAACCGCTTATTTGTAAGTACCGTATTTTTCGCTCTATAAGACGCACCAGACCACAAGACGCACCTAGTTTTTGGAGGAAGAAAACAAGAAAAAAAATATTCTGAATCTCAGAAGCCAGAACAGCAAGAGGGATCGCTGTGCAGTGAAAGCAGCAATCCCTCTTGCTGTTCTGGCTTCTGGGATAGCTGCGCAGCCTGCATTCGCCCCATAAGACGCACACACATTTCCCTTTACTTTTTAGGAGGGAAAAAGTGAGTCTTATAGAGCAAAAAATACGGTATTTCAAGGGCAGCTTAAGGGACACGATGGCCAAAGTAGACAGAGCAGCAAACAAAAAAATTTGGACCCTGTGTTGGGTCATCCAGTTAGCGCTGCCAGGTGGGGACAGCAGCAACTTATGAATATTGCCAGCGGAGGTTCTCTCTCAGATCTGGCGTATTGTGTGGAAATGAATTCTCATCACAAAAATATGACGTTCCGAAGTTCTGCTTGCAGAAACTCCGTTTAAACGTTACAAAACAAACGATGCATTGTCTCATATATTTCCATCATTACCTATACTTAATCCCAGTATAAGGCTCAAGGACATATCTTTGCTAAAAGCCAGCTTTTTCAGCTTAAAAAAAAACAACCCCAGAAGATCTCTGTCCCCGCTCTTTTTCCAGCTTGCTTGCATCTTGGCCAACGCCCAGGGAGATCTGTGTGCGCTTGGAAAAACAGCACATGACTCTGGAGTGGTCCGGGCTACCTTCAACAGCATAAGCAAACACTCTGAAAACCTGTGACTCAGTCATAAGCTTGGCCCACCCCAACTTTGCGATGGAAAAATACAAGCCTTCTGCCAATTTGTCCGTACATTCTGCACCGTAATTTAAATTCAATGCAATTTCAAAGGTGCACCGTTTTATGTAACGTTGATTAAATAACTTCCAACATCCCAGACTCTGAGGTTTCAGAGCCCGGACTTGAGACTTAGGGGTGGCCCCTGGTGATGTCAGAGGAGGTGGAGCCAGTGATGTCATGGGGCGGGCCCTGGGAATGTCCGTTCAGCGCAGGACAACTCCGGACAGCCTGTCATTCAAAAAAAGGAAACGAAAACAGAGACTTCAAATGAGTCAATTTGTTGTTGTTGTTTAGTCGTGTCCGACTCTTCGTGACCCCCTGGACCAGAGCACGCCAGGCCCTCCTGTCTTCCACTGCCTCCCGCAGTTTGGTCAAACTCATGCTGGTAGCTTCGAGAACACTGTCCCACCATCTCGTCCTCTGTCGTCCCCTTCTCCTTGTGCCCTCCATCTTTCCCAACATCAGGGTCTTTTCCAGGGAGTCTTCTCTTCTCATGAAGTGGCCAAAGTCTTGGAGCCTCAGCTTCAGGATCTGAGTCAATACTGGATGGAAATCAAGAGCGAAGCATTAGCTAAAGGGGGTGTTCTCAAGTCCGGCTGAATGAGGGGACCATTCCTTCTCACCTGGTTAGGGAGCCTGGGTAGGGGAGCTGCGCTTGCCCACCTGGAGATTCACATCCCTGCCACCTGCCGCCTCTGCCTGAAGGGCAGGCACACCTGGAGTCTTCAGGTTAGCCCTGTGGGGCGGAAGGTGTCTGGCAACCCCTTCATTCTGCCCATTGGTTAGAGGCAGGGCATGGAAATGAGAAGTGATGGAGGAGGCAGGGAATTCACCCTCTGCCCACAATTGATCTTAACCCCCCCCCTTCCTTCCATGTGGAAATTAAATCACACAGGCAGGTGTCAGGGTCCTGGACAAATACTGCTCAATATTGACATGAGTCTACTAGTCGTGTGTGGGTTTGATTGCCTTGAACTGCTTGGCCTCCCGGAAGGTTGTAAAATTGAAGATTAAAAATGGGATTGCTTGGATTTATTTTCTTAGTTCTGTTTTTTTTAATTAAACCTTACTGTCCAAGTCGTTCCCCCTCCACCCAGCCCTCCTGCGTTGTTTTTACTGCGAGTGATTTGTTACTGTCTTGTTATTTTGTGGCAGTGTGGTAGTATTTCATCCCTTTGGCTTCCTGCCTGCAGTTTGCTTAGGAAGCTGCCTTATGCAGAGTTAGACCCATGGGTCCGTCTATTGCCCACACTGGCTGGCAGCAGCTCTCCCGGGTTTCAATCAGGAGGACACTCCCATCCCATTTGGAGACCCTGGGGATTGAACTGTGGACATTTTGCATGTAATCATCATCATTTATTATTTATACCCCGCCCATCTGGCTGGGCTTCCGCAGCCACTCTGGGCGGCTTCCCAAAAAATGTTAAAATACTGTAATACATCAAACATTAAAAGCTTCCCTAAACAGGGCTGCCTTCAGATGTCTTCTAAAAGCCTGGTAGTTGTTCTTCTCTTTGACATCTGGTGGGAGGGCGTTCCACAGGGCAGGCGCCACCACCGAGAAGGCCCTCTGCCGGGTTCCCTGTAACTTGGCTTCTTGCAACGAGGGAACCGCCAGAAGGCCCTCGGCACTGGACCTCAGTGTCCGGGCTGAATGATGGGGGTGGAGACGCTCCTTCAGATAATACTGGACCGAGGCCGTTTAGGGCTTTCAAGGTCAACACCAGCACTTTGAATTGTGCTCAGAAACGCCAATGTAGGTCTTTCAAGACCAGTGTTATGTGGTCTCAGCGGCCGCCCCCAGTCACCAGTCTAGCTGCCGCATTCTGGATTAGTTGTAGTTTCCGGCTCACCTTCAAAGGTAGCCCCACTTAGAGCACAGATTCTCCTCCACCGAGCTGTGGCCCTTCCTTAGCCCAGATCTAAATGTACTTTTTTTTAAAGGATCTACAAACTAGGTAATTTTATTATAGAAAAAGTTAAACCTCTCCTCAGAGAGACTCGCCCAGTGCCTTCATTACATTTCTTTAGGTGCCAGGCACAAAAACATTCCTTTTCTCCCAGGCCTTAGGCTAATTAAACCATCTATGGCCTTTTAAACTCTCTCTGGTTTTTGTGTGTGTGTGTGTGTGTGTGTGTGTGTGTGTGTTATCGTTGTTTGTTACTTTGGTCTGTTTTTTTGTGTTTCTATGCTGTAAACTTCCCCGTGATCCTCAGAAGAAGGGTGCCATAGAGATTTAATAAAAAGAAATAAGCAAGGAAACCACCTAACTTGAGTGTATTGATTTTAAAGCACGACAGGCGGAGTTGGTTTTTTAAAACTTCTTTTTTCAAAAAGAAAGGAATGCAACAGCTGTTAGTATGGATTATTTCGTGTTGGTTAAGATTGTGATGGTTTTAGCATATATATCGGAGATGATGCTCAGATTGTTTGATTTTTGGTTTTCCTAAATGCGTAACCGTTACGTGTAATTATTATTATTTTTTAAATCAGTACCCTTGCTTCGTGACGAAGCTCTTCTTTCTCTCCCCCTCCTCTGAATTCCTTTCCTTCCAGGCTTCAGACCGGCTGGTCGGTTCACACGTTCCAAAGCAACCGGCAGAGGAAGACGCAGGCGCTGAACGCCAAGGAGATGGAAGTCATCCTGGAAGTCGTCCGCCGGGCGGAGAAACTGGACGTTGTTGAACAGCAGAGGATCGGGTACGGTTGCCGGCGCCTTCCTGTAGACCTGAGGGTTTCTCATTACTTAAGAAGCTGCCTTAACGCCACACCCCAGACCCTTGAGCCTTCTAGTCCAGTGCTGTCTACACGGACTGGCAGCAGCTTCTCAGGGTTTCTAGCAAGGGAGCCTTTCCTGGCCCTGCCATGAGTCGCCAGTCGTTGAACCCAGGTCAATTGCACAGATGCTCTGCCCCTCAGTACCAGTTCTTCCCCTACAAATAAGGCAAGGTGCTAGACCTCATGGTTCTGAATGGCAACATAGGAAGCTGACTTACACTGAGTCGGACCATGGGGCCATCTAGATCTGTGTTGTCTACACTGACTGGCAGAGGTTCTTCAGGCTTTTAGACTGGACTCTCCCCCAGGCCTGCCTGATGGTGCCAGGATTGAACCTAAGACCTTCTGCATGCAAACCCATTGCTCTGTCACTGACCGGCAGCCCTCCCCCAATACCTCTCTGGAAGTGTTGATAGGAGCGTGTCCTCTGTGGCTTAGCTGCCTTCTCCTGTTTCCTCACACCACTCATAATTTTCTAAAACCTCTTTAACGGCAGCAGCTCTCCTGGTTTCCAGACAGGGGTCTCTCCTTTCCTTACCGTGATTCGAACCTGGGGCCTTCTGAATGGAAATCAGATTCCAAACCACTCCGAGAGATGGTTACAGTTTGTTTGTTTATATACTGCTTTGGGGACCGAGGGCCCACCAAAGCGGCGAACGGAATATCCGTGCAAAAGACAAATGCAAGAAAGGAAATACAGAACTGCAGCGAAAAGAGTAGATTGGGAAAAACCATATAAAATAGTGACATTGCCAGATGAACTGCCTGTCACACTTAATAATGCATCTTTAAATTATTATTATTATTATTATTATTATTATTATTATTAAGCTGCAGTCATGCTTGGCTCTGGAGCGTTCTGGATCCCACATAACCCAGCTTGTCCCACATTATGCCCTCCAACCGGCTGCTCCAGCCGCTCGCCTCGTAGCAAGCCCATCCACGAATGATTGCCCCAAGGTGGGTGCCCTTGCCCTCATCACACCCCGAAGTGAAAACCCCAAAGGGACAAATCCCTTTGGGGTCTTCCCCTTTGCAGCTGCCTCATCAGATAAACAGATATATCTGTCTGCGCACGTTGGCATTCAGAAGACCTTGGGCTCAATCCTTGGTCTCTCCAGGTCCTTGCAGCTCTGCCCTGGCCACACCCCCTCTCCTCAGCCACACCCCCTTTTCTCCAGGCCACGCCTCCCACCAGCCCTCATTCACACCTCTCTCAAGGATTTCTGCCTGGCTGCGATGTGTCCCTGAACTCGGGTAATGCCTTTTACTTGCCTTGATGAACAGAGGCAAAAGTGGCCTCCATTGAATAATAATAATAATGATAATAATAATAATATGAATAATTTATTATTTATACCCCGCCCATCTGGCTGGGTTTCCCCAGCCACTTTGGGCAGCTTCCAACAAAATATTAAAAACAACACAGCATCAGACATTAAAAACTTCCCTAAACAGGGCCGCCTTCAGTTTTCTTTTAAAAGTAAAACAGTTGTTTATCGCCTTGACACCTGCTGGGAGGGCGTTCCACAGGGCAGGCGCCACCACCGAGAAGGCCCTCTGCCTGGTTCCCTGTAACCTCATTTCTCGCAGGGAGGGAACCGCCAAAAGTCCCTCCTCGGAGCTGGACCTCAGTATTTGGGCTGCACAATGGGGGTGGAGACACTCCCTCAGGTCTACTGGACCGAGGCCGTTTAGGGCTTTCAAGGTCAGCACCAACACTTTGAATTGTGCTCGGAAACATACTGGGAGCCAATGAAGATCTTTCAAGACCGGTGTTATATGGTCTCGGCGGCCGCCCCCAGTCACCAGTCTAGCTGCCGCATTCTGGATTAATTGCAGTTCCCGAGTCACCTTCAAAGGTAGCCCCACGTAGAGCGCATTGCAGTAGTCCAAGCGGGAGATAACTAGAGCATGCACCACTCTGGCGAGACAGTCTGTGGGCAGGTAGGGTTTCATCCAGTTTTTGCCAGTGGCCCCTTCCAACATGCAGCCCCTCAAAGGTTGCCCTATGGGCAGGGCTGTCTTAAGCATATGCGGCGCTTGGGTGCAGAGATCCGCCCGACGCGCCCCCCCCATTTCCCAGTCTCAGGCGCGCAGGAGGGCAGAGCCGGTCGGCTGCCTCAGCGTCTCGCTGGCTCAGGTGCCCTCAGACTCGTGACACAGAGTCTCCCGCAGCAGAAGAGCCCGCTGTGGCGCTCCGACCGACGGGTGGGCTCTTCCTCGGACTCTCGGCCTGGCGCCCCTGAGAGCCCGGCGCCCGGGTGCCCTGCACCCCTAGCGCCTATGGGTAAGACGGCCCTTCCTATGGGGCTGAAAAAGCATCCCCTCGCTCCTCGCCGTGCTGTAAAATGGGCAGCCCAGCCCAGAAATGGCTTCTTCCTCCACCTCGCAGAGCTGATTGAAGAGACCCATTAGCTGGTGGCGGTCTTAATGCTCTGCTTTTTGAAAAGGAAAAGGTCCTGCGGTTGCCGTTTTCAGAACTGCAGCTGCCTGGCTGGCATTTCCCGAAGCAAATGAGGCCTTAATAGCTGGACGCTGTGAGGCCTGTTGTCGAAAGATCTTTAGAGCACGCTGGGCTCAGCGCTCCAGTCAGCACGGCACAGCCAACACACCACTGTTGTTTCTCGACATCTTTCCCTTCATTACCCCGCAATTCCCTGGGAAGTGGGGTTTTTTTTGCCTGAGGTGATGAACTGGCTTAGGGCGTCTTCCTTGGCAAATTCAAGCTGAACAATTTCTTAGCTGGACTTATTAGCTCGTTGACGACAAAGCCCCCCTACTTCCTGCCCCTCCGAAAACCCATTCATTTGGTTGTTTATGCCTTCCAACTGGAGATATTTTCTGATCTTCTCAACCGTGCGTTTCTGGGCCCAGCAGATTCCTATTTTTCTGAGTCATAAATCTCTGAGCCCAGTGGATTTGGAAACCTTTCTTTTAAAAAGGCATGTGGTGAGGGGAAGAAAGAAAAAAACAGGCAGAGGAATCTGGGCCAAATAAGCAGAGCTTGGGTTTTCCCTCAGCCTGGGCAAGGTGAGCTGTAAAATTGTCGGTGATTTAAAAATCCCTTCTAGGGTTGGGCAACTGTTGTGATGGCTTATAGCAGGGACGGGGAAGGCTGGAGCCCAGGGGCCATGTGGGTGGCCCTCTGGGACTCTTTGCCTGGCCCCCGGGAAAATTCTCTGCCATTCAGGCAAGCGTGAACATTATCAGAATTCCATAATGTCAGCCCCCAAAAAACACTTAAGGCAGGATTGGTGAGAGGCATGGGCTGGGGAGAAGGGACATAGCTCGGGAGAGATCTGAGGGCCAGATAGAAAAGTATGGAGGGCCACATCCAGTCCCACTGGGGCCTGAGGCTCCCCTGCCCCGGTGCTAGAGTGTGACCTGAAGGAAATGGCAGAATTTGGTTTGCTATAAACATTTTTGTCTGGACAGGCCCACTTGGGTATCTAGAATGCCGATGCATTTTAAGTTTATTGCTGCTTTTAATGATCTGAACGTTTTAAATGGTTTTTACCAATCATCGCTTTGGTTTTTTTTAAAAAAACAAAAACAAATGATATATAATTTTTATGCAGTAAATAAAATAATAGGTTAAGATCCACATGGTGAGGCTGTCAAGGATGACGCAGAAGGAATGTTGTTACAGCTGTGGAACTCACTGCCACTGGAGCATGGCCGATATTGAGCTTGATTCCACCATGGTCACAGAACAGCGTGGTGAGGATTTTGCTGTGGGTGAAGGTAGCGAAGGGGGGAGGAATTCAGTTCTGTTTGCATTTTACAGCGGATGTGCTTGACTCGCACTTTCTGAAACAATACATGAACTGAAGCGCAGTCAGCCTTTTGAAACCCGCTGTTCTCTGGATTTTGCAGTGCGGCTCTGCAACCCAAACGTGAGGACAATAAACATGCAGATTAGGATAAGAGTGTGCATTAAAATGAAAATAGCATGCAAAAAATGAGCGCTACGCTAGGGGAAATTGCTTTGCTCAGTTTTGTATATTGGGAGAAATAACCACTATAAAAGGCTGGTTGAAACTTCTGCAAGGACTTGGGGGGGGGGCAAATTCACAAACTGTCATGGAAACAAGGAGGATAGAGTGGGGGAAATGACAAACTGAGTTAATCCAAAATGACGGATTCGCCCATCATAGCAGAACATCCCAGGTTCAGTCCCGGCATGGTGCTGATAATGCCAAGGTTGCAGGTTCGATATTCCTATTGGACAGCGGCAAATTCCTGCATTGCAGGGGGTTGGACTAGATGATCCGCAGGGTCCCTTCCAACTCTTAAAATTCTAGGATTCTATCTCCAGGTAGGGCTGGAGAAACTGCCTGCCTGAAACCCTGGAGAGCGGCTGCCAACCAGTGCAGACACTACTGAGTTGGATGAACCAATGGTCTGGCTCAGCAGAAGGCAGCATACTGTGTTTCTAATTGAATCTGCCTTTAATTCGCAACCTTGAGGACTAGAATCTTGCTTCATCTGCAGTGGGGTAGGAGCTCTAAGGCAGCTCCCTATGTGTGGGGTCACGAATCCTCTGGAAATCCCTGCCTTGTGACAGCAGCCTGAAGGAGGCTCTTGTTTTGCAGGCGTCTGGTGGAGCGACTGGAGACCATGCGGAAGAACGTGATGGGCAATGGCTTATCTCAGTGCCTGCTCTGCGGGGAGGCTCTGGGGCTGCTGGGGAGCACGGCTGTCTTTTGCCAAGACTGCAAAAAGGTGAGATTGCTGGTACCTGCAGAAGCGTCACTTAGTCCCGCTGCAATCTCAGCCAAAGAGTCCCTAACAGGTGGCCACCAAACCTCTGTTTAAAAACCTTCAGGGAAGGAGAGCCCATCACCTCCCAAGGGAGTCCATTCCTCTGTCAAACAGCTGTTTCCGTCAGGACATTCTTCTTAATAAAAATAATAATTTATTATTTATACGCTGCCCATGGGACGCTGTGGGTTAAACCACAGAGCCTAGGACTTGCCGATCAGAAGGTCGCCGGTTCGAACCCCCATGACGGGGTGAGCTCCCATTGCTCGGTCCCTGCTCCTGCCAACCTAGCAGTTTGAAAGCACGTCAAAGTGCAAGTAGGTACCGCTCCTGTGGGAAGGTAAACGGCATTTCCGTGCGCTGCTCTGGTTCGCCAGAAGCGGCTTAGTCATGCTGGCCACATGACCCGGAAGCTGTACGCCGGCTCCCACGGCCAATAAAGCGAGATGAGCGCCACAACCCCAGAGTCGGCCACGACTGGACCTAATGGTCAGGGGTCCCTTTACCTTTACCTTTACCCCGCCCATCCAGCTGGGTTTCCCCAGCCACTTTGGGCAGCTTCCGACAAAATATTAAAAATGCAATAAAACATCAAACATTAAAAACTTCCCTAAACAGGGCTGCCTTCAGAGGTCTTATAAAAATCAGTTGCTTATTTCCTTGACATCTGATGGGAGGGTGTTCCACAGGGCGGGTGCCACTACTGAAAAGGCCCTGTGCCTGGTTCCCTGTAACCTAATTTCTCGCAGGGAGGGAACCGCCAGAACCTCAGTGTTCAGGCTGAACAATGGGGGTGGAGATGCTCCTTCAGGTCTACTGGGCCGAGGCCCTTTAGGGTTTTCAAGGTCAGCACCAACACTTTGAATTGTGCTCAGAAATGTCCTGGGAGCCAATGTAGGTCTTCCAGGACCGGTGTCGTATGGTTTCAGCGGCCGCTCCCAGTCCCCAGTCTAGCTGCCGCATTCTGGATTAGTTGTAATTTCCGTGTCACCTTCAAAGGTAGCCCCACGTAGAGCATGTTGCAGTAGTCCAAGCGGGAGATAACCAGAGCATGCACCACTCTGGCGAGACAGTCCGCGGGCAGGTAGGAAATCTAGTTGGAATCTCCTTTCTTATAACTTAAAAGCCATCGGTTCGGATCCTGCCCCTCCTGAGCAGCAGAAAAGAAGCTTGCTCCATCTTCCTCGGGGCAAGCCCTTCAAATATATGAAGATGACTATCAGATCTCCTCTCGGTTTTCTTTTCCTGGTGAAACACACCCAACTCTCCCTCCTCTGTTCTTCTTAAGCCGTTATCGCTGATGCTCTCTGCTGTGCTTTGGGTTGATCGATTGATCGTGAGTTTGTTTGTATTCTGCTTTTCCATAGTGAGCTGCGTTCAGAGCAACTTCCAACAGACACCCATTTATTTTTATTTTGGGGGGGCAGCTTGAAAGCTGGGGGGGGGGGAGAGAGAGGGAGAATGATTTGCAAAACATGTCAGTAAATCCAAAGAAGGTGAAAACCTGCATTTTAGCAAGTGTAGAATAAAGTCAGTTTTTTAAATAATAATAATAATAATAATAATAATAATAATAATAGTTGTTGTTGTTTAGTCGTGTCCGACTCTTCGTGCCCCCCTGGACCAGAGCACGCCAGGCACTCCTGTCTTCCACTGCCTCCCGCAGTTTGGTCAAACTCATGCTGGTAGCTTCAAGAACACTGTCCCACCATCTTGTCCTCTGTCGTCCCCTTCTCCTTGTGCCCTCCATCTTTCCCAACATCAGGGTCTTTTCCAGGGAGTCTTCTCTTCTCACGAGGTGGCCAAAGTATTGGAGTCTCAGCTTCAGGATCTGTCCTTCCAGTGAGCACTCAGGGCTGATTTCCTTCAGAATGGAGAGGTTTGATCTTCTTGCAGTCCATGGGACTCTCAAGAGTCTCCTCCAGCACCATAATTCAAAAGCATCAATTCTTCGGCGATCAGCCTTCTTTATGGTCCAGCTCTCACTTCCATTCATCACTACTGGGAAAACCATAGCTTTAACCATACGGACCTTTGTTGGCAAGGTGATGTCTCTGCTTTTTAAGATGCTGTCTAGGTTTGTCATAATAATAATAATAATAATAATAATAATAATAATATCTGGAATTAGATACATCAGTGGAAAGCAAAAAAATAACTGAAATGTAGTGGATCCAGGAGCCTGGGTTGCAGACTACACACAGAATAAGACCTTCTGTATGAATGGGACCGAGTTTTGTGGCCCAGTACTCCAGCCTGCATAAACCTGGTGGCATAGAAAAGTTTTTCAGCAGGCGTTGAAAGGTCAAAGCAGAAGGCTCCTGCTGAATTTCTGGTGGCAGAGTGTTCCACAGGACTCTGTGTTAAGGCTCAGTTTTTTGTCGCTGTCTGAGGAACCTCACCAACTGTGTCTGTGTGTGTGTGTGTGTGTGTGTGAGAGAGAGAGAGAGAGAGAGAGAGAGAGAGAGAGAGACCAACATCGCTTCTACAAATGATCTTGGATATTGAGCCGCGATGCAAGGAGTCAGGTGGTCCATAAGGTGCCCTGAATCTAAGTTGTTCAGGGCTTTGCCAATTAATACAAGGGCGTTGAGCATGTAGTTAAACTACGGAACTCACTGCCACAGGAAGCTGGGATGGCCACCAGCGTAGATGGCTTCAAGCAGGGTGGAACGGATTCCCTCGGGAGGTGGCGGACTCTCCTTCCTTGGAGGTTTTTAAGCAGAGGTTGGATAGCCATCTGCCAGGGATGCTTTAGCTGAGATTCCTGCATTGCAGGGGCTTGGACTACATGTCCCCCAGGGTCCCTTCCAACGCCACAATTCTGTGATTCTATGAGGTTTGGAGGAGGAAAATGCTTTGGATGGCTACTAGCCACGATGGCTATTCTCTGGCTCCTCAATCGGAGGCAGCAAATACTTCTGAATACCAGTTGCTGGAAACCACAGGAGAGGAGAATGCTCTTGTGTTCGAATCCTGCTTGCTGGTCAGCCTGAAAGGATAATAATAATAATAATAATAATAATAATAATAATAATAATGATTTATTTATACCCCGCCTTCCCCGGCCAGAGCCTGGCTCAGGGCAGCTAACATCAATAAAATTTCAGTAAAAACAGAATAAGAAAAAAAAAGAAAGAAAAAGAAAAAAACAATTTAAAATACAGTTTAAAATGAAATTTAAAATGCTGGCCTAGTTGGGCCACTGGCCCAATCCTGCAGACTCTTCCAGCGCTCTCAGCGTGGCTTGGTAGTTGATGGGCAGCCAGCGAAGATATTTATCTTGGGAAGCAACCTTTTGAAAACCTTGTAAAACAAAGGAAGGTCGACTCGGGAACTCTGGCAGAGTGTGTAAACGTCTGCCCAATAAGCTGCTCTTTCCTTCGCGTCAAAATTCAGCGGAGTTCGCCCTTCGTGCACTTTTCGTGCGAGGAAAAAGCAACACCCAGCCTTGCATGAAAACGGATTGCGGCCACCCGTTAAGTATAGCCCTCTGGGCTGGGCTTGGCAAGGTTGTAGGTTTGGGGGCTTCCTCTCTCCCACCCCCCACCAATCTAAAGTCCACAATTTTTCTTTCCCATCCCGCTTCGCTGCCTTCCCATCTGAAACCCCATTTAGTTTGCGAAGAGCAAGGCTTCCTTCACGCCCGACGGCACGCAGAAAGCATTTAAGTGCTTTTAAATTACCAAGGGAGGTGATGTTGAAATGACAGCTCACTGTCTGCAAAATAGTTTCCGCAGGGAGCGGAATTGTTTTATTTTTTTATTTTTCATTTTTAAAATACCTCGCTTCTTTTTCAATTTGCGATATTCTAAGGCAGGGGGCAAATATAGCTGGCTGGGTTGACAAGCTAAGCCACTACTCTCTTTTTATTTTATTTTTAATTCTTTTGCTCTCCCCCGCCACCTCCAATGGTCAATTTAATGGGAGAAAACAGGAATGGTAAGGAATGAGGAAGGAAGCGATATTGCCTCAGGTAGAACCTACACCAAACCTTTTAAAGCACATTCCCCCCCCCTTCCAAATCATCATGGGAACTGTAGTCTACCTTTCAGAGCTACAGTACCTGGCACACTTAACAAACTACACTTCCCAAGATTCATTGGGGCGGGGGAAGCTGCATGCTTTAAATACGGATTTCCCAAACTTGGGTCTTCAGCTGGTTTTGGACTACAGTTCCCATCATCCCTGACCACTGGTCCTGCTAGCTAGGGATGATGGGAGTTGTAGTCCTAAAGCTGGAGACCCAAGTTTGGGGAACCCTGCTTTAAATGTGGATGACTTGCAAGAACTGCGAACGGAAGATTGTTTCCTTCAAACCATGGTTGGTGGAAACACCGACCAACTGTGGTTAGTAGGAACCTAACTGTAAAGCCAAGACAGCATCTTAAAAAGCAGAGACATCACCTTGCCAACAAAGGCCCGTATAGTTAAAGCCATGGTTTTCCCAGTAGTGATGTATGGAAGTGAGAGCTGCACCATAAAGAAGGCTGATCACCAAAGAATGGATGCTTTTGAATTCTGGTGCTGGAGGAGACTCTTGAGAGTCCCATGGACTGCAAGAAGATCAAAGGACAGATCCTGAAGCTGAGGCTCCAATACTTTGGCCACCTCATGAGAAGAAAAGACTCCCTGGAAAGACCCTGATGTTGGGAAAGATGGAGGGCCCAAGGAGAAGGGGACGACAGAGGACGAGATGGTTGGACAGTGTTCTCAAACACTTGCGCCCTCCATCTTTCAGCTTCAGGATCTGTCCTTCCAGTGAGCACTCAGGGCTGATTTCCTTAAGAATGGAGAGGTTTGATCTTCTTGCAGTCCATGGGACTCTCAAGAGTCTCCTCCAGCACCAGAATTCAAAAGCATCCATTCTTCGGCGATCAGCCTTCTTTATGGTCCAGCTCTCACTTCCATACATCAGTACTGGGAAAACCATGGCTTTAACTATACGGACCTTTGTTGGCAAGGTGATGTCTCTGCTAACTTTGTCCAAAGCCCAGCTCCCTACGTTCCTAAAACTAGAAAGAAGAAGACAGCAGAGATATCCCAAATATAAGTTCCAAGGGGGCAGCTGCATTAGTCTCATCTGACCCAACATCCATCAGGTTGGCTGATCTTTGGTTCAGTGGTAGATCACCTACAGAAAGTCATGTCTTCAGTATCCAGCAGGTAGATCTGCGAATTGTCCCAGAAACTCCAGAGAGTAGCTTCCAGTCAGTGCAGGTAATACTGAGCTGGATGGTCTGAATCGGCATAAGGCATCTTCCTGCGTTCCTATTGAAACCAGCCCTGAACTTAGAACAGGGGTGGGCAACCTAAGGCCCAGGAGCCGGATGCGGACTAATCGCCTTCTAAATCCGGCCCGCAGATGGTCCGGGAATCAGCGTGTTTTTACATGAGTAGAATGTGTGCTTTTATTTAAAATGCATTTCTGGGTTATTTGTGGGGCACAGGAATTCGTTCCAAAATATAGTCCAGCCCATCACATGGTCTGAGGGATGGTGGACCAGCCCACAACTGAAAAAGGTTGCTGACCCCTGACTTAGAACCATGAGGTCTGGAAACTTGCTTTGTTTCACAAAGAAGGGCTGCAGCTACCGGTAGCTGTTCCTTCTTTCGGCTGAAAGATGGGGATTTATTCTCCACATGGCAAAATTAAGAATTTTGTGAGGATTTGAGGGGACTCTTCTTTCTTCTTAGTATCCTTTAAAGTACCTGCAAATAACCCCCACCCTGCAAAACTCTCTCTCCCTTTTCTCCTCCTCCACCTGCGAGCCAAAGCGAAGGAAAACTGTTTTTGTTTCCTGGGTGATATGGCTGAAAAGCAGGAGGGAATTTCTTGTTTTGAGGGCTTCTAGAATTCCACAGGCGCCCATCAGGGGGCAGCACTTGACTGTTACAGACCTAAGCTGTAGACCTGAATCCCCGCAGGGAGAGAAACAGCAGCGATTTATTCCTCCCCTTAAGCAAGAGAGCAATCCTGGACTTCTCATGTTTGGGTCTAGCACAGGCCAGGAGTGGAGGACTTTTTTTCAGTCTTGAGGGCCACGTCCCCTTCCTCGTAACCTCCTGGGGGCCGCATGCCAGAGGCAAAAGTGAGCAAAGTAATAAACGTAAATATTAAAACACACAGCGGTGTAGGTGATGAGATTCCTACTCAGAGTAGACCCATTGAATCGGCAGAAGTTGGCCATGTCCATAATTTCAATGAGCCTACTCTGAGTAGGAGTGGCTTTGGATATTCCCCACGTGCCCCCTCTCTTCCAGGCAAGGAACAGGCATTTTCAGCCAGGCGAAAACACTCCAGGAGAGTGGGGATCGGGACCAGCAGGGGGCGTGGCCTGAGAAGAAGGGGAGGGGCTTCCCAAGTGTGCCAAAGGCATGATAAAAAGGACTAGAAGGCTTCAAGCCCGGACGTTCTTCACCCTTGCTCTTAAGAACAAAGGAGCTGGATATTTTTTAGCCTGCGCAAGAGGAGGCTGAGAGGAGATAGGAGAGTCATCTTCCAGTATCTAAAGGGCTGTCGCATGGAAGACGGAGCAAGCTTGTTTTCTCCTGCTCCAGAGAGTAGGGCCTGAACCATGGGTAGGCAAACTAAGGCCCGGGGGCTGGATCCGGCCCATTCACCTTCTAAATCCAGCCTGCGGACGGTCCGGGAATCAGCGTGTTTTTACATGAGTAGAATGTGTCCTTTTATTTTAAATGCATCTCTGGGTTATTTGTGGGGCACAGGGATTTCTTCATTATTTTTTTTCTTTTCAAAATATAGTCCGGCCCCCACAAGGTCTGAGGGACAGTGGACCGGCCCCCTGCTGAAAAGTTTGCTGCCCCCTGCCCTGAACCAATGGATTTAAATGACAAGGAAGGAGATTCCCACTAAACTTTAGGAAGAACAGTGCAATGGACATCCTCTGTCAGGGATTCTCAAACTGCGATTCCCCCATTGCAGGGGTTGGGCTCATAGCTGTCAACGTTTCCCTTTTTTAAAGGGAAATTCCCTTATTCCAAATAGGATTCCTTGCAAGAAAGGGGAAAAGTTGACAGCTATGGTTGACACTACAATTCTATGCGGCTTCTCTGGGGCAAACTTGAACGTGTTTTTAATGGGTTAACCAGCCTCCTTGATGGCGATCAATGGCCGCTAGCACCACCTGCGGCTCTTGCAGTTCCATTGGGCACCTTAATTCTCTTCCCCCTCCAGCCACCCCCAGCACCATGAGGGACTATTGCCGTTCCCTCATTAGGAGAATTGATTTTATATCGAGCTCAGCTGTTTATTCCCTGGCCGAACCTTCCTGCTACATATCTCTCTCTCTGTTTTTGAAATGTTTACCCATCTCATGTCCTGTGGGTTTGTTCCTCCCACCCCTCTTGTGTCTGGGGAGAGTTGGTCAACAGCTAAGCCACCCTCCCCAATCTGAGGTCCTATGACCTGCAAGCAGGTGCCCAGAAATGGTGATCCATTTCCAAAGGGATGCTGCCTCCAGCTTCAGAGTTATGGGACGTCCCCCTCTGGTGGGCTTGGAAATTGCAGCAGCGCAGCTTGGCACCTGCGTTGGACGGTTAGGAGCCGCCATTTTGATTTCCCACAATGCTCCGGGGCAAGAGTTGCCAACGTGGCGCTTGCTGGAACCAGCGAAAGGCTCGCTATGGCCGCCTTTTGGTACCTGATAGGGAGCCCCCCACCCCCAATTTTGTGATCTTGTCTCCTTTTCTGCTCTTTAAGATACCGCAACCATTACAACATGCCCAACGTGGCAGCCATTTTGTATTGGGCCCCTCTCCCCATGGCAGCCATTTTGTATTGGGCCCCTCTCCCTGCGGCAGCCATTTTGTGATTGGCCCCCACCATAGCTGTCAACGTTTCCCTTTTTAAAGGGAAATTCCCTTATTCCAAATAGGAATTTCCCTTAAAAAAGGGAAGTGTTGACAGCTATAGCCCCCGTGGCGCGCTCTCAGCATTTCCCAGTGGAGCAGTGCACCATGGGGAATTTAAATGGCAGGTCTTCTAGACCCTGTTATTTGTTTGCTTCTTTCCTTCAAGGGGAGGGTGGCGTTGGCGCTGGGCTCCTTCGCCCTTTCTAATAGTTCCCACCCCAATCCCCATGTTGTCTTTCCCCCCCAGAAAGTCTGCACCAAATGTGGGATTGAAACCCTGAGCGCCCAGAAGCGGCCCATCTGGTTCTGCAAGATTTGCAGCGAGCAGAGAGAGGTGAGTCCATAGTGGCAGGATTCGTGCTTTGCAGTATCAGATGTCTGCTTCTTCAGGAAAGACTCCAATAATAATCGGGGGGGGGGGGGCAGAAATTATTACTTGTCTGACCACCGAGTTTTTGGGTCAGTAGAAACTAGTTTCTGCCTGCCTCCTTCATCCACACACCAAGGCGGTCTCGAGTCTCATGCCTTAGGTTTGGAAGGGTCAGTCTGGATGATGCCCAGGGGTCCCTTCCAAACCTGTGATCCTGTATCCTGAGAGCCGGTGTGATGCAGCAGTGAGAGTCAGACTAGGATCCGGGAGACCAAGGTTCAAATTCCCACTCAGTCAATATCTTGAGAGCATCAGATTGACTTAACCCAGCAACAGAATGTCCCACATTAAACTTAGATTGCAGGTGAGGAACAAAACACACAAAACACTTCCTGCGAAGAGAGATGAGTGTTGCTTTGACCCTTGCACCTTCATTTTTTAACCGTTGTGTGAAGGATCTATTGATTTGCCCTCCCTCCATTAACTGAGTTTAATCTTCATTTTTCTTGTTTAATTTATTTATACTTATATCTATATCCCACTTTTCCTCAAAGTAAAGGAAATCAAGTTGGCAAGCATGGTTTCCCTCTCTCCCCCTTTCATCCTCACAACAATCCTGCGATGTAGATTAGGCCAAGAGGCTGTGACTGGCCCAAGGATCTCCAAGGGAGCTTCATGGCTGAGTGGGGATTTGAACCCTGGTCTCCCAGTCGTTTAGTCGTGTCCACTACTGGGAAAACCATAGCTTTAACTATACGGACCTTTGTTGGCAAGGTGATGTCTCTGCTTTTTGAGATGCTGTCTAGGTTTGTCATTGCTTTTCTCCCAAGAAGCAGGCGTCTTTTAATTTCGTGACTGCTGTCACCATCTGCAGTGATCACGGAGCCCAAGAAAGTAAAATCTCTCACTGCCTCCATTTCCTCCCCTTCTAGAGAGGAAACCTCACTCCTCAAATCTTTATAAAGAGTGCAAGCTAGAAGCACAGGAACTCCTGACTCAGTACTGCCATCTCCACATGGACACAACCGTTTTCCCCAGTGGTGAAGGCAGTATATATTCAAACTTGCGAAAGTGAAAGCACGTCTGTATTTTGGAATTGTTAAATTTTGCAAATAGGCTGCCAAAGCGTCAAAATGACTAGGTGGGAAATGCCTCAGTGGCTGATCTCAGCCCAACCGACCTCTTGGGGTGCTGTGAGGATGGGGAGAATATGGATGCCTCCTTCCACCCTTCTGTGGAAGGGTGGTATACAAATGTGAGGAATGAGAAGTAGTTGAGCGATAAAAGCAGAGTAAGACGTTTTCAAAATGTCTCCCTTCATCGGTGTCTTTACCCAGGAAAAGCAGTCGCTTCCTTTACCCCTTGACAGGGCCGGCACTGTTTTGGATGGGGTGCCTTGCTCAGCCCCTGTGAAGCTTGACGACGCGATGCTGTTTAAACACCAGCCTTTTAACATGAAAAATCTGTCCGGTTTGAGGCTTGTGCAGCGCCCGGAATGATTTATTTGAAGCCTGATCACCTCCTGCTCGCAGCAGACTAGGGACGGGCAGATATGTCAATTTCAGTTTCCGTCATATTTCCAATCTTCAGCTCTCCGCATTTCTGCACCAGTTTCCAGTAAAAAAGAAAGCCCTCGTAAAAATTCAGCAATTTAGTGTGAGTTTCTCCTAATAGGCATGTTTGTCATTCGGTTTTGCCTAATATCCACTTTTGGTAAAGCAAGGGTGTGTAACAACAACAGCAACAACAACATCAGACTCTTAATATCAGGGTTGCGGGTTCAAGCCTGAAAGATTCCTGCATTGTAGGGGTTGGACTAGATGACCCTCATTGTCCCTACCAACTCTGTGTTTCTAATAATAAACAATTGTTAATTGATTTCTGCTTTTAGCTTTTTTGTGGTTTTTGTTGTACGGTCTCATGCTTTATTTCTGTAAACCACTTTGATATCTTTTTATGGCATAGTGGTAGATAAATATTTTTATAAATTAATTATAATGATAACCATAATGTGCCATTTTATGCACGTTTTATCCTGGCAAATGCCATTTTTTTTGCACACCTTGACTTGGCCAGACAGCAGCATTGCAAAATCCACAGGAGCGCAAATTCCATAGGTTGGCTTTTCACATGCTTGTTTCAGGACGTGCGGATTAAGTAAATTCGCGTTTCGGAATTAAACTGAGCCGATTTCTCTGAATTTCTGATGTCTTCTACATCAGAAGGTGCAGTATGTGGACTTGCTTTACCTGGGTTTAGGAAATCAGCCTCTTCTCCCCCACCCATCCCTGCCGCTCTGCAAGGCAGTCATTGGTCCAAAGACAGATTGGTCCAAAGGATGTAATTGCAAAGTTCTGCTGGTGCATAATGAAAAAGACCGGGGTTCTTGTTTAATTTCCCCACTTGCCTCATTTATCCTGCCGCTGCTTGACTTTTTCTTTTTTGGGGGAGAGGTACAATTCTGTGCAGCCTCATTAATAATGGTGTGCGTGTTCTACATGCTAACTAAATGGGCCCGAACCCATATGACATCTGTTAGCAAGCTGCTATTTGCTGTAATGAGAGAGAGAATGTATAAAATTACCTGGAGCCGTGCCCATGCTTGCTTCAATCACCAACCCCACCTGCCTCCACCCCCATGCCAAACCCTGCCCTTAGAGTTGCTCCTCCACGGTCTGCCTAGACTGCCCACCTCAGTCTCCCTCTTCCGCCTTCTTTCTCCTCACCCTCCATCACTGCTGCAGTGGCTCAATAGCCCTCAGAAGACTGTTAACACTCTCTAGGTTGCAGCGCCACCTGCTGGTGCCCAAGGAAAGTACTGTGTGATGACAGCCTTATCTTTTTATTATATCAATGCCAAGCATCTCAGACATAGCCATTTCAGCATGGGGCGCAGAATCAATAATTCTCAGAATCTTTTCCCCCTTTTTTAATAATCAGGTTTTCAAGAGCGAGGCTCAGCATACTTTAGGCTTGCGGGGTTTTTGTTTTTGTTTTTCTGGAACCCACCAGTTGGAACCAAGGGCAAAACACATATGCTTGGAATGGAAGAATTCTTATCTTGGGGATTTGGTTTTGAGAACTGAACTGAGCTCATAGTCTTGTCTACCACTTCAGATGCAACCCCCACTGTACTTCACATCAGAAGTATCCCAATACAGCTTCCTCCCACACCAGGCCTAGTGGCAGCTGCAGGCATCGTGTTGGCCATGCCCACTTAACTGAGGGGCACTACTAAATAAATAAATTTAAGTGCTGTGGCATCTTGGGGCCAGCCCTGGGGACAGTTCATAGAATCACAGAATTGTAGAGTTGTAAGGGACCCCCAAAGGCCATCAAGTCTAACCTTCTGCAATGCAGGAATCTTGACTCAAGCATCCATGATGGAGGGCCTCTTTCTAAAAGCCTCCAGCTGAGGGAGTCTGTTCTGTGGCTCTTGCCCTCAGCAGGTTCTTCCTAATGTTTGGCTGGAATACCTGCCCTTCATCCGTGGATACCTGCCCTTCATCCGTAGGTCTCCGAGCGGTTCACAACATAAAAATACAGGATAAAAACACGTCTTCCATGTGACGGCCCTTCAGATATTTGACGACGGCAATCATATCGTTCCTCTCCTCCAACTACCTAAGCCATTCCTCATAAACCCACAGGGCCTGAAATATTTCCAGACCTTCCGATTCCCTCCACCCCAAAAGCAGACCCACACTTCCTTGACTCAAAAAACCCGTCTCGTTCAGTTCGCTCTTTGCTTTGTCGGAAGGCTGCAACGAAACTGGGTTGGCTTTTTTGTCTCTGGATATTGCTTCGTTTTCTCTTGCGCTCCCTTCCCCACTCCCTCTCCTTTACCCGAAGCCGTGTATATTAAATGTGCGCTAATAAGCTCCCTTCATTGCAATCTCGCTATTAAAATCTAAATTGGAACGTGTGGCGAGCATTCTTGCGGGAAGCGCGAAGTCTTTATCGCTGTAGCTGGCCGCGTCTGCCGCTGGGGCGCCCTAATCTTCTCGCTCTGATTTTTCACACTCAAACGATCTTTTTCTCTCGGCTTGAGTCCCTCTTAGGCTGAATTTCTATAAGGAGGCAGCAGCCTCTCAGCAGCTTGTAATGCTTTTATTCCGTTGTTAATATTGTACTTCCATTTGCCCCTTCTATGTGGTTTTTACCAGAGAGCACTCAAGCCTGTGTGTCTTTCGTAGGCCCTCTTGGGAGTTAGCCTTGTGAGCTTGGATTTCTCATCGCGGGGTCCCAGTCATGAATGCCGGGGGGAGGGGGGCTGACCCATACAGCACAACCACATTATCCCACAATCTTGGAGGGCATTGGGCTGAGCACTCCTGCAGTACAATGTCCTGTCCTAAAGTTAGATTGCAGGTGTAAAAGGTAAAGGGACCCCTGACTATTAGGTCCAGTCGTGACCGACTCTGGGGTTGCAGCGCTCATCTCGCTTTATTGGCCGAGGGAGCCAGTGTACAGCTTCCGGGTCATGTGGCCAGCAGGACTAAGCCGCTTCTGGCGAACCAGAGCAGCGCACGGAAACGCCGTTTACCTTCCCGCTGGAGCGGTACCTATTTATCTACTTGCACTTTGACGTGCTTTTGAACTGCTAGGTTGGCAGGAGCTGGGACCGAGCAATGGGAGCTGACCCCGCCTTGGGGATTCGAACTGCCAACCTTCTGATTGGCAAGTCCTAGGCTCTGTGGTTTAACCCACAGCACCACCCGCGTCCCTGATTGCAGGTGAGGATCGTTTAAAAAATACTATTTGCAAAGATAAACGAGGGTTGCCAGAAAAGGGCTTTTTGGCTCTTGCAGACTTCATTTCCCCCCTCGCCATTGTGCAAAGGATTGATTTGTTCTCCCTCCATTAATTTGGTTTAAGCTGCCCTTTATCAAGCTTGTCGTGTCAGCTTCAGAAAAGAGAGAGAGAGAAGAAAAATAGGTTGGAAGAGAAATTCTCATGCTGGACTTTGAATAGCTTGCTTTTCTGAACTGAAATTGGATGCTTTTGCTCCGAGCCCTTATTGCTACCAATGGTTTTGTTGTAAAAAGTTTTCCAAAACAGGTGCAAGACCCTCCTCTCATAAGTGTCTCTGCATGAGTCACTGTTCCAGGCGTTCATCAGTTGGCAGAAAGCCACGATTCATACAGAGACGCAAAGGGCAGACTCTCCTGTTTTTGAGGGCAGGCTGTTTCTCAGTTAAAAGGCAATTTCTCGCCTGCTGTTGATTGCCATGGTGATTTTCAGAGCAGATTATTTAAAATCAATATGTAATAGATCAATCTTGAATCCTAATTACGATTCCCTCTTCTCTTATATAAGCGCATGAAGGATCTACCGTATCTTTACATTTATTTCATGACTTCTCTTGTTAATGCATTAATGCAAATAACTCTAAGCTTATATTACAACTCACTGTAAGCTTTTTAAAATCTGATTGTAATAAGAAAGTTTCCAGCAATTGGTATTCCGATACAGACAACAACCGTGCGAGGTAAACTAGTCTGAGAGAGAGACAGTAGCTTGCCCAAGGTCACCTAGTTTGCTTCATAGCCGAGGGGTGATTCGAACCCTGATCTCAGAGGGCCTAATCCGATGCTCTAAGTGCTACAGTGGCTTCCCAGTGGCATGGGATGAATAGGCAATTTCTGCACCCGGGTTGATTTCTGTCGGGATTCTTGCAGGGCTGAGTGCTGTTCGATTAGTGGTTTCCCGGGGTTGTGCTTGTTCCGCTGTCCTCATTCAGTGTCCACAGGATCTTTGCGAGGGGGGAGGATGGAGAGAAAACCAGAACAAATCAGCCCCACAGCCAGTACAGTGGTACCTCGGGTTAAGTACTTAATTTGTTCCGGAGGTCCATTCTTAACCTGAAACTGTTCTTAACCTGAAGCACCACTTTAGCTAATGGGGCCTCCCGCTGCTGCCGTGCCACCGGAGCACAATTTCTGTTCTCATCCTGAGGCAAAGTTCTTAACCCGAAGTAATATTTCTGGGTTAGTGGAGTCTGTAACCTGAAGCGTATGGCACCTGCGGTACCACTGTACATCCCTTGGGTCACCCCAGGAGGGTCCAGAGATCACCCCGATTATTTGCTCTCCTTCTCTCTAGGTTTGGAAGCGGTCCGGCGCCTGGTTCTACAAAGGCCTCCCCAAGTACATCCTGCCTTTGAAAAGCGGCAGCGGCAAAGCCTGCGAGCAGACCCCGCGGCCTCGCCACCTGGAGCCGCCAGCGATGGACCTCAAGGGGGTCGCTCCCCGTCATTCCTTCACCTGGGCCAGAGGAAGAGGTCAGTCCTTTCCTGGCTCTCTGTGGCCTGACAGCGGGGTGTGGGGTGGGGTGAAGACTTCCAGGGCCACAACACGATTTTGAAAGAAATATTGCAGAAATAAGTGGTGGTGGTGGAATCTTAGAAGTGCAATGTTGGAAAGCAACCCCAAGGATCATCCACGAGAGATGGCCTTGCAACTTCTGCTTAAAAACCTCCATCGAAGGAGAGTCCGCCATGGATATTTTAGCTGAGATTCCTGCACTGTAGGAATGTGGATTCTTGCGAATCCTAACCTCCTGAGCAGGAGAAAACAAGCTTGCTAACCACCTTCCATGGAGCAGTCCTTTAAATGTTTAGAGCCAGGGTGGTGTTTTGGTTAGAGTGTCAGACTGGGACCTGGGAGATCGGGGTTCGAATCCCCCATCGGCCATTAATCTGACTGGGTGACCTTGGCCAATCACTGTCTCTCTCCGTCTAGCTTACTTCACAGGGTTGTGGTGCAGATTAAATGAGGAGTGGGAAACCCAGAATAGATTTAGCCAGTGCACAGGGGAGAGGGGAGGGAAAGAGAAGTCCTGTTGAGTAGACAAAAGCCCTTGGGCTATGGGAGAAGCTTGGTTGGACACTGCCAGACTATTAGGGCAAATTACAGTGGTACCTCGGGTTACATACGCTTCAGGTTACATATGCTTCAGGTTACAGACTCCGCTAACCCAGAAATAGCGCTTCCGGTTAAGAACTTTGCTTCAGGATGAGAACAGAAATCGTGCTTCGGCGGCAGCAGGAGGCCCCATTAGCTAAAGTGGTGCTTCAGGTTAAGAACAGTTTCAGGTTAAGAACAGACCTCCAGAACAAATTAAGGACTTAACCTGAGGTATCACTGTATTTGCAAATGGTAGGAGAGGGGCACACCTGAATGTTTGCAAATTTTTGTATGGACTTAAAAAAAAAAAAAAAAGTTCATAAACTGATCTGGAACTGAGAAAGCCCGGAGAAATGGATAGGAGCTGAAATTGACAAATTTGTCCACCCCATATCATAGAATCATAGAATTGTAGAACTAGAAGGGACCATAAGGATCATCTAGTCCACCCCCCCACAATGGAGGAATCTTTTGCCCAGCGTGGGGCTCAAACCCACAACCCTGAGATTAAGAGTCTCATGCTCTACTGACTGAGCTATTCCCGTAATTTGGGGTATCTTTGGTGGGTGTTGATGCTGTGGGTGTGCTCTCTCACACAGCTGCATTGATGCGAGTATTTACTCTTCCTGGCTGTTGCCAGGGTAACCCCTCCCAGCCTTTTTCGGCACTTGATTTATGGCTGGAGGAAGTGCCAACAGCTCTGACAACCATTTTGCTGTGTTCCCAGTCGTCCTCCGTCCCCTTTTTGCATCAACATGTGTTCGTAGGGACGATCCACTGCTTTGTCGCACAGAAACTCCTAGTGTGGTCTCCTGTATTTCTGAATATCCTCTTGCCACGTGAATGGCAATAGATGGAAAACCACCTATCGGTGCAGAATTTGTGCTAAGCAATTTGCTGGTGGGGCATGGCAGTGTTAAGAGTTGCCCTTTTTGGAGGAACCACCTTTTCTGGGTGTTTGCACAGCCTGGCCATGCTCAGAGCAGCCACTCGAGAAAGCCAGAACAGTAACTCTTGCAGTGAGCTAGAACGCAGGTAGCCTGTGCCGTGTCAGGAGTGATCCTATGCCCAGTGTAGGGATGGGAGTAGAATGATTTACTCCTAACAAAAGGTGATGGGAAGGAGGAATGGACAGACCGGTGACTCATACAGAGACACAGCAGCCTTTCTGGGCTTTCCAGAAGACTGGGGGGGTTAAATGCAAACACCCCTAATTTCCAGTTCGTGAAATAATACGCAAACCAAAACGCATCAATCCTTCAAAATCCAAATAGCTCCAAATTTGGTGACACCGTTCTGTACATGCACACAGTGTACAAAAACGCACGCTTTGTGGGAAATGGTTCTTAAAACATATATATTGGCATATATATTGGGAAAGTTCCACTGAAAAATGCAGAGAGCTCCTTGGAGGAATAAAAGGGGGTGAGATATAAATGCAATGCGGTGACTTCATCCCCTATTTTCATATTTTCTTTGCTCCAGCTTCAGACAGGAGCTGTTGCTCAGCTGGGGCTCACCCTTGGACTTTGAGGCCTTCTGCAAGGATACTGGGATTGTCTATCCATTGTCAAATGGCCTTGCCATAAAAAAAGGAAAAAGACAATTCTGTCTCCTCTCCTCTTCTCCCCCACCTGATCTCGCCATCAAACAGCTGGCAGCTAAATTAGTTCCCTCCTCACATGGTGTTTAAATAGAAGAAGTGGTTGCAGTTTTCTTTTTTCTCCTTTTGTTTTTTTTTTGCTGCAAAGTGGGAATAATTTACCAATTCAAATCGCACCCTTAGATTTGTGTCAGCGAAATTGAGCCTCCTTCGTTTTTATCACTCTCTCTTCTTCTGTCTCCCTTTCGTTGAGTTTGCAGAAACAGCAAAAAGTGAAGTAACATTTAATGAGACTCGTGTTTGGCACGATCCGCTGTTGGGTTTTAGATTGCTTGCTTTAATAGCAACGACAAAACAAAACAAAAAACCTGCCACAAATGACCAGAACCTTACTTGGAAAGTCACTACGTGCTTCCTTGTTCAAAATCCACAGCATAAGACCCTCAGATATGAACATATTTGGTCTTGAGGTTCTGGAGCGAAAGAACAAAGAAGTCGATCCCTTCTCCATCAGGATCTTTGAGATCCAATGAAGCCGATTGTTTGAAGATTCCCAATGGGGCATCTGGTTGGCCACTGGCCTGATCCAGCAGCCTTGTCTTCTGCTCTTACATAGTTAATCTTGCAGCTAGCAAGCTCAAAACCTTTTAATTTCCAGGTGTCTTCCCCCCTCCCAATATGTTATTATAGGAGTTGCTTCTGAACAACTCCAGAGAAATGTCACAAGTACATTTGGGTCTTATGAACACTGGTTCTCAAAAGACCCGCACTGGTTGCCTGTGTGCTTCGGAGTCTATCTCTAGGGTCTTCCTCTGGCAGACAAAACCCTAAATGAGCTGAGCACCAAATATCCCATGTAGATCTGCCTGGGGGTTGAAATCTCCAGGAGAAATCTCCCTGCAATTCATTGAGCCAGTATTGCATGACAGGGCCTTCTCTGTCGTGGCTCCCGGGTTACGGAATGCCTCTGAGTAGCGTTTGTCTTCAAAGCTGCATGCATATCTCAACATCCAGACAAGATATATTATAAGCTACATCTCGTACAACAAAATATTTAATTTAGAGTTTATTGGACTCCCATCACGATTGCATAAACATGGTCTATTGACGACAACGTGCTGTTGGAGATGCAGTAAGGAGAGTGCTTCTTTGAAGCATATGATTTACATGGTGGTCAGCGTTAGCAAATTTTTGGAGAAAAATACTAGGAAGTATAAGAACTATTGTGGAGAAGGAGTTACAATTTTTGGAAGGTAACTATAGGATAAAAATATGACCTCCTTTGATCAATGGATAGATGACATGACAACTTTTGTAACCTATGAACAGATCGCTTTCAGACGAAAATTATGCCTGGACAAATTTAATATTTGGAAAGTATTTATCGAAACCATAGTAACTCATGAAGTGAGGGATATAATAAGTCTTATCTATTTACATATATATTACATAGTTCTGCAACCCTAATTAGTTTATAATGTTACTTCGTTATTGTTGTTATCCTGTTTTCTTTTGTTTCTTTCCCTCCTCTTCTTTCTTCTTCTTATTTACTTCAATTAACTGTAAAACTTTCAATAAAATATAAATAAATGGAAAACCCCCAGTTTAGATGTGCCTTTCCACACAGACATTGGGGGGGGGGGGTTGAGGATGGAATCTGAATATCCCTCTCACTGCGGCAGGCTTGCCATTTCTGACTAGTGTTGATTCAGTTTATAATTTATGGCCCGATCTTCCCCCCTCCTCCCCATCCGCCTTGTATTTCTGTCTCCCTACAGTGGTCTCTAGTGATAGTGACAGCGACTCTGAGTTCAGCTCGTCGAGTCTGGATGACCGGTCTTTGCTCGCAGGATCGAAGGGTTTCAAGATCAGACAACATGGAGCTGAATCTGGTGAGGAAACTTCTTGTGACACTGGGTGCTCCTTCAGCATTGCAGTATTATGCAGTATTATTATTATTAAGATTTTATTAAATGTACAGTGGTACCTTGGTTCTCAAACTTAATCCGTTCCAGAAGTCCGTTCCAAAACCAAAGCGTTCCAAAACCAAAGCGTTCCAAAACCAAGGCACACGTTCCCATAGAAAGTAAGGCAAAACGGATTAATCCGTTCCAGACTTTTAAAAACAACCCCTAAAACAGCAACTTAACATGAATTTTACTATCTAATGAGACCATTGATCCATAAAATGAAAACAATAATCAATGTACTGTACTATAAAATAAATAAGAAGGTATTGTAGATAATAAAAATAAAAATAATTATTTTTTCTTACCTGCACTGATGATAGTCATTGTATGGATGAATTTATCCATTTCCGCAGTCACACAATCAATCAGTCAGTAGCTGAACTGGGTTCCACACAGTCACAAAAACAAATTAACTGAAAAAGCCTCAAAAACAAAAACGCAAAATAAATAGCAAAAACAAAAGCGCCAAACTTAATCCGTTCCGGAAGTCCACTTGACTTCCAAAATGTTTGAAAACCAAGGCACAGCTTCTGATTGGTGCAGGTGCCCCGGAAACAATAGCCAACAGCTGCATCGGACGTTCGGCTTCCGAAAAATATTTGAAAACCAGAACACTTACTTCTGGATTTTCGGCGTTTGGGAACCCAGGCACCACTGTGTATACATTTGCAGGAGCACTTTGTACAAGTTTCTAAGGCACAGGGGCAGAGCCTTTATCAGCCAGAGGGCCACAGAACCTTCTGGGGGGCCACTTGCCAGTGGTGGGCGGGGCCAGAGGCAAAAGCGGGAGGGGCAAGTTTCTGCACACTCTCATTCCCCCCTCTCTATCCTTCCACCCAGGCAAGCAAAGAGGAACGATCAGAGTTCAAGGACACATTTCCCGCCACTCAAGGAAGGGGTGAAGTCGGGTTGGTGAGGGGTGTGGCCTGGGGAGAGAAAGGGGGGTGGTTGAAGAGAAGGCGTGGCTTGGGGAGACCTCTGAGGGCCAGGCAGAGAGACCTAGAGCGCTGCATTTGGCCCTCAGGTCAGCACAGACCATCTTAAGGGGCTGGAAGGCCAGGAGAAATGGCAGCAATCTTTGAAACGCTGTAATTTGACTCAGGTTCAAAACCCAGTGTTCAAAAAGGGCACTATTGGTGTCTTGGTTAGAGCTCCGACCCAGGGTTCAAATCCACACTGAAGCTCACTGCCTAACCTACCCCCCAGTGTTGCTGTGGGGATTAAATGAGGAAGGGGACCGTCTTCAGCTCCTTGGAGAAAAAGGCGGGATATAAATGCAATAAATAAATATAAAAGAAATAAAAAGGCAGCGTGGTTTTGCGGGGAGGGCCTTCCATATGAAAAAAAAAAAAAGTTTAAAATGGTAGAGGTCACACCCCGCTCCCTGTTAATACATAAAAGCCTCTTTTCAGGAACGTGTTTATTTGACTTCACTGCGCCGTAGGGAAATTGATCTTCGCAAGACTCCTCTTAATAAAGTCACGCTGGTTTTTTTAAGGCCATAATATTATTTTGCGCAGTGGCAGATTTTAATCTGTGACATACTTTGGCATTGACTGATTATTGTTCCAAGGTTTCTTGAGCGGCTGCCTCTGCATGATAGATCGTTTCAAATCATTTTATAGGGAAAGGGGCTGGCTTGCTATTGACAGATAACGTCCTTGCGTACATTTTCTTAAAATGGATGCCTTCGGGAATAAGCACCCGTAGCAACTGTTTCTGCAAAACATTTCCCCCCCTCTTTCGGTTAGCTTTTGTTTTGCTTACCTTGATGAAGAGCTCCTGTTGCTCTAAGTGCATGAGGGTGGTTTTCTAAGGGGGGGGGTAGTGTGGGTGTGGGTGTGTGCTGGGAGAAACACTGCTCTGTAATAGACATCACTTGCTTGGCATGCTGAAGGTCTCAGGTTTTCTCCCTCATGGCATTTCCAGGCAGCGCTGAAATGTGGAACCATAAACCCTGGAGAGTCGTCTCCCATCACGGTTGACAATACTGTGCTAGTGGTCTGGCTCAGGATAAGGCAGCTTCCAATTTCAACCAGCCCTTTGTTCAGAACCATGAGGACTGGAACCTTGCTTTAAATTTACGGGAAAGGGCTGCAGCTCTGCTTGGCATGCACAAGGTCCCAGGGTTCAACCTCAGAATCCCCAGGTAGAGCTGAAACTGACCGTCCATCCTGAACTCGATGGACTTGCAGTTGACTTGGGGTAAAGTAGTGTCATATGGGAACGCTGGTGGCGTTAAACCACAGAGCCTAGGACTTGCCGATCAGAAGGTCAGCGGTTCGAATCCCCGCAATGGGGTGAGCTCCCGTTGCTCGGTCCCTGCTCCTGCCAACCTAGCAGTTCGAAAGCACGTCAAAGTGCAAGTAGATAAATAGGTACCGCTCTGGCGGGAAGGTAAACGGCGTTTCCGTGCGCTGCTCTGGCTCGCCAGAAGCGGCTCAGTCATGCTGGCCACATGACCCAGAAGCTGTACGCCGGCTCCCTCAGCCAATAAAGCGAGATGAGCGCTGCAACCCCAGAGTCGGTCACGACTGGACCTAATGGTCAGGGGTCCCTTTACCTTTACCTAGTGTCATGTGGGACTTAACTGTCAAACAGCGAGTTGGCAGTAAATCACGCTGTTCAAAGTTGGAGTTAACCCTTTATTAGCAAAAACACAACCTGCACAGACTTGGCTGAGTGTCCGGCCTTAATGGGCACAGCAGCTGATCCCTGGTAGGTCTGGCCCCATGGATCAGTTGCTGAGACTGAAAGTCCCACCCCACAAAGCTGCCTGAGTCCCCTCCTCCCCAGGGTTTCCCCCCAAGCAATCAGAGACACTGCCTGCATAATGCTAACTTATCCTCCGCGCTTTTCATGCCTCTCCTGGTTCTGGGAGAACAGCGGGGAGGGGAGCTTGTCACAGCAGGAGGGGGAGACACTGTGACTCTTCACCAGCCTGACTCATCTCTGCCTCTTGGCCTCTCCTGCTCCAGCTTCTGGACTTTTCTCTGCCACAGACTTTCCCAGCTCACTGAGCCCTGTTCCCCCTCGTCTTCCAGCCCCTCCTCTTCCAATTCTTCTCCCTCTGACCACTCATCGTGGGTCTTCTTCTCCTGGGGGTTCCCCAGCCAGTGCCTCCCACCATTCCTCTACATCCAACCGGTCCATTTCACTAACCATCAATCCCCCACCCCGATTGTTGTGTGTAAGACCACCAGAAGGGCCTGGCTGCTGGATATTTAGGTATAGTTTTTGAATGAGGTTTCACAAACCAGGACAGATAACCCAAAAGTATAAACATCCTCCACCAATTGTCAGCATGAGAACAAACAATTAGCATGAAAGCAGAATGATTCTAGTAGTGACCAGTGCAGCGCCCGCCCTGTGGAACACCCTCCCATCAGATGTCAAGGAAATAAGCAGCTATCTTATTTTTAAAAGACATCTGAAGGCAGCCCTGTTTAGGGAAGTTTTAAATATTTAATGCTCTATTGTTTTTAACACTCAATTGGGAGCCGCCCAGAGTGGCTGGGGAAACTCAGCCAGATGGGCGGGGCATAAATAATATTTTGTTGTTGTTTAGTTGTTTAGTCGTGTCCGACTCTTCGTGACCCCCTGGACCAGAGCACGCCAGGCACTCCTGTCTTCCACTGCCTCCCGCAGTTTGGTCAAACTCATGTTCGTAGCTTCGAGAACACTATCCAACCATCTTGTCCTCTGTCGTCCCCTTCTCCTTGTGCCCTCCATCTTTCCCAACACCAGGGTCTTTTCCAGGAGTCTTCTCTTCTCATGAGGTGGCCAAAGTATTGGAGCCTCAGCTTCAGGATCTGTCCTTCCAGTGAGCACTCAGGGCTGATTTCCTTCAGAATGGAGAGGTTTGATCTTCTTGCAGTCCATGGGACTCTCAAGAGTCTCCTCCAGCACCATAATTCAAAAGCATCAATTCTTCGGTAATCAGCCTTCTTTATGGTCCAGCTCTCACTGCAATATATATATATATAATTATCTAGTCCAGCATCGTGATCTCACAGCTGTGGTTGGGCTCTCTGCCTCCCGCTCCACCAGCCGTCACGGGGAATGGAGCTGTAAGTAGGAATCTGCATGGACTGGCCAAGAGATCAGACCCTCTTCTTCCACCCCGCAGTGTCCAGCAGCGAAGTGACCCGGACCCCCACCAGGACCCCCAGCCGTGCCTTGGGGAGCATCGTGTCAGAGAGCCAGAGTAGCCTCTGCAGCGAGAGGGGAGGAGCCTTGAGCGCTACGGAGAGCTGCCACAGCGACCTCCCGGCTGAAGACGAAGACAGCGATGCCGGCCGCGGCGTCTCTGGTGAGTGGGGAGGAGGGGAAGAGGGGCACAGGAGGCCGGCCAGACTCTCCTGGACCATCAAGGAAGCTGCTTTGTACTGAGACAGACCAGGGGTCCATCTAGCCCAGCAGTGCCTGCACTGACTGGCAGCAGCGCTCCAGGGTTCCAGGCAGCGGGACGTCCCTAGGCCAAGGATTGCACCCGGGGCTTTTTGCAAGCTGGACAGATGCTCTCCTGCTGATCTAATCCTAACTGTCCAGACCTCATGGTTCTCAGTTGAGAGGTGGTAATAGCAGGAACATAGAATGTTGCCTTATAATGAGCAGATTATCAGCCCCTCTAGCTCAGCGCTGTCAATAGCTCAGTCAACAGAGCCCGAGACTCTGAATCTCAGGGTTGTGGGTTTGAGCCCCACGTTGGGCAAAAGATTCCTGCCTTGTGGGGGTTGGTCTAGATGGCCCTCAGGGTCCCTTCCAACTCTAGTTCTATGATTCTAACACTGACAGGCTGCAGCTATCCAGGGTTTCGGGCAGAGGACATTAGTTTGGTTAGCGCTGTGTGCAGAAGCCCTTCCTTTTGTCTGCCCTGAATCTTCTGACATTTAGCTTTCATTCGGTGGCCCCAGTGAGTTATCATATTATAAGACGGGGGCGGGGGCGGGGGGGGAATCCCAGTCCACTTTCTCTACATCATGTCTAATATTATACACTTCTCTACTGTGTTCCGTCCCATTACTCACTGTTTTTTTCCAGATTAAAAAAGACCCAAACATTGCAATCTGTGCTTGCTTTCGTTTTTAAAGATACAAGTTTCTAGTCCATGTGATTCTGTGAGAGCAGGGTGCTGGGCCGGGTGGGCCCTGGGCCTGATCCAGCAGGCTCAGCTTATGTTCTTAAAGGTGCTTTCCTTCGGCTCTGTAAAAAGATGCTAGTGGGTGGGCCACAGGCAGCAAATCATGCATTTTGGTCTGTCTGTGCCGTGGTCCTGCCACCCAGCTGGCTCCCTTTCACGTTGGAACAGGAAGTAAGGGCTGTTTTTTCACTCCTGCATCCTCCTTAGATCTTCACCTGAGAGTTTTGAACTCTTCCATCAACTTTGCTGCTTTTAGCTTACCGCGGGAACTTGGGTGCAAATGAAGTTTGCAAGAACTGGGAGTTTAAAAAAAAGGGGGGGGGGAAGTACCCTGAAGTGTGACTTTGTTATCCAAGGTGAAAATTTTAGTGTTTGCAATGTATATTTATATATATTTTTCTGGGCCAGCTCTAAATCTAAGGCATTAATATGCACACACTCTGTTTCGCACCTTGACAGTCCTCCTCTCTCACTTCCCCACCCCAAATCAGCTTGTTTTGCAACTTGCCGGAAACTTTTCTGTGTGCCTGTGGGACATTGATTTTGGATTGAACCTGGGAAATTCAGTGCACTCTCCCTGAGCCACAGACGGGGCTAGATGGATGCTGTTTTGCCGGTAAAAAATCAACCATTTGCAACTAAGCAACTGAGAATTCTGTGGCCTGCTTTCATTTCAGGTCCCTTATCCTGCTTTATTTGTTTGCCTAATTCATTCTGCTCATGTTTTTTAATCAAGCCAAAGGAGGCTTTTGCTCTCTTGCCACAAAGTATCTTATTCACTAACTCAAGTTGCTTAAAGGTAAAGGGACCCCTGACCATTAGGTCCAGTCGTGGCTGACTCTGGGGTTGCGGCGCTCATCTCGCTTTACGGGCCGAGGGAGCCGGCGTACAGCTTCTGGGTCATGGCCAGCATGACTAAGCCGCTTCTGGCGAACCAGAGCAGCACACAGAAATGCCGTTTACCTTCCCGCCGGAGCGGTACCTATTCATCTACTTGCACTTTGACGTGCTTTTGAACTGCTAGGTTGGCAGGAGCAGGGACCGAGCAATGGGAGCTCACCCCATCGCGGGGATTCGAACCGCCGACCTTTTGATCGGCAAGTCCTAGGCTCTGTGGTTTAACCCACAGCCCCACCCATGTCCCAACTCAAGTTGCTTAGATGTCACCAAATTTTGCCCTCTCTCTCTCTCTCTCTCACACATATATCTTCTTGCCTCCTAAAAACAAAAACGAGCTCCAAGATTCTGCAGCTAGGGTCAAAGACAGGAGCCTAAATAGAGCCTTGCTGTATCAGGCCAGTGGCCTATCTAGTGCAGCATCCTGTTCTCTCATCGGCCAACCAGATGCCCCTGTGGGAAAACAGCAAGTAGGAACTGAGCAAAAGAGCAACTCTTCCCCACCTGCGATTCTCAGCAGCTGATGTTCAGCGGTATACTGCTTCCAACAGGGGATAGCAGAACATAACCATCATGACTAGTTGCCTTCTCCTCCATGAATTTGGGAGCATATTCACCCAGTGCTTTTCCACCTGCATTGGCTCCTGGTGGAGTACAGGGTCAGATTTAAGGTGCTGGTTTTGACCTTCAAAGCCCTTCGCGGCCTAGGACCCTCGTACCTACGGGACCGCCTCTCCCGGTATGCCCCACAGTGGACCTTAAGGTCCATAAACAGCACCACCCTAGAGGTCCCGGGCCCTAAGGAAGTCAGATTAGCCTCAACCAGAGCCAGGGCCTTTTCAACATTGGCCCCGGCCTGGTGGAACACTCTGTCTCATGAGACCAGGGCCCTGCGGGATCTGATTTCTTTCCACAGGGCCTGTAAGACAGAGTTGTTCCGCCTGGCCTTTGGCTTGGAATCAATTTGATTTCCTCCCCCTCTTTCCTTTCTCCTTTATCCTTCTGTGATGGAACTCCTGTTTGGGGACTTCCCTGGCTTTTTTTCTGGCCCACGTAGGACAAGTCTGGATAGTTGGCCTTTGACGTTTTCATCCTCAAAAAAGTTTTTGATTTGAGTTTCTACTGAAATCAGGCTGTATTTTAATGTTGTATTTTAATCTTGTTTTTAAGTTGTATTTTAATCAATTGTTTTTATACCTGGTGTTAGCCGCCCTGAGCCCGGTCTTGGCTGGGGAGGGTGGGGTATAAATAAAATTTATTATTAATATTATTAATCCTCTTTTAAAGCCATCTGAGTAGGTGGCCATCGCTGCCTCCGGTGGGAGGGAGTTCCATAGGTTAACCCTGTACTGTGTGCAGAAGGGCTTTATTTCATCAGTCCTGAATCTTCCAACCTTCAGCTTTGTTGGGTTCTGGTGCAATGAGAGAGGGAGAACAGCTTTCCTCTATCCACTCTCTCCATGCCACGCCTGGTTTCACAAAACCCTTTATCATGGCGCTTGCTTGCATATACTTGCTTTTTCTCTAAACTAAAATGTCCCCAAACCTTTCCTCTTCGTAGCGAATTTGCTCCATCCCCTCAAACATTTTGGTCACAGTGGTACAAACTGCCGTGTTGCCCACACAGCTGTCGCTCCTTCTTGTCTCCATTAAAAAAAACATTCCCAGAAACTAGTATGACTCTTCCCCCCGCCCCAGTCTTTTGTCCTTCCCTGACTCCCCCCTCTGCCCCCCCAATCCTTCTTCCTTTCCTCTCATCTCCCACAACGACTTACTTCTATAAAGCATTAATGGACCTTGTTTTCTAACCACGAGTCTGGCTAACAATCCATAACTTCTTCGCTTCATTATGGCTCTTAGTGAGCTTTTAATGATTTCTGCAGAGGGGTTTGTTGTGGGGCGAGGAGAGGAGGAACCCCCCTCCTGGGAATGTAGGTGTTGAGAAATCTTCTGTGGGGCACTCTCTCCCCACAGAATGTTCTCGGAGACATAAGACAATGGGGGAAACAAATCTGTTATTAGGATTGTGACGCTCTTAAGAGTGGGCATAAAATCCCCTTTGATTGTCTGCTGCTTAAATTGAGATGAGGGTTTTAAAAAACAAACATAAGACTAGCTTGCTGGATGAGGCCAGCAGCCCATGTAATCCAGCCTCCTGTTCTCACAGTGGCCGATCAGATGTCCTATGGGAAAGTCACAAACAGGAATTCATTGCAAGAGCATCCCCAGCTATGAATGGCCAGTAGCTTTTTTATAGTCAAGAGGTATATGCGTAAATAAAATAAATACGTATATATAAGGGAGTCGTAAGTGGTCTTACACAGATGCGACTGACCTAATGCAGCCCTGGAGCAAAGGGATCGCAAGAGACTCAGAAGAGCAGCCAGGGAGGGACTGAATAATGGGACTGAATATTAGGACTTTCCTAGCCCCTTGATAGAAACTACAGTTTAAAGAAATGACATGCAAGGTGAACTCTGCCTCAACGTTGCTACAAGGGCAGCATTTATTGTTCCTTGGGCTCTTGTTGTATCTGCCTTCTGATAAATTGGAAGGGAGAACATTAAACCTTCCCCAAAGAGGAAAGCCTTTCTGCATTTTGGGATGGTTCACCACTCCAAATATGCCTTTTCCATCTTCGTGAAAGGAGGCAAGGCCACCCCAGTGTATATTAGCAAAGATAACCTAAGAAAGGCATTCCGTTTGGGAAAATAGTTTGCAAAACACTCTCTCTCTCTCTCTCTCTCTCTCTTTCTTTGTGTGTGTGTGTTGGGAGGGATTTGCATGAAAATGCTGACTTTTTTCATGAGGAACCCAGAGAGAGGAAAATCCCCAAACTGGAGGATTTGTTGTCAAGGTTTCCCGTTTATGGGGCTGTGTTGAAATCATGTTTTGTTTCCTTTCTTTCCAAGGGAAAAGACGCCTTCTGTCAAGCCCGCGGCGTTGATGGGGGCCTAGCTCCTTCCTGAGAGGTTTCCTCTACACTGATCCGCTGTGCAGAAGCCGGGCTGGACTGTGTGACCCGGGACTTTTGGGGCGGGTGGGGAACCAAAGACACACGCCAGCCTTACAGACCTGAGCTTGCCACTGTGCCGAAGGTGATGTGACTGTGGCTTTTGTCCTCCTGTTTTGTCTTGCTCCTCTTGCTGATAGATGAAGAACTGGCGCAGTCGAGGAACGACCTTTTCTGCGGGAGAAAACCAAGAGAACTCCTTTGACCAACTCTCTCCTTTGGCCCTTTCGGAATTGGGGTTCCCTGCAATTTTGACTGCATGCGCTAAGATGCTGACTAGAGCGGCTTTCTCTCAGAAAGAGGATCCTGCTGTTGAGTGGTTAGGGAGAAAGAGGAGCTGTGTGGTGTGGCTGCAACGCTTAGCTCTTTGCACAGGCCTAAAAATATCTTGCATCCTGGGAAAGGCAGTGAGTATCAGTCCTGGGCGGAGAATGGGCATCGCACTGGGTCTAGGATTTAGGATGGACGGACGGCAGCCAGGTTAGTGGCTGGCAGACCCTTTTTAAATTAAATGCCACTGCAGCCATGGGTTGAGGGGGAGGAACTGTGCCATGTGGCAAACTGAGTTGCCTCATTCTGAGCTGATTCATCCCGCCTTCCGCCCAATCGCTGGGAGGCTTTTAGGACAGCAGTTTGGAAAGGAGAAAGAGGATTGGCTGCAAGTGAAGTGGGGAGTGCCTTCCCAATTAAGTGTGTTGCAATTGGGATCTGCAACTGGAAGCTCTTAAGGCCAAATCCAGCCCCTTAAGGAATTCCATCGCAATCATTACAGCTCGTTTGGGGTTGGGAGGGTCGGTCCCTGACGAAAAGTGTCCCTCTTGGCTTCCCCTCTCTCTTTGCAAAATTCCTTGTTTGGCCTGTATGTTGCACACAATGTGTTCCGCTCATGTGGGAGGCTGTTTTTTTTAATAAAGTAAAATACAATTCCAAATGTGCCGTTTGCTGTGTGTGTTCTCGGTTTCTGAGCAGAAGTGGCTTGCCCGCTGAGGTGGAGCTTCCGCAGCAGGTGAGCCGCTGTGGTGTCACCTCTAGAAGAATGCTGTAGATTTGGAAAATGTTGAGACAAGGGCAAGGGAAATGATAAAGGGGAAGGAGATACCCCCCATGAGGAAAAGATGCAGTGTTTGGGACTTTTGTTCTGAGGAGGCTCGAGGGCCAAATGAGCCCCCCAACCCTCTCTATATAGAGCCAGTGTGGTGTGGTGGTTAAGAGCGGTAGTCACGTAATCTGGGGAACCGGGTTCGCGTCTCCGCTCCTCCACATGCAGCTGCTGGGTGACCTTGGGCCAGTCACACTTCTCTGAAGTCTCTCAGCCCCACTCACCTCACAGAGTGTTTGTTGTGGGGGAGGAAGGGAAAGGAGAATGTTAGCCACTTTGAGACTCCTTCAGGTAGTGATAAAGCGGGATATCAAATCCAAACTACTCTTCCTCCTCCTCCTCCTCCTCCTCCTCCTCCTCCTCCTCCTCCTCCTCTTCTTCTTCTTCTTCTTCTTCTATATGGCCCCTGGGACTCTCTCCAGGCCGTGCTAACTTTCCCAGGACACACCTCTTACTGGGCTTGTTCAAGGGCCAGGTAGAGAGGCCTGTGGGGGGTACATTTGGTACCAGGACCTGAGGTTCCCCATCCCCTGCAAGTCGCCCTCTCAGACCAAAAGGATACTGCACATCTGAATTTGCCACTACCCTGCTGCCCACCAGCTGGGCTTGAAGGCTTCAGCCTTCTCCAGCCCATGACCCCCCCCCCAAGCAACAGACCTTCAATGGCAGCCGGCTTCTGAACTCAGAGATGCTCCATCCATCCACTGTGATTTCAGCTTCCTGCAGATACTTCCTCCAGGCTCTCGCCAGCTGCTGTCGGAAACAGACCCCAAACTTGAGATCATTTTTTGCACATTGCAGAATCTCCAATTGGCCTTTAACCGGGACGCCAAGAACAGACCTTGTGTGTTGCAGGAAACGTAAATGACTTTGAGGGGGTTGAAGGTCTTCCATGTTTCTGCATTCCTCTCCCTCCTTCCCTCCATCTTCTCAACCCTAACGCCATTAACAATACATCTTTCATAGCCCCGTACTTTCCCCCCGTCGACGCTCCTCCTGTGATTATGATTATTTCTACCTTCTGTTGAAAACCATCCAGGATAATGGAGCCCTTTAATAGCGGCTCTGAAGCCGTTCTTCTTGGCCTTCGGCTTGTCATTCATTTTGCCTGACAATGAGTGGGGCCATTCAAACCTCGCCAGCTAAGAAAAATCACGCTATTGTTCATAAAAAATCATATAGCTTTTTCTCTCTAGATCTCCACCTTTTGCTCTCCATTCAATCTCAAGGCTTTTTAATACCTGACATACTTTTTTTTGCAATTTGCATGGTGGTTGTTTCCCCATCCCCCCTTCTCCAAACTCTATGCAAATTGCTATGGGGTGTTTTTGGACTTTTTTTTTTAAACCACAGCAATTGAGAGCTGTTGTGTTGATAGGAAATGTTCCTTTCTATCACGAAAAGCTGTCTTGATCTGATGCTCCTCTTCCCCTGCAACCACATCTTTTTGCACACTTCACACCTCTGAATCATTTGAATTCAGCTCTGAATTATATGTATCTAAGGGCTGATTCAATCCTCAGGTGGTTGTGTTTAAAATTTGGAAGCAGGTGCTGTGGGACTGTGACTCCCATCATCCCCAGAGCTAATGTCCATCTTGGCTGGGGCTGATGGGAGTTAGAGATCCTCCACATCCCTTCTTCAAGAGGCACCCCCCCCTCCTCAGGAGCAAATATCTTTTCTAAATAGAGGTGTTCCCTTCTCTCTGGGAGCCACACACTTTCTCGGAGCTCTCCGTGGTGCTGAAACCAAGGACCTGATTCCTTCTGCCTTGTGCTGTCTCTTTGTTGAGAACGGGACAAGGCAATTCTTTTGCCCTGACCACATCTGGAGGAAGCAGCCCAAACACCCATGCGCAGGAGAGAGTGGCTGTTGAGCTCAGGTCCTGTTTGTGGGCTTCCCAAAAAGGAAGAGACCAACAGCATCTGGAGGCACTGGGTCCTCTTAACAAGAGGAAGACTGTGCACTCCCCACACTTAAAACGCCTGTGCAAATAAAATTAGGCACGGCATGGAGAAAGTGGACAGATTAAAAAAATTCTCCCTCCTAACACTAGAACTTGTGGACCATCCAATGAAGCTGAACGTTGGAAGATTCAGAACAGAGCATAGAATTGTAGAGTTGGAAGGGAACCTGAGGATCATCTAGTCCAACCCCCTTCGATGCAGGAATATGCAGCTGTCCCATGTGGGGATCGAACCTGCAGCCTTGGCGTTATCGGCACCATGCTCTAACCAACTGAGCTATCCGTGACACAAGGGAAGACTTCTTCACCCAGAGTTAAACCATGGAACTCATTCCTGCAGGAGGTAGTGGTGGCCATCAACTTGGACAGCGTTAAAAGAGGACTGGACAATTCGCGGAGGAGAAGGCATGATGACTATACTCTGTCTCCACAGCAATGATTCTGAATACAAGTTGCCGGAGACCACAGGAGGGGAGAGTTGCTCTTGTGCTTGAATCCAGCTTTGTGGTTTCCCACACAGGCATGTGGCTGGCCACTGTGAGAACAGGATGCCAGACTAGGTGGCCCAATGGCCGGATCCAGCAGGCCATTCTTAGGAGAGGAGCAGAATCTCCCAGGCTCATCGTTTTGTGCTTCGGTAAGTGGAGCAACCAAGTGGCGCCGTAAGGAATGTTAGAAACAGTGTGTTATTTTAATCCCCACGAAACACTCTGTCATCCTTGTTACACCGTGTCAGATGGTGAGAGATCAGCAGGAGCGGATCTGCCCAATCGCCTTGTGCAGATGCTGGCAGGATACTAACCGCAGCGACATTGAGCCTGCAGGACTCCGGTTTTAGCGCCGTTCCATGGTGACCCCATGGCTCCTCTTTAGAAAGAAGCAGACAGAAGAGTCTGTCATGAGCTCGTCCTACACTCGAGTAGGACCCTGGCAGAGACACATGCCCGACTAGCATGTTCTCTCCCTCCTGGTCGATCGTTTGGGAGCTTCAAAAGCTTTCTTCAGCCTGAACATCACAGCAACCGGTGCCAACAGATATCGGCACACTTAGGGATCCGCAGAGTCTTCGCAGCTTGCATAACAGACCTCAGCAACTCAGCATTTTGGCTAATCTAATTTATTTACATATAAACACACACGGAGCACCGCAGCATGGCTTCCCCTCTCTCTAGCATCAGACAGCAAAGAGGAAAAACAAAACAAAGGACAATAGTCCCACTTCACGGAACACAGGAACACAAACGTCCTGTCTCCGTCACTTCCCACTCTGTGGAGTCAAAACATACACTGTCATGTGATAGACAACAATCCCATGACTGCAACCATGGAGCAGGAATTCTAACAGAGTCTGCACAGAGCAGGGGATGGGGAGAAACCTGTGGTCCTCCAGCTCCCATCTGCCCTAGCCAGCACGGTCAGGGATGATGGGAGTTGTAGTCTAGTAGGTCTCCCATCCCTGCTCCAAGTGGCAGGAACAGCAAGTAGCACCAGGCTAATAGGCTTCTGGGATCGGCATCAGGCACCCTTCTTGTGCTTGGCCCTTGGTGCATGCCCAGTGATTCTAACTTCTGCTGCCAGCCTTGCCAACTGTGCATCAGGGCTTAGGGACTCAGATGCCAGGTACTGCACTCTCCACCCTGACTCTTAACTGGTTGAGCCAAAGAATTTCCTCACGGAGGAATAATGCTCCGTTCATGGGCGCTGCTTCGCTTTCGGAGTCGCCGCCTGCAGTTGCCGGCGTGCGGGTGGGATGAGGGAACTGGCTGGGTGAGGTTAATTGCTTTGTCAAGGAGCCTTGTCAAATCTGGCGGGTGGCGCCACGTCTTGCTTCTCAGCCTCGCAGGCAGGCAGCCGCTGACACTTTTAATTACCCTTGTTCGTATATGTAAAACAAGGCGCCGAAATCGGCGACCAACTTGTTATTCGCGAGTGCCTGTGAAAAAGGCTGGAGGGACTCCAGCGCATGAGCTGAGTGCAAATGGCAGGAGCGGTGTGCTGGGGGGGAGGTGTTTTCTGTTGGGATTTTGGGGGCTGAGCCTTCAGCTTTGCTGCCCCAAATAATAATAATAATAATAATAATAATAATAATAATAATAATATATTATTTATACCCTGCCCATCTGGCTGAGTTTCCCCAAGTGTTAAAAACAATACAGCATTAAATATTAACAACTTCCCTAAACAGGGCTGCCTTCAGATGTCTTTTAAAGATAAGATAGCTACTTATTTCCTTCACATCTGAAGGGAGGGCTTTCCACAAGGCGGGCGCCACTACTGAGAAGGCCCTGTGCCTGGTTACTGTAACCTCACTTCTTGCAGTGAGGGAACTGCCAGAAGGCCCTTGGCGTTGGACCTCAGTGTCCGGGCAGAACGATGGGGGTGGAGATGCTCCTTCAGGTATACTGGACCGAGGCCGTTTAGAGCTTTAAAGGTCAACACCAACACTTTGAATTGTGCTTGGAAACGTACTGGGAGCCAATGCAGATCTCTCAGGACCGGTGTTATATGGTCTCGGCGGCCGCTCCCAGTCACCAGTCTGGCTGCCGCATTCTGGATTAATTGCAGTTTCCGGGTCACCTTCAAAGGTAGCCCCACATAGAGTGCATTGCAGTAGTCCAAGTGGGAGATAACTAGAGCATGCACCACTCTGGTGAGACAGTCCACAGGCATTTGGGTCAGACAGCCATTAGAATCTCTGCTCCAAATGATGGGAAGGACCATCGCTCAGTTGGTAGAGGACCTGCCTTGCAAGCCGAGGTTCTAGGTTTAATCCCCAGGTCAGGCTGGGAATGCCCCCAGCCTGAAACCCTGGAGAGCTGCTACCTGTCAGTGTAGACAGTACTGAGCTACATGGACCGGTGGTGTGATTCT